GTCTCTAATATTCTTAAACCCATATTGTTTGCTGATGATACTACCCTCATCTATTCAGACCCCAACCCACATACACTAAATAATGTTGTGAATAATGAATTAAAAAAAAAGTCCACTTATGGATGTCAACCAATAAACTAACACTAAACATAGAAAAGACCTACTACATCTTATTTGGAAGCAAATCATCGAATGCAATTCAGCTACAGATAGACAACATTAACATCAGTAATAAAAATGATGGAAAGTTTCTTGGCCTATTCCTAGACAAGAGACTCAACTTCAGCACCCACATTCAACACATAACTAAGAAAGTCTCTAAAACAGTTGGTATACTCTCCAAAATAAGATATTATGTCCCTAACTCTGCTCTCCTCTCACTATATTATGCACTAATCTATCCCTATCTTAATTATGGTATCTGTGCATGGGGGTCTACCTCTGCAAACCACCTTAAGCCCATCATCACCCAGCAAAAATCTGCTATCAGAATAATAATAAACTCTGCTGTCAGACAACACTCAGCTCCCTTGTTTAAATCCCTTAACTTGCTAAATATTAACTCCCTCCACACATTCTCTTGTGTCAACTACATTTACAAAACCCTGTTCTTAAATGCAAACCATGCTCTGAAACTCTCCCCGGACAGATGTAATAGGACCCATTATCACCACACCAGAAATAAATATCTCTTTGATATCCCCAGGGTCAAACTTAATCTGTGTAAACACTATGCAAATTAAGGGACCTAGTCTATGGAACTCACTCCCTAGTGAATTGAAAAGCTGTCAAACTTTTGCCTCATTTAAAAACAAATCCAAAAAGTACCTAATTTCATCTTTGTAGTTTCCTACATTGAGCTTTAAATTTGCTGTATCTACAGTAGTGTTACCCAATCTCCCAATCTTTATGTACTTAATCCAAACTTTATCATTGTGTTCATTAATTTGCTGTATTCTTTTATGTGCTAGCCATATGCTGTACTGTGCCTATTATTTTTGTTAAACTACCATTCAAGCCGTCATTGCAATCAATCTGAGCTACCTATGTGCTTTAATATACCTACAATTTTCTTTCATCTTTTATTTTTTTCTTGCTATGTAACTTTTATAATTTTTATAAATTTTGCAAGTATTTACCTACTTAAACTTTTCTTAGATTAAGGACCTGCCCGAAACGCTATGCGTACTAGTGGCTTTACAAGAATGTAATTACTATGCTATGTATCCTCACAATCCCGATGTACCTTCTTGTATATATATATATAAATAAATAAATAAACATATGCAGAATATGCTAATATATTATAATATTAATTTATATTTGAGAAAATTCGTTTTGAATGAACAGCATGTTAAAATTGATGAATGCATCTTTGGGGTCGATCGCTGGATGGAATGGACTTGGGTCAAGGACGGGTTGCTGTTTTGACTTCCACCACCTTGTTGTGGTGGAAGTTCCACCACTTCTCACTTAACTTGTTCCAACTGTATCTCTGTTCTCGAAAGTGAATTTTCTTATATTTCTACTCAGCTTTGTTTAGATTAAATCTGTGATTTTATGTTCTTAGCTTGTAAGTAAGTCTTTTAACCTGTAAGTCTAACCTGTAAGTCTTTTCTATATTTTGTGATTTTGTTGGTTGACACCCATGAGTGGACTTTTTTTGCAATTCATTATTTACAACCTTCTTCGGCAGAGTTGTCTTCCCCCAACTAAAGTATGTGGGTTGGAGTTTTAGCCGATGAAGATAGCATCACTGCAAATACCAGATGCTTTTTCACCCACAGGGTTATAAACCCATGGAACCGTCTACCCACAGAAGCTGTAAATACCCAAACTCTTAAATTTTAAAATCTATCTAGAAAAGATTATCAGGACATGTAGAGGGTACCTTTGGCAAGTTGCCGGCTCCCCGTCCTCATTGAGGTTCCTAGCGTGTTAGCGACTCTCAGGTCTAAGAACTTTAGAGACACCCGACAGACCTCTGGATCATTATTTAACACAGTGCAGAGTTACAAACTCGTTAAGATTTCAACTCAGATTCAACAGAGCAGAAGTAGTTGTTAACACATGCGACAAAATCTTACTGAAGCAACCATACGAGTCATAAATACTCATACCCTGCCCAAGTAACACTTAGTGGGCCAGCCAGAGGCTTATGGGCCCATGCCTAGAAAATCTTGCGCAAAAAAAAAAAAAAATGCCTTAAGTAGCATTAGAAAAGCTTTGAGGTTTATTCATCAATCTACATGGCCCCTAGATTTTAAGAAATCCTTAATTAGATACCAAAGGCAGACAGCATATACACTGATATAGCGATACACACACCCATATGGGTTTCCTTGAATATTGGTTTAAGTAGGGAAGTAACTTAAGTGGTAACTATTCTTCATTTTTTCTTCTTCATCATCATCTTCAGTGGTAACTATGACTTCATTATTATGAACAACTCCTGTCCCTACAATTGTTCCTTCCTCTTATGTTCTCTGTGTACACATTCTTATGAATAAAATTATGAATATGATTTCTACTTTCAGTATGCACGGGTAAGGTTGTTGGAGAACTACTAAAAGATCATGGCTTCTTTTAATATGCATATTGGAAAGTCACCAATACTTTATCCAAGGAGACTCAAATGGTATTTTGTGTTTCACAGTTGTTCTGTATTCTCATCCATATGATTAGTGGTTGGTCATTAATCACTTGAAACAAACACGTGTTTTGTACAGAGATAATAGGTCCACAGCTCTTAGCAGCAAATGCACCAAACATTACCAGTTACCTTGGCTCGGTGGCTGCCTACATTTGAATACCATCCGTAAAACAACAAGTCTTTTATGATTTGTTGGGAGATCTTCAATGTGTTTATCATTCAGCACATTAAATATACAGGCACTGAGGACTTGTGAGCAAGGAAAGGAGGAAGAGGTGGGCGGTGAGAAAGGGAGAGAAGGAGGAATAGATGAGGGGGAAGGAAGGGAGGAGTGGATTGGGTGGGGGAAGGGATTAGTGGATGAGAGGTAAGGGAAGGAGGAAAGGTGGGTTGTGAGGAAGGAGTAACCCCCAAGCTGTTAAGGGCTATTTGGCCTTTGTCACCCACAGGCGCATAAAAAAAAAAAAAAAAAAATGTTTTTCTTATAAACCTGTTAATTTGTGTTCCCTGATCACGGGAAAAATAATAAAAAAATCGTAAGTGGCATATTTTGGCCGCAATAGGGCAGGGAAGTCTGGCAAAAAAGAGGCGCTGACTCAGCAAGCGTCAGAGGCGTTCTGCTCCGCCTCAGCTGTCAGGCGGGAGTTGCCACAAAGATATAATTACCTAATTATTTCAATGTCTCTGATTTTTTTCTTTGTTTTTTTGCTGTAATATTATTCAATAGTGTGTAGTGTGATATATTTATATAATAAAATGTGTGAATCATCGCTGTACTCAAAATTATGGTGTGCATATTATTGATTCAATTATTGTGTTCATAAAACAATAAACAAATACTTTGTCAGTTATTACACTATATACACAGGTTATATATAAGTATCTGCATGTTTTGTTCACCATAATGAACCACCAAGTTGATATTGCGAGTCAAAAAGCAACAAGGAGTGACCACCCAGCCTCTCGCTGCCACTCCCTCCCTCAATGACTCCTCATTCGCCCACATCCTCCTCCCACCATAATGTTTTTGCTTTTATTTACTATATACAGACATTATATATAAGTATCTACATGTTCTGTTTACCATAACTGTTCAACTAAGCCGGTATAGTGCCCAAAGAGCATAGTGGCCACCATTACACAGCATGACAAGTCAGGAAAATGACACCACCTCCCTCACCAAAATGGCTTCTCCCAACACTTCTTTTGGTGTTATTACACTACATGTACACATTATATATAAGTACTGTATCTACATTTGTGTTCACCATAGCGAACCACTAATCTTGTATGGTGACGGCAGACAGTAACAGGTGGCCACACACAACTAATGCTCCCTCCCTTACTGGTTCAAGGCCAGATGCACTAATATTCCTCCTTCAAGTATACTGTTTGTGGTGTTATTATCCTATATACACACATTATATATAAGTATCTACATGTTTTGTTCACCATAACTGTTCAACTAAGCCAGTATAGTGCCCAAAGAGCATAGTGGCCACCCTTACCCAGCATGACAAGTCATCAAGATGTTGCCACGACCCTCACCAAAATGGCTTCTCCCAACACTCCTTTTGCTGTTATTACACTATATATAAACGTTATATATAAGTAGAGTATCTACATTTACACCATAATGAACCACTAAGTTGGTATGCTGAGTCAAACAGCAGCAAGGCAGTGGCAGCCCGCCACTGGCTGCCACTCCCTCCACTCCCTCCCTCACCTCACCTGACTCTCCAACATTCTCCTCCCACCATACTGTTTTTGCTTTTATTCACTATATACAGACGTTATAGAGTATCTGCACGTTTTGTTCACCATAGCGAACCACTAAGCTGGTATAGTGAGTCCAGACAGTAAAAGGTGGTCACACAGAGTCAGCAGACAACACTACCTCCCTCCGCACCATGATTACTCCTCCCACTACAGCGCTAATTATCACAACAATCCTGCTATTATCAGAATCCTGGTCATTTTTATCATAGTCAGGGGTCTTCTGTAATACTATCATTGCTAAATAATAGCATGCACATATATATTTTGACATTTTTAGGCGATTCTGTGGTCACAAGCTGAACAGCAGTGCTGTGAGCTCATGCTGCGTGCGCCAGCCTTGGTGGCTCACTCAGTACCGAGGCCCTGACACCCAGGAATGTTGCCCAATTTTTTTTTTTTTTAAACAGTATCTGATCACAAGAGCCCTGATGAAGGTGAGGTGAACCCCGTGTATCTGCGGGCCGTTTAAATCTTGCATAGTACTCCAACACGTCATATGACGTGATGCACACTTTTAGGTAAGTTACTCAACGAGTCATATGACGTGTTGTGCAGTTTAAGGGTTAACAAGCATTTCCATACATGCACAAATTTTAAAATGGCTATTCATATTTTGTAATACATGTAACCACCTTTTGTTTACAGTGCTGCTCCTCCAGGCTGATGGCCCCTATCACCCCTCCCCATGAAAGTGGCAATTAAGAGTAATACTGTACTGTAACGACATCCTCACCTATACTGTCCCAGAGATAGTTATAGATGCTTTTAGTACTAATCCTCTGTTCTCTGAGATCTTCCCTTCCTTGAGGAGGAAATAAAATGATTATAAAACAGGTCATACTCTTAGGGTAGGGAAATAGTCATAAAATAATGTTTTTACTAAATTACATTACTGTACTGTAATCTAAATGTTGTTTCTTAAACAAACTTATTATAAATATACTGTACTGTATCTGTATAATAAATACAAAATGAGAAGAGATAATGATTTAAACAGCAAAACAACAAAAACTTAATAAATGATTGAAATAAATGTGCCAGGGACAATGACATCAAAAATCAGGCAGCATCTAGAACCATAAAGCATCTCCGTCGTCTTCCTCCTCCTGCTGTTGCTGCTGCTGTTGTTGGTGCTGGTGCTGCTGGTGGTGCTGTTGGTGGTGGTGCTGTTGGTGGTGCTGCTGGTGGTGCTGCTGCTGGTGGTGCTGCTGCTGGTGGTGCTGCTGCTGGTGGTGCTGCTGCTGGTGGTGGTGCTGCTGGTGGTGGTGCTGCTGGTGGTGCTGATGGTGCTCATCGTGCTGTCTTGCCTGTTGGGCCGCCTCATCATCAGAGTCAGAAACTGCCAAGTCATTGTTAATAGTACCATCATCATGAGGCTGTTAAAGAAAACAATTAATGTAGAGAGAACCACCATTATTACAATAATAGCTATTATGAACCATTTACAATAAAACAATATTTAGCATGGGTCAATGTTAACTTTGTATTAATACTGGCCACCAGGAAGTGACCACACTTTTGTAAACTATGAACAATTTGTACTTTTAAGAGTAGAATTTAAGTTGCACCCACCTGCGATGGCATCATGCCACCGAGAAACTCTACTGACGGATCATAACTGGCATCCACCTCCATGCTGCCTTCACCAGCCAGACCCTCAGGGTTATAGTCTCCTTCACTCCCTTCACCATGCTGTACACAAAAATAAAAAACAATTAAACTGAGTGTTTTTAAGTGTTAAAATGGGTGGCATTATGACTAAGAGAGCCACTTTATACATGATTAGCTTCCTTTAACAACTTCCCATGTCCGAAACGGGCCAAATGTAAAAGCATAATGTGGCCCCATACATTTCAGCCACTGGCCAAGCTATACATCGTTAAATGCTAAACTATTGCATCATAACTACTATAGGAGTACAAAAATTTATCTTTTTCAGCTAAATTAATACTAGACAATTTTCTATTTATAATGCCTATGACATAGAAATTACCTATGTGAGAACATTACTCGAGTATGCAGCATCAGAACGGAATTCACACCTTGTGAAGCATTAACAGAATCTTAAGAAAGTTCAGAGGTTTGCAACTAGATTAATACTAGAAATGAGAGGCCTCAGCTATGATGACAGGTTAACAAAACTCACCCTCACAACCTTAGATGAGAGAAGAAACAGAGGGGGATATGATCACTACATACAAGATCATGAGGAAAATAGACAAAGTGAACAAATGAAGCCTAATTAAATAAAAGGAAGGTAGTACATGTGGACATCAGTGGAAGCTGGACATGCAGTTGAGTCGAAGAGATGTAAGGTAGCTCTCGTTCCCTATATGGTTGGTTGGTAAGTGGAATGCATTGAAGAAAGAGGTTGTTGAATCTAATTCCATCCACCATTTCAAGAAATAATATGATGAAAATGTTAATGTTGGGAGATGTAATTAGTGCATCAGGTATAAACAGTTAGAACTTGCTTCCCCCATAGTCACTGATAGGTGAGAACCAAAAAGCCATGACAAGATGAGGAACCCATTGCTGAAGCATTAGCCAACCTGGAATAGTGAAGTGAAACTCTGGGTTGCTCGCTGGTTAAGTTAAGTTATGAAACAACAAAAGATTTGTCTATAAAAGCCTGAGAATTATTCAAAATAACACATGTACAGGAACTGCCTGGAAAACACTATACAGTAAAACAAGTTTCTAGGAATCAAAACAAGCCACATTAACTAAATCCCATCTCAAGCTTGGCTAACCATCATGGGGGTCTAGTCAGTTAAAATATAAAAGGGCTCAAGGTAAGTGTGTTAACATGGATGCTGTCATCTGGTGGTAGTCACAGGTTGTGTCCAGGTCAGCAAATTGGCAATTTGTAAGACTACTTCTCGGTGGTCCTTGTGATGCCGAGACTGGCCTGGAAAGTCTTTAAGTGTTTATGAGAGAATTTTCAATGATCAACAGGGATAATACGGTCCCTGTTGCACTGGTGCAGAATGCCAAACCTTGGGCCCAATCCTTTAGAACCAGGATAGATTTTGCTCTAAGGAGCATCTGAATGTAATTACTTCAGAATATTAATAGAACAACAATACTAGCTTTTGACCTTTGACATGTGTAAAATGTTATTGTTAATGACAACCTTGACTTATGATTGTGACTCGAGATATTTTTGCAGAAACATTACATAACTGATTTTGGGCTCCTGAGCAATCTGGCAACAAGTAGTCAAGAATTCATGGGCTATTGTGTTTGTATTATTGATCTAGATTTTTTTCTTTTGTATTGAAGTTATAAGCATGATCATGGGCTTCTAATCTGAATCATACTTGTGAACAACTGAATCAAGAATTCATTAGTTAACTTTGCTCTCTAATATTGAGTTCAAAAAGTATAGGCCCATAATTCATACACTAAACAAAATACTGTACTGCAAGTTCAATGTTAAACACAATTAAAAATGTAAAATGCCTGTGTATTTATGAATACGACTCAATCATTACTGCAAAGAGCAACACGCAGTGGAGAACATTATTATCCCAGGACAAGTGTATACCATTATAAAGAAATTCTACTGGCCAATTGCCAAGATATTGAACCATGAATCAATATCTCCAATGTATATGTGACACACACATTTTGTAATTTTATTCCTTGTATGTATATGTGTGTGTGTGTGTGTGTGATAAATTATGAGAGAATAAATCTTTATATATGTTGTAATCAGCATCAGGCCCAATACCAGGCATTGGAAATCTGTTGATACTTTAGATCTGTGACATTTTGGCTATGATTAAAGTTTTGAGGCATAAGAAGGCATGAATAAAACTCTTCATGGCTCCCTGAAGTTTTCCAATACCAGTAGCAACAACTATGACAATCAAAACTAAAAAACCATCCTGCCGAGGCAACATACCTGATAATACGGATATTGTGCAGAAAGCTGTACCATAGCCTCGGCTGCTCCTTGAGTCTCATCAGGACCTTGTTGGTGGGTAACATACTGGCCATCCTCAAGAACAATACCACCCTCCATATCTCTATGCATGTCCCCCACTTGGTGATTTCCAAAATCTTCTTCATCGTCACTGAATTCAAGATCTATGAAAAGTAGGAAAATTTGCCAATATTGATTCACAGTTTTCTTACTACATATTTGAGTAACAAATTACATTAGGCATTTAAATTACATTTAGTCTAGAATCCCCATTTGTTAATTTATTCTTCAGTATAATGTATACTTTTTGATATGCAAAAGCAGGTTCATTTAGATAGAACAATTACAAGTATTTAAATTACTGACCAACGTGGCATATTTAACCGACAGACATCAAACAAATATTTAACTATATTTCCAAAACATTGTATGAGAGTTTAACTAAATAAAGCACTTGCCACATGAGGACTGAGCGAGTAATAAGTGTCTCAACATATTATGAAAACACAAAGTACAGGGATGAGAATGTAAATATAAAGGAGATTCACCAGTAGGTGTGGGGAAGCAATGACAAAGTTACAAGTGTCGACAACCTTCTGAAGATACATAATATGCATGGCCATCAGCTGCTCTACAACAGCAATGTTACTAAATATATACCGTATAACAAAACAAAATTTTGAGAAAACATTTTGTTTGCTCTTCTTGAGACACAATAAAGATATATCAGTAACAAATAAAATTTCATTATTAGAAGTAAACTAGAAAAACATTCAATTTGTCACTTATTTACCTTCTTCTAACACATTCCTTTGAGATTCCTGCATTCTGCGTCTCTTGGCTGCCTGCATCATCTCCTCCTCATCACCATCAACTACATTAACATGTTCATCATCTTCATCTCCTATAAAAAATAAATAATAAAAATAACAAACTGACACTTGACAATTTTTTTTTTATTTAATACCAGTCTCTCAAATTCCTTTATGATATTACTTACAAGGTGCATACCAAGTTCTTGGTAAAGTAATTGCCACCTCCAATTTTGTAAAGCCTTTGCTAGCTTTTTGATAAGGAAAGGGCTGCTCATGTTTCAGTGTATCACTCGCAAACTAATTGTAATAGTTGCAAAGTAAGACAATGCAGTGATAATATTTGCAGAGTGAACAGATGCTCCAGGATATGAAACTAACAGGTTATCAATTACACCATGTATGAAGACCCTGCCATTCTTTCAACAAAGAGTAATCTACAGTCGGGACTGTTAGACCACCAACTGCCTGAACACACACACATGGTAAATACAGTCTCCGGGTACAAACAAATAGATACAAAGCATGTAAATTATTGTTGTAGAAATGTTGCTGTAAACTCAACTGTCGCAAAGACAACTACTCATTGGGAGGTATTTAAGTGACAGGATATATTTATTCATGAGCTGGAAGAGCAGTTGGCTAAAACAAGGCCAAAGGAAGAACAAACTTCGCAAAAGCAATTTTCATTTACTAAGCGGGTGAAGACTTATATTTTAAGTGTTAACATACCTGAATGATGACCATACTACAATTCAGAAGATGGAAAAGCAACGACGTTTCCATCTATCATCCAGGACCATTAACAAGTCATTTCGCACGACTTGATAACGGTCCAGTACGGACCAAAACGTCGTCGCTTCTCCATCTTCCGAGTTATGGTTTGGTCGTCCTTTTTTCAGCCATGTTATTGTGACTCATCATCTGCAACATACCTGAATAGTCCATAAGATGATCAGATGGCGAGCCCAAATGATGATCAGGATGGTCATGTTCTGGCTCAGCATAGGTGTAATTAGTATCATCATCTGGCCCAAGAGATGTGCCAAGGGAATCTGTCTCAGCTTGCTCTAATGCTCGTTCCTGAGCTAAAGTTATCTTCTTCTCCAAGGCATCGAGATGAGTTTCATACTGAAACCAGACATAGAACCTTAACCCATTACGAAAGTAATACATTGCACAATGAAATATAAAAGAATTAGTATAGTAAAAATTGCAGATTAAACATAGCAGAACTACTTCTCATCAAGCATTCTCATCCAGTTATGAACAACCAGCTTACACGTATGAACATTATATCATCTGCAAAACCACTTTACACATTTATCACACCAGTGAACAATTAGAATGCAGAAAAAGATTACCCAATCTCCTCAACAGGGTAACCATCACACTTTTCATCATTGCCACATGGAATATACCTGTTTATTATGGGTTTTTAATTTGCATTCACTTTCCTCTGCTTCTGTGGATACTAAGTGTACCATGGCTGGAGGGTAGAAATAGCCTAAGGTACTCGATCTTTTGGGATGTACCCTGTATTTGATTATCAATATACAGTATTTCCTTCAATGTGTATACCTTGGCATAGAGCATCAGGTCCATTAAAATTGTAACATGAATATTATAGTGTTAGTTTTTAAACTTTCTTCCCAAGTGAAGAACAAAATAAATACAACAGTTGAGTCATGCTAGAATCATTCATTTAACCATTTTGGCATACATTATTATAATTGTATCTGGATTGTAGATAATCCTAAAGTGCTCAGATAATAAATACTGGTATATATAAAATATCCAATGTATCTCACCTCAGCCAGATTTTCCCTGCAAACTTGAATCAGTATCTCAGCCTTCTGTGAGAAAGATGAGTCTTGTCCATTATATCTGATACTATTAGTCATAATCAGCTCCATGTCGTGCATAAATTCTGCTCGACTGTGATACTTGTGATCTGCAAATAAATTCAGCAACAATCATCATATTGTATTTGTCAAGGGAGGAGTACTTCATACTTGAGTGGATTTCATTAGAACATGCTTCTCACAATGCTTTATGCAAAACTATTTACAAATACCTTATTAAATATTCTTCAATAGACAAATATGACAAGAACATACACCAGTTTTGTTTTCTAGTGTCAATCTACCTATTAAAGAACAAAAATCCATCTAATTCTTACAAATATACAGTAACTAAAAATAAAAATTACCGATGTTCAGATTTAAGCTTAGGAATTGAAAGCTTTTATTCGGTGATAAATCACCTAACCAAACATTTTGTTTAATCATTTCAATAATACATCCATATATAGTATTAGAATTGCACAGAGTTTAATATAAGAATCAAATAAACTGAACATATTGCTTCCCTCTTTACCGGCATAAATTCAACAAAACTAGAGGCTGTATAGAGAAAATATAGATAAAATCTAAATTCTTTAAGCCCAAACAAACTAAAAAACAGTGGAATTAGAAGCAAAGCCATCTAACAAAAGTGGAACTACTAAACACTGATTACAGGATATGTAATAAAATTTAGTAGTTTCTTTAGAAAAAGAAACACTAGATAGAAAACTCCTGAGACTTGGATCCCTATCAATATGGGGAAGTTATTTAATTAGCATGTTATAATACATCATGAACTGAAATACTGTTTATTTTTGTCAATAGCTATTATATATTATAATAAAAATATATTCTAAGTTTCTAATATAAAAATATATTCTAAGTACAGTATTTGCAAATAAAAATGCAAGCAAACAAGCAAATTTTGATATAAACAAAATAATTAGTCAAACTAAATGTTTCATACTCACTTTTAACTTTTTTAGCAATAGTTGAAAGATCCATAGGATGCTGAATTATTTCATAATAATCTTTGACATTTTTTTTATTGACAGGCTTCATGAAAGGCCATGATTCCTGCATTGAGAAAAGCTTCTGATTCACAATGTTGTCCAAAATATAGTCAAAGGCAACCTGTTGGAAATGTAAAGAAACTTTAATATTTACAATCAAAGGAAAAACAGACTATGATTATTATTTTATGGAAACGGAAATAAACTTCACCATATGCCCAACCACTTGGGCTGGACGGTAGAGCAACAGTCTCGCTTCATACAGGTCAGCGTTCAATCCTCGACCGTCTATGTGGCTGGGCACCATTCCTTGCCCCCCTTCCTCCCGTCCCATCCCAAATCCTTATCCTGACCCCCCAAGTGCTATATAGTCGTAATGGTTTGGCGCTTTCCCTAGAAAGTTCCTTTCCCTTCCCCCTTCACCATTAGAGTTTAGGAAATTGGGATTTGGATCTAAATCCCAACATTTACCAAGACTTTACATACCACGTGTTGTTATTCCCTCATAAAATTATCAGGCTTGTTCTTTTATAGAAAAATAATTAGAAGAATTTTGGAGTATATGGCACCACCATGACCAAATATATTAAAATATTCAACTTGAAACAAATTTTTGTATTTTAGTTTATTCACCCATACAGTATTTATTTTATTTTCATTGAATTCTATAAGAAAAGAAAATGTAGAATTATTCTTTAAATCATTATTCAAATTTGAGGAAATGATACCAGTACTGTATTAGAATTTATTAAATTTGGAATTCTATATATGCAAGGAAGTACATTATACAGTATAGACAAATACATTATAGATAAATTTATCTTTTAATTTTGTATTCTAATTTTTAGAATTTTTAACAAATTTTTTAACTCAAAAATTTTAGTTTTTATAATTTTTGTAACTCATTTTTAGTATTTTTTTGGGGGGAGAGGGGGGGGGGCAAAAACCCAGCATTGAATGTAATTAAATGCCATTTTCTGGGCGAGCCTTGGAAGCTTCCTGGAGCTACAAAACTGGTATATGCTCTATTAGTCTGGGGCTTCAGTCAATGGAGTTCTGCCTACCAGGGACCATGAACCAGAACCTGGCCCCCTCAGAGAGGCGCAGGGAGCAATGGCCTAGGGAAACCCCCTTGTATTTCAGAGTATTACCTGGCTACCATCGACCAGGGTTAGGCACCCAGAAAGGTATGCATCTCAAAACAAACCCCACATGGTAGGAAATTTGAAAAAAAAAACTCCCCGAAAGAAAACATGGAAAACAAGCAAATGTTAACCATTGCCACTGTGCCACTTGTTCCCATAGCTCCCCACATGGAAGCTGCCTACATGGGAGCTGCCACATGGAGGCTGCCCACGTGGGAGCTTCCCATGTGTAATAAATGGGAACACGCCAATACATGTCCTGGAGGTCCAGAGACACCATCCAAGCACCTGGCTCCAACAGAAGCTGGATCTGAGATCAATGGTCATCTGAAAGGAGGGGGCAAGGAATCCAGGGGTTCAGACGGGACAAGTCCAGAATGAACCGCAGATTTGTACAGTCCCGTTTCGGCATTGGAAACATGGCGGGAAACCCACCTGAGAGACAGCGTCGTTTCGACCACTCCCAAGCGCACCCACTTCAAGATGACCCTACAAAGCATAAGGAAAGAAGCAGGCCCTGCTACCTCCGAACCCCCCTGAAGGAAGAGGAGCCGCCCAATGCCACCACAGGCCAGAGGAGATGACCCGAAACACCCACAAATCGTGGAACCAGGCATGAGCAAACAGCACGAGCCTCCCCACCATCGCCCCGCGAAAGGGCCAGCGGTCATTACAAGAAGCAGGTTGATGAGCAGAGCGATCAGTGCGCCAACTGAGCTGGCTCCAAATGAAGCGCTGGCTCAGAAACTGGCACCAATGGCCCATCCCCAACCAGAGGAACCCCAAACCCTGGCACAACTCTTCTAAGTAGGCCGAGAACGGCCACCCCAGAGAATAAACAAGTCCAACATAGGATGACAACTAGATGAAGCAAGAACACAAGCATAGAACACGTCTTGTAAGACTTCAGGTCAATGGTGTCATTGACTGAACAGGCAGCATGATGGAGGCAAAATTGGTGACTGTCACCCTCAGACAAGGGCACACAGCAATCTTCAAATTTGCACGAAGTGCGCTAGAACTCTGAAGATGCATCCATCGGTCCACCGAGCCCCCGACAGGGTTTTCCAGGGCCCAAAGACTGACTGCTATGGGAAGCCCAGGCAAGTTGTTGCAAAGCCAGTTAAACCCTAGAGTAACAAAGGGGAATGAGCTAAAACACTGAAACCCCTGCGACGTGCACAATCACGCGAGCCTAGAAAAGGGCCACCAAAATATCATAAGTGGATCAATAGTTAAACAAGGCAGACCCCCTCCAGGCAAGAAACAAAAACAAATGAAAAACCCTGCAAAAGTACAACGTCCCCCGAGGAAAGAGGAACACAGCCGCTGCGTAGGTAGGCAAGCTGCGCAATACCTTGCTCCCCAACCAGCAACAATACCCCTTCCTACCCAAGGCCAAACAAAGGCCACAAAACCCCAGCTGGCCCCAAGGGTGGGGTAAATGCCCAACAGCAGAAACCCCTATGGAAGTGGAGTCCCGAAGGCACTAAGGAAGATAACCCTAGCACCCAAGGTTAGTACTTACAGGGCGTTTAGGGAAGGCAGCCCTAAGCGCATGCAGCCCCAATACATTGCTGTTACACCTGGCCACCAGACCAGACCACTAAGGCAACACTGCCATGAAATCGAGGCCAGGGTTGACTACTGCTCCAGATCGCATCAGCCAAAGAACTGGGGGTTGGAGCAGCAGGTGCAGGGCTTCCCCTTGACCTGCACAGACGAGCGGCATGTGTGACGTTTGCCTGTTTGCTTGTTTCACAGAGAGTTGTGGGGCGTTCTGCCTTCTTGTTCGGTATTTAGTTGCAATTTTCTTACCAAGTAGGTTTGTTTTGTTATGCCTACCTTTCTGGGTGCCTAACCCCAGTCGATGGCAGATAAGGGATGACCCCAACCACAGGTTTTTTTCCAGAGGCTCCCTGTGCCTCTCTAAGGGCGCCAGGTTCTGTCTCATGGTCCCTGGTAGGCAGAACTCCATTGAATGAAGCCCCAGACAAATACAGCATATATCAGTCCTATAGCTCCAGGGAGCCAAAGAGACTCCCCCACAGAAAAACTACTAAAAATATAATTATCTTTTGAATATGAAAATGGCGCATAGTGTGATCCAGGGTCGAGGAACTGAGCACACCAATGGTTATACTGTACTTTCCTGTTAGACTTGAAAGATATTATCATCCCATCATTATATATTCAAGGATGTATGAAAACCCAACAAATTTTATAATAACACACCTGGTCATCATCATCCAAGAGTGGGTTGATGGCCTTCTCCAGTCTCATAAGACGTTCCTCCTTCTCAGCAAAGCGATCAATGCACAATTCCAGCATCTTCTGTGCTGTTACCGTGAGAGTGCTCTTAACACCTACAATAATACAATACATCTCGATCACTGCACCAAGCTATTTGAATAATAATAATAATAATAATAATAAAAAATACACACACACACAATTTCAGAATTGCTTTTAAATACATGGATGGAGAAATACTAAAGAAATTGTTCACGATTTTTGTTAGACCAAAGCTGGAATATGTAGCGGTTGTATGGTGTCCATATCTTAAGAAGCACATCAATAAACTAGAAAAGGTGCAACAACATGCCACTAAGTGGCTCCTAGAACTGAAGGACAAGAGCTACGAGGAGAGGTTAGAGGTATTAAATATGCAAAAACTAGAAAATATAAGAAAAAGAGGCGATATGATCACTACATACAAAATAGTAACAGGAATCGATAAAATTGATAGGGAATTCCTGGCACCCGGAACTTCAAGAACAAGAGGTCATAGATTTAAACTCACAAAACAAAGCTGCCGGAGAAATATAAGAAAATTCACTTTTGTAAACAGAGTGGTAGATGGTTGGAGCAAGTTAGGTGAGAAAGTGGTGGAGGCCAAAGCCATCAGTAATTTCAAAGCGTTATATGACAAAGAGTGCTGGGGAGACGGGACACCACGAGCGTAGCTCTCATCCTGTAACTACACTTTGTGTAATTACACACACATACAACAAATTGTATAAACTTGCCTTATTGTTCACTCCAGCTACAAGTATAATGACTTGTATAAATAAATTTGTGAATAAAGCTTCTGAATCGAAGTAAGTACTGTACAGGAGGATCTAAATCAATTATGTACAATGACTGCCAGTACAATATTCATATTCATTGTATGTACAATTTTTTATAACAAGAGGAGGATCAAGTTTATACAATCTGTATAAAACTTATACACTTATGTAATTGTAATTACACTTAGGTAATTACATAAATAAGACACCCTTAGGAAGATACTGTATAAGGATAATGCTGTAAAATGTTGAAGCTATGCAAAATTCCATAACTTCACAGTATAATTAGTCTATCCAATTGTATTGCCACCATTCTAATTTTATGCTACAGTATATGTTTTGCCATTTGCCAATACAAGTCTCACTGCTCTAATTGTAAGCTATAAGCTTTTTATGGCTGTATGTATGTTCACTCCAGCTACAAGAGTAATGACTTGTATAACTAAATTTGTGAATAAAGCTTCTGAACCAAAGTAAATACTGTACAGGGGATCTAAATCAATTATGTACAATGACTGCCAGTACACTACTCATATTCATTTAACGTAAATTTTTTATAACAAGAGGAGGATCAAGTTTATACAATCCAGGTTTATGATATTATCCTTGTACAGTATTTTATTATGCTCGATTCAATGATATTTCTATTGATGAAAGACTTACAAATCAGATACTCTCCTAGAATTCTCCTAAATGAACTAAGCAGTCCTTATCTCTCAAACGCACTAACATTTCTCTTGATATTTGGCCAGTTCTAACACCATACTTGTGTAAATTTATTGTTCCAGGAAATCTTGATCCATTGTCTAATGTACTCTTTATTGGCAGTCCCTACATGGGATTTGGTAAACACAGTCAAAGAAAAATAATCAATTTCTTTTAAATTGAAAACTTTAAACTGTAAAGGAATTTTTGAAGTTTAATTTCTATTATGTTTAATCTGTCAAATATTTGGCCGATTGTTTTTAGATTTTCGATGTACAGGAGTGCCAACATTGGGTATGAATGGCTCTCTCTAGTGTCTGTTATAAAAAAAAAAAAATTAAACTTGGCTAAGTGCTTCATACTGAAAAATTTGAGATAATGAAGATTAGTAGTAATGCCATTGATCTTGGTAATGTCTGTATGAACACATTCTCCTTCCTTTAGCCGCTCTTCTTTCTTAAGATTAATTTTTAAATATGAATGTAATTTGAATGTAGAGTTAACTGTAGTACTAGGCCACTGTTTATAGCCAACATCACCCCAATGTTCAGGAAAACAAATCCCCTCTAATATTGTTAAGATGGGTATACTCTACTGTCCTATTAGACAGGAGATAATTGATCACAGGGAAAAAAATTACGTGCGACTTACTTTGGCAAAATACCTCCAATATACTATGTACATTGCTAACTAGCCACAACACTTTCTATTATTATTAGATTCTTGTCATTAAATCATAAATATGAATCATTTCCCACTAGTTTATTTTCTAAAGGAAAATCTTGAGGTTTTGTTTTATGATGCATAGATGCACAAAACTGCGGCTGTGAATGTCTGCTTCCCACTGTGAACATCATAGCCAGCATTGTGTTCACTAATATTTGAACCTTTTACATAGTCTTTATCACAGTCAGGATCTACTATGATACCTAGTTGATGGAGTTCTGGGAGTTCTTCTACTCCCGAAGCCCGGCCCGAGGCCAGGCTTGACTTGTGAGAGTTTGGTCCACTAGGCTGTTGCTTGGAGCGGCCCGCAGGTCCACATGCCCCCACAGCCCGGTGGGTATGATACAATTTGATACAATCATTGCAAAATAATCACAGTGGTATTTATTTATTTCATCCATATAAAATGATGCTGTGGGCACAAGCTGCACAGCAGTGCTGTGAGATGCTACAGCATGTGTTAGCCATGGTCGCCCCTCACAAAAATGAGGTCCTCACACCCGAGAGGCGTACCCACGATTTTTTCCAAGATGGCTTCTGTTTACTGAGGGCCCGAGGAATCAAATGTGGGCCCTGTGTATGCACGGGACTTTTAAATCTTATGCAGTACTCTAAATCATCTCTAGTTGACCCGTGCAGTAGGGTCATGTATGATGCGAGTGTCCCTATTTAACATGAGCAGATAAAGGGTTAAGTGATGGGTCAACTTTGGGTTGCAGCTTAGAACCGAGGTCATAGATTTTCTCTATGAAACAGGTTCAAAACTCACCCTATGGCTAACATATGGGGATGGTTTATATTCATGCAAATATGATACTTATTTGTAATTAATCAGCCAAAGATAATAAAAGCTCAAGATGTGCTATAAGACTGTACCATTATAAAGTCTGGAGTTTTCCACTATCTGTGAAATGTCAGACAGGAATTCTTCACGGCTCTGATACTTCTTCTGACGTAGATTATCCCGAATGGTTGATAAATCCATTGGATGATTTACAATGTTATAATAATCAGGTACTTGCTGAAAATAAAGAAACCAGTAAAAATGCAAATATATATATAAATTATAAAATGGTACTCATTTTGTTATTCACTTGAGACATAAATGCAAAATACTTTTGGTAACTCAAACAATTAAAACCTTACTGTATGCTGTATATCACTGTCAAGCTAGTGAAGTTCACATATTACCAAGACAATACACACTACATTCATCATATATAAAAAGAAAAGTTCCCAAGATATCTTAAAGCAAGATCCACTATGTTTTTGGATAGACCTATGCATTAAGATAATATCTTTCATATTTGAAACCCACAGTGCTCATAAAATTTGTGTACACTTAGTTTTGAAACTTTCCTTATATTTTCCAGAGACCAGATGCAATGGTTTATAATTAGAATAAGATATGAAGTGCTTACTGCTGATGGTAATGATCACAATATTCAATAGAGTTGGTTAACTGCACAGGCCTTTATGTAGGATATTAACTTTAATGGAAACAGCTAATGCTCCTGCTGTTCATGCCTATCTTCAGTCATTGATGCGACTCATTGTTATAAAACGAAGATGAAGAGACAACCATACAGGCTAACAATTATCCTTAAAATGTTGTTATCCATTATCCTTACAATGCTGTTATCCATTATCCTTACAATGCTGGTTAACTCTTATCCTTTCAGAACTCCCTGGCAATCAATTCATAGGCACATACCAAAGTACAGCTGGATGTAGAGAAAAACTAAAAAATATCTTTGTTCAAAGTGATCCATTACACTTAAGAAGAGTATATTAAAGTTGCAAGTAATACTAAAATAATGCAGCAGGTCTCAAATTGTTATGGGGGAAACAATCAAAATCATTATGTATTACTTTATAGTGTGGCAGTAAACAACTTTTATATAAATAACTGTAGTACATTAAAAGCTATGAGCCGTAAATAGACAATGAATGGTTTCCATATTTACCTTAACGTTCACTGGGAAGAGGAAAGGCTGAGCATCTGACATTTCCCGCATGTCATTCAAGATTTCCTCAAATATGGTTGAAAGGGTAATAACAGGGTCTATTCGACGACGATTTACACATCTTTCTTTTCTTTTCAAATAGTCACAGTGTACTACAGTACCTGCCCGCCTTCGTTTTGCATTTTTTACCTGATCTCTTGGTACTTTGAGTACCAGGGATCGTCGTTTTAGCTCTTCTGCATGCTGTAATGAAATGTTAAACTTTTAGCTCTCAATACTTTCAGTATACAGTGTAATAATGCAAAAAACTATAAAATATACTTTTAACCAATTCCTGAGTAATCTGAAAATTATGAGATAAACAGCAGGTAAAAAAGCCCCAAAATCCTGAATTCTAATAACCAGAAACTCTTGGAATAATGCTTTGAGTGTAGATGAACAACTTCATTCTGAGCAGGATACTTGGCTGCTCTCTTGTCCTGGCCCTCCTAGGAACGGGACCAGACATAGCCAAGACAGGTTGACAATTACATCACAGTGTAGAAGAGATGTTTTCAAACATTCCCACTGCATCATATGGGAAAATGACTATTCAGTCTGTAATACCCCTTCCCCCCCCCCCCCAGAAGGTTCATTTATCTACACTTAAAACTCTCCAAGCAATACCCCAAGAGACTGTCAAAAAGGTCTCTGCTGTTAGTTGGTCTGTATGGCTGCTATTTTTAACAGCATCCAGATCAACTCCTATATTGTTAACATAGTACCAAGAGGCTGCCAACATTATTTTTCTCATAGTTCTTCTCCCCAGCACACCTGGCTGGCCAAGACCAGCGCACATCAGTTAAATCACTTCTTATTTAGATATTGAAACTTTTGTTGCAATGCATAGTGAACTCCTGCTATTAATGGATGCTTCCATATGTCAAAGTTATTTGTGTCTGGATTCTTTCACCAGTCAACTTTGCCTTGGGACTTGGCCTCACACCAAGCGTTAGTGCTGGGAACACACTACAGGTATTTGGATACATCCGGCTGGCATGTCACCTTTGTGGAATTACCCGATTAATTTAGTTTAAACCCAAATCTTACTTGGTAGTATTGTGTGGCTGTCTTGCTTTTCTGAATTGTTATTTTAATCACTGACTGACCTTACCCATTCTTGTTTTGGGTCAATAAGGTTAGGATAGAGTCACACTGAATACATGTGTCTGGTTACCTTCCAAAACCTCCCCAAACAATTGGTTGGCTATCAGTACTACACATGCAGCTCCAGCAACTCTGCCAATCTTCTCGTGTACAGTTTCTAGGGCAGAACTACTGCTATCTTTAAAGGCTGCAAGTGACAGACCTAACTCAAATATTTGTGTTTTTTGTCTCAATGGAAATATGAATTGGCCTGGTAGATGTTTCAATAGTATCTGGTGATCCGCTATTTGTTGTGTGCCACTATTTCTCTCCTATCACTCTTGCCTTGGTTGTTGATGGAGCAGAATTTTAAGCCCATCACATTTGTTTCTTATGGTGCTGTTTTGACATGACTGCTCATTCTGTAATTTACTATGGATCTCTCTTCAAGGACCCATTGGAACCAGCCTGATGTAGATGTGGTTGTTCAAAGGCATTACATATAATATTTTGTGTTTTGTTGGTTTTAGCTACAGGTAACCGAAAATATGAGCTTATGGTTGGTATGAAGAGTTCTTCTGTGCCCACAACCCAGCTCAAAGCAAGGCTTTTGTGGTAATAACTTGAGTGGTAAGGGTGCTGCAACCATTGCCCATTTATCCACTTCCTGCAGGAACTTAATTAAATTAAGAGTAAACAAAAATAAATATATATTCTAGCAATATTTCCTACACGTGATTAAAGAAGTTCAAAAATTTGTGAGCCTCTGATATTCAAAGTGTTTTCTCATTGTGCCAATGGCACCTCTACACTTCAATTTTATTGTACACTTTTTACAATATCTTCCACTCCAGTAAGTTGTTTTATTGTGCAAATTGGGGAACTGACCTTCAAGTATCTTCCATGTACTACATTTTATTTATTATAAGATATCTCTCTCATTTCCATTCCAGAGTACATCCCAAGAACTTTGAGACAATTCTAATAATCTTGATAATTTACTGTTTATATGCATGCAGTAGAATTCTATTACAGTACTATATTTCAGGCCTCTTCCCTACCTTGAAAGGGGAGGCGAGACCAGCGTAGTACTTCAGGCAGAATAGCACAAAAATTTGAAAAATAGGAGCACGGGGATGACATCCCTTGTTACAGTAGTAAGGTTCTCATAATCTACTTTAAATTTCTCTGGCTAATGGTAATTTTGTTTTGCTACGCTCACTAATGTTAGATCATCCAAAGTCATTAATGCTAATTTGTTTACACGTCGTTTCCATTCTAGGAAACGTTTATTCCCAGTTTTCTGGGAACTATATAAGCTCCTCCCTATTCAGGAAATACCAGACTCTTGGTTAGTCTGTTTCATTAAACCTAGTTGTAGATAAATAAATTTTAGCTTCTTGTTGAGCTTCCTTCATCTGTTCTTTTCTATTTAAGGAGATATAATGAGTGATGGACTGAGAAATTTGAATTATCTAATTATTAATATTCAGTGACTTGTTGGTATTTATATAATACAGTATTAAATAAATACTCTTACAAGTCAGTACCTTAAATTAATACTCATATATGTATATATGTAAGTTTGTACAGCGTACCAATGTTACTTACTTTGATAACTTTGGAAGACAGTTTGATTTTAGTGCCATCGACATTTATTAGTTCCTCAGACTCATCAATTCCACCCTTCTCCATCTCCTCCTCTTGCTCCTCCGTCAAAGCCACACTGATTGGCTGTGAGGCGCTGGCATTGCCAGCGTACATTGGACACGCCTTGTTTGTGCGCATATGACCAACCTGTCTCAAAAAAGTAAATAAATAAGAATGGTCTCTCTCTACATCTATCTATATACAGATATATATACTGTATGCATGTTCAGTTCTTGCACTAGTAATGTTCATCGTCTTAAACAATCTACCAGAAGGAATACAGAATTATCTTAACATGCTTGCTGATGATACTAAGCTACTAGGGAAGACAGAGACCTAGATGATTGTCATGCTCTTCAAATTGATATAGATAAAATAAGTGCTTGGAGTGCCATGTGGCAAATGTATTGAAATGTGAATAAATGTCAAGTTATGGAATGGAACTGGAGAAAATAGACCACACACAACTTATGTGGAAAGGAAGTAAAGGACTAACAAAGGAAGAGATCAAGGGGTGGTTTTGGATAGTAGATTGTCACCAGAGGAACACATCAAGAACATTGTGCAAGGAGCATATACGTTGCTTTCCAGCTTCAGACTTGGTTTTAATTACATAGACGATGATATACTATAGAAAGTGTTCATGACATTTTGAGACCAAAACTGGAATACGCAGTGTTGTATGGGGTCCATATCTCAAGAAGCACATCAATTTTCACCACTATGAAATTGTACACACATTTCTAATCTGGAATTCATCTATGGAAACATTGTTTGAAAACTGTGAAAAAACAAAAATAAAAATTAAATGAGGTGTAGTATACCATGCACCATTTTTCTCAAGAGGGATCTACAGGCTCCCAATTAAGTTATGAGAACTATCTATCCAATACATTTACTGAACATATTTGTTCATTTCTGACCTGTCCACAAGCACCACACTTTAGTTTCAAATCAGGTTTAAGCTTAGGCTTCTTAGTCTTTGGTGGTGTAACAATGCCCTTTTGTTGGCGCTCTTGGTTTCGTTTAATTCTTCTCAGCTGTTCCTGGAGACGACGACGCTCTCGCTTCATCTCTTCCTTTTGAGATTCATCTGAAGTAGAGATGCTTTTACAGTACTTTAAATTATTTAACGCTGAAAATATTTTGCAAATATATACTGTACAAGTAAAACTCAAAGCTATACAACACTTAAATTAACAAATAAAAAAAAAGACATTACAAAATGATAGTTCTAATAAGTATTACTATACATAATATAAAAAATGTAATGAACAACATAACTCACCAAGTTGACCAGCAAAGCTTTTTATGAATGATTCATCTTTTGAAGTTCGTATCTTGACATAAGTGTCAATCACAGCAGTTTTTCGGACAATTTCAGTTCTGGTGTACTCCTTTCCATCTGGAGTCTTGAATGTACGAGTGATTCTCAAAAGGCGACCTGAATTAATAAGTGGTTAAAATAAAAACTAAAAAAAATATAAACACAAGAAGCTTTGAAAATAATTAATATACAGTACAACCTAGATTTGGAAAACTACATGGGACCTAGGCCAGATTCTTTACAACCGTTGATGACTTCGAGAGGCACTTGTGCAATTTTTTTTTGTTTAAAAAGATAAGAAAAATACACTGCCATACTTGTATGCTGATATGAGACACTGGTGTGTCATGAAAAATAAAAAACAAGCAGAAATGGAGATTCCAAGATAAATTTGTGGTGTCAGAAAAACAAACCAAGGAATGAATATATAAAGATGGAGAGTGTAAAGGTAAATAAATCCTAAGATTGAGGGAAGTGTATCAAAATGACTTGGTCATATTGAAGGAATGGATAATTAAAGTGGGGAAGAGTGATACAGGCATTTCCCGCATGGTACACTTCACCACATGCAGAGAGAAAGAATATAAACATCACCTGGAGTTCCAAATCCAAATTGCGAATTCTCATCTTCATCTTTCTTAGTTCCTTTTCTCTTATCACCATCTTTATCATCTTCACCCATAATCATCTTTTGTAGTTCTTTTCTCTCTTGTTCTTCCTTTTCCAATGTCATCTGGAACATTACAGGGTCAAAATTTGAATAATTTGACAATTAGGAAGCCAGATAGATTATTACAAAAAGTATTAAAAGAGAAATATTGTAGAACAATATAGATTAGAATTGATATTCTCCAAAACAGTAAACCCCAGCGCAAAAGAATCCCCACCTGACACTTGGGTAATTATGTATGTAAAATCTCTAAATCTACACTGATAGAATACTAAAAGAGGGGTACCTGGCATTGCCCAGGTGTGTCCATCTCCCACCTGTCAATCTAGGCCCCCATCCATTTATCTATCCATTCATCTATCCATCTATTTATCTATGAATCTGTCCATCAATCTGTCCATCTACCTATCAATCCATTTATCCATCTATTCATCTATCTATCCACCATCAATATAAGGTACTGATGATGCAAACGAGAGAAGTTCCCAAGTAAACAGGATGAGGGAATAAAACGTGGAGTGGATGAAATGTAATACACTTGGGTGGTATGGACATGTTAGCAGACAGTCACTCTGCAACCCACAACAGTGGGATAGGGGATAATGGTAATGAATGAATAGAACATACAATTTGTACTCAATTAAATAAAACTATACCTTATAAATTAACAATGTTTACATATTCATTACCCCATTTCCCATTTTCATTGGATGGGAAGGCCCCATCCTAAAGAAAAAATGCAAATATCCTGTAATTAATTGAAAGGTTTCAGATATTACAAAATACTGATACAATATAAATGACCATAAATTCTCAAAAACAGAAAAGTCATTATTTCATCAGAAAGCTACTCCCTCCCTAACCTGTGAAGTAGTCTTCTTATTAGCAAGGATGTTTTCAATATATTTTCCTTTTTCTTCCATATCGGAGTCATTATCCTCTTCCTCTGATGAACCTTCATCAGTAGACAAGACTTCTTCAGATGCTAGAACTCTATTCTGAAGATCAAATATACGCTGACATTCTTCTTTGTATCTGAAAATTAATAATAATAATATTAACATAGAATAAACAAAATGAGAAGACAGTCACTCCACCAATATTCAAAAGAAATAGTTTTACATTGAGCTGTAAAGATCAGGCAAAGAGGGTCAGTGTATGTTACCACTGCACTGCGCAAAGCGCCTTTAGGCGCTCAGAGAGTTGTGCTTTTTGTTTTTTAATTTGCCTATATTTTAATGTTTTTTTAATGTTTTCATTACTATTTGTGTTTTGAAATGGAAATAGTTGACTTTGGAAACATTTTGACATTAAATTTACCTGAACATTTGTAAAAATAACAAAAATATGTCCTTGACAATTGCACCAAGACGTTTTTGCCGAAAATAGGTGAGCAGTGCAAGGGTTAAGATGACTCACTAATGCCACAAATTAAAGTTGGATCTTGGCTTTTAAAATAGTCTATAACTGATAGCTTCACAACATGGAGTTATAAGAAGCTTTTATTCTTGGCACCTGATTCATATAACTCTTTCATTCACTTGGACCTAGATGTATTGAGCCGCAGAGGTTATTATGCCACTCCCTGGGACGTAAGTGGGCCATCGAAGGACTGTTAAGCCCCTCATGTAACCCCCCCCCCCAGGACAAAGGTGTGCAGTCGCCAAAACCAAAGTAGATGTTCTTAACACACTGCTTTCAGCTCCAAGTTTACTTATGGAGAATAAGGTAAGTAAGTCCCCTTATGCAGAACCCCGGGATTTGGGCATGCCTTCAAAGGGCCGGCTTACGCATTAGCCGCAGGACATCGGTAAGCCGTCGTACCTGACCTGCTGAAACCTCGGGACTTAGGCAGGATGTCAAAGGGTCAGTAAGCCCTGCATGCAGAACCCTCAGGATATAAACATGCAATTACTAAAATGGACAGTGTTAACACAGTCTAACCACTTTGAGCTCCAAGTTTACTCGTAGAAAATGAAGAAAACATTGTAGCTTTTTTCTTGTAATGAGGCAATGCCTTTAGGAATTACCAACATTAGTAACAGTTTGGCACCAAGGTGCCATAATAAAATATTTTTTAGAACATATGGTTACCTTTCCTGGTGCTCAGCAATAGAGAAACGGTTCCCTCGAGAAAACTTGTTCATTCCTTCTTCACCAGCCTTGGCTTTCTCAGTTGACAAGGTTCGCACTACATCAATTACTTCCCATCTTGTTAGTTTAGCAATCTGAAAATCAAATAATGATCATATGAGGTTATATAGTCGAGAGCTTGAAGTCAGCCAAACAGCCTACAATTCTGACCAATATGAAAAAAGCTTAAAAAACTTTCATGAGCATAATTCACACAGAAGCCTTCAATTTAGAGGAATCAAATATGAATGTTTGCGAGCAGTGACTTCAAATCAGCAATCTTTTTATAATAATGTGGGCTCCCCACAGAAAAATTATTTAATGTCTGAAGCAGGTGTGAACCCAGTTAATCTGTATTTTTTTAGGTTGCATTATATTTCCCATATATAAAAGCCTCTTATTATGATCATTTATATTAACATATTATAGGCATACCTCGTCTTCTGGAACCCCATACTGCCGTAGAAGGTTCTTTGCATTAATGAGAGAAAGTCTTCGAAGATCAGCATCAGTTCCTGTGACAGTGCGCTTGGGTTGCTGCTCCTGCTCCTCTTTATTTTGTGTTGGCTTGTTGGGGATTCGAATGTAAGAAAATCCTTCACCACAGCCTAAGAAATAACATGAACTATGATTAACTGAACAATTCACTACAAATCAATGTTCTAATTCAGACATCTATATCCAACTAATAAAATACTTATTGATCCTTCAACATAAGTATCGGCAACAAATGACCACGGTACAGTATAATAAACAATATGGGGCATGCACGAGCAAATTATACAACATGAATTCCGAGTGAGCAAATAGTATATACGTATGGGTATAAACAAGCACACAATAGTGTACAACATGATGTAGACAAACATTATGATAGGATTGGTGTGATTATGAATAATTTCAACTTTATTTCCCAACAACACTAATGGTGAGTGTTGTTGGGAAATGGCGAGTGCCTCAAAATCCCCCGACTGTGGAAAACAAAAAAAAGAGGAAAATCAAAATAATAATTTCTCTAAAATTACATTGTGTATATTAAATAAAATCACAAGAAAAGGCTCATCATAATGAAGGTGAATAAAAGAAGAGAAGGCAGAAATAAGTCTTGCCGATTAATGTACCTACTGAGCAACATGCACAAGGAAGAATTACAGCCATACATTATTATTAGCACTATCGCATGCGGCGTGTGAGTGCCGCAAACTTTGACGTCATGGGGTGAACGGTACGGGCGAGCGTGCGGCGACGCCTAAATGTGTATACTCGTTTCAATTTTCTCACTAATTCTCGTGCTATGTCTTTCGTTTCGATATAATTGTGTTTGCAATGGAATTGCCTATAGGTGTATATGCATATAATGTCCAAAAGCCCGGCGTGACTCCCCACAGCAAAGCCTAAAGTCGGCAAAAGTTACCCGTGAGCGCATAAAATCAGTAAAATGTGTATACTCGTTTCAGTTTTCTCACCTTAATTCTCGTGCTACGTCGTTCATTTTGGCATCATTGTGTTCACAATTAAATTCCCTGCAGGTGTATATGCATATAATGTCCAAAAGCCTGGCGAGACTCCCCGCAGCAAAGCCTAAAGTTACCCGTGAACGAGCACCAATTTGCACACCACAACCTAATGTGTTTACTCATTCAGTTTGATAACATCAATTTTCGTGTTACGTCTCTCGTTTTGATATCAAATTGTTTGCAATATAAATGTGCGCATTTTAAAACTAGTTTCATAATAATAGAGCAATAACTGGAATTTTAACAAATATTTTAATTTTGGACACTCACCATCACAAAATTATTTATATCTTTCCAGTGTTCTGACATCAATTTTTGTGTTACGTCGCTCGTTTTGGTATCAAATTGTTTGCAATCTAAAGGCACGCATTTTAAAACTAGTCCCATAATATTAGCACAAATAGAATTTTAACAAATATTTTAAAATTTAGACCCAAAAAGTATTTATAATCTTTCAAGTGTTCTGACATCAAGTCTCGTGTTACATCTTTCATTTTGGTATCAAATTATGCGCATTTTAAAGGTGCTAGTTTTGAAACTATCCCAAGGTCGATCGGATAAAAAATAAATTTTATACAAATATTTTTGGAGTGGACACGAGTCCTGTCTATGGCTAGGACTCGAGAGAAAAAAAAGTGGACGTGATCGGTGTCCAAAGCGAGCGATAGTGTTAAATTAATTTGCTATTGATTTTTGCGAGGCATAATGCTTCCGATCCACTCTCCCTAGTTGGGAATGGAGTAAAAGTGGCATATGAATACTAAGATTATTACCCCCCTTCATAAACATGATGAATACTGAGTAACCAACCATGACATATTATAAACAAGGCATCACTTACAACCCTGCTAATTGACAAATGAGAAAAATAATCAAACACATGCACACAACTAAGGAAACAAGGGTGCCAAAAAAATAATTGGAACATTTTCTTTTGCAAACAGAGTGGTAGACAGTTGGAACAAGTTAAGAGAGAAGATGGTGGAGGCCAAAACAGTCAGTAGTTTCAAACCCTTATATGACAAAGAGTACCGGGAAGACGGGACACCATGAGCATTGCTCTCCTCTAACTACCCTTAGGTACTTACACACCTGTTGGATCAGCAGGGCCAGTTAGTTGCAAAAGACATTTCCCACGGACAGCCTGGATATAGGCACGTGTAGTATGCCATGGAGCAACCTAGAATCAAGATAAGTACTTTAGTACAAATATCTGGAATTACAAATCTAAACTCTAAGCACCAAAATACTAAAACACTGAATTAAGTTTAACCCATAAATTAAGAAGTTTAATAAATTAACCCTTAAACTGTGCATGGCGTATATATACGCCCTGAGTAACATGTCCCACGGTGCGCATGGCATATATATACGCCATAGGGTGCCAGGCCTGATTCAAATGGCCCGCGGCTACACGGGGTTCACAGTAGCTTCCTCAGGGCTCTTGTAAACAGACGCCATTTAAAAAAAAATCGTGGGCAATATTCTCAGGTGTGAGAGGCACAGTACTGTTGGAGCAACCAAGGCTGGCGCAAGCAGCATGAGCGAACAGCATTGCTGTTCAGCTTGTGACCACAGCATCGCCGAAAAATGTCAAAATAAATATATAATTGTTATTATTTAGAGATGATAATATTACAGATGACCCACGACTGATATAAATAACCAGGGTTGTGATAATAGCAGGATTGTTGTAATAATTAGCGCTGTGGGAGGAGTGATGCTGAGAGACGGAGGGAGACAGCATCGTTTACTGACTGTGTGGCTACCTGTTATTGTTTGCATTCACCATACCAGGTCAGTGGTTCTCTATGGTGAACACAAATGTAGACACTTATATATAATGTGTGTGTTAGTGTAATAACAGCAAAAGGATTATGCTGGGAGGAGCCATATGGGTGACGGAGGTGACGTCGTCTGCACGATTTGTCTAGCTCTTTAGAGGGTGGCCACTATGCTCTTTGGGCGCACTACAAGCTTAGGTGTACAGTTACGGTGCATAAAACATGTAGATACTTATATAAAATATGTGTATATAGGGTAATAACACTGCAAACAGTATTGTTGGGGGAGAAAGTTTAGTGCGTGTGACCTTGAATAAGTGAGGGAGCCGCCAGCCGCCATCTGTGTATAGCGACGACTCTTAGTGCCTGACCTAACTATATCAGCTTAGCTGTACAGTTGTGGTGAACAAAATATATATACATACTTATATATAACGTCTGTATATAGTGTAATAACACCACAAATGGTATTGTTGGGGAAGAAAGTTTAGTGCGTGTGTTGAGGGAGTGGCAGCGAGTGGCTGGCTGGTGTGTGGCGGTAACTCCTCGTTGCTTTTCGACTCTCAGTACCAACTTAGTGGTTCGTTATGGTGACCAAAACATGCAGATACTTATATATAACCTGTGTATAGAGTGTAATAGCAGCAAAACTATTTGTTTATTGTTTTATAAACATAATAATTGAATCACTAATATGCACATCATACTTTTGAGTATAGCAATTATTCACCACTTTTATTATATAAATATATTACAATACACACTAATGAATAATATTACTGCAAAAAAACTAAGAAAAAATCAATCGGAGACATTGAAACAATTAGGTATTAATATCTTTGTGGCAACTCCCATCTGTCAGCGCGGGTGATGCTGACTGGGTCTGACGACCGCTCTGTCAACGCCCACTTTTTGCCAGACTTCCTCGGTCAATTGCGCCCAAAATATGTCACCTACGATTTTTTTTTTTCCCCGTGCTCAGGGGACACAAATTAACATGTTTAGAAGACGAAAAACAAATTTTAATTTTTTTTTTCTTGCGCACAGGGGTGTAAATGTCCCCAGGACCCCTGAGCAGTGTAAGGGTTAAGAGAACCTACAAATTACAAGAAGTTTCTTCAGGATTCAAGACCATTACATAATGCAGAATTTTAAAAATTCCCTGCTGTGCCATGATGTTTTATCATCTTACCTGACTGTGAATGATCCTGTCAAAGGACCCAAGGGCATCTTCATATTTACTTAGTTTAGCCAGCAACCAACTGATAACCAAGATATGATACAAAACAACTTCCAGCAATGTGTGTGGATTCACCTCAACTCTTAAGAGGATCACTTCATGTTAATGATATTCAGTTGCTTTGTTATTACTGTACTGTAAAACTATACACTGCATTGGCATTTATACTACTAACAACCCCGGTCTTAAATTCAATGTAACAGCTGCCAAAGTATTATTATATTACTCACAAGCAATTGAATCTTTATAATTTGCAACAATCATTAATGACCATTGATTATATTTTAAATTTTATATTGTACATTTACTTTTTAACATTTTACTGCACATGTACCTTCGTGCATTTATCTTTCTGTAATTTAGTGTATGCAACAAATAATTGAACTTGCAAAATTTATGCACAGGCCTCCTTACTTGTATCTAAAATATTAACATAATATTATTAGCTTTATCTGTCCACAATTTTGTGCATACTATGAGCCACGCAATAAAGCTGTTCATTTATACATACTGTATTTAACATCTATGAAATAAGGCTTATAAAAAATCATCACTAGCATTATTACTGTATGAGCTTTCTTATCTGAAATCCGCCGACACGAATACTGGTACTGTACTGTATTTGAGTTATCCAGCGATAATTGCGGCCAGATATTTTTTGGGCAAAACTTTGCCATATCCAGTTAGAAATTTGGATAACTGGTGGTTTGGCTGGATAATGCAGGCTGGTATAGGTTCTGAGTCCAGATAACTTTGTCAAACTTCATATCCAGACAGAAATCTGGAAAACTTAGGATTTTACTGGATATTGCAGACAGGCATTGGGCCATACTGTATTAATCCCATACAGCAGTGGTTTGAAAAGCGGGGTATGGGAGGTGTTGAGTGGGTGGTTTTAGGGCAGGGGGAGTCAGGAGGAACTATCTGGGGGATGAATGTGGAGGAGCCTTTGATCTGTATTGTATAGAATAACTAAATTATGCTAAAAACAAATCCTTCTGTTAAAATCTAAATAAATATTATCTAATATTATACTAAATAGAAATTTCTTAAAAACTATGTACAGGATGAAGACTATAGTTTCCTGCTAAAATTTAGGGATTATTTTTTCTACCTAAAATTTTATTATTTTTTTTTTTTTTTTTTTTTTTATAAATAAAGTGCCTGCCTGCCCAAAGCACACCCGTCCAGGCCTGGACAAGATAAACAGCCGACGTGCTCCCGACCCTCGCACTATACCACAGTGCCAAGCCATAAATGAAACTTTTCTTAAATAACTTTTTTTATTTCCACAGCAACTTTGATCATTTTTTGGCAAGACTATGGTAGTAGCAGCAATCATTCTGGAGGTGTTAAGAGGAAGAGGTTGTGCTAACACCACAGACAACCAAATACAGTTTACTCATGACATCCGTTGACATGGTAGTTAATTTTTCGTCCAACTGTACTAATCCAGAAGTTGGAAACGTGCATCAGTACTTAAGGAAAACCAAAGAGCTGACCATAAGAGAGGCCAATGAACACAGGAGGCAAGCAAAACTCGATTCTTATTGATAAAAACAGCAAGCCAAGGCCCTTCAACCACTGAAGCCTCACACTCAAGCCAAGAGCCTTCAACCAGTGATGCTTCAGCAGCTGGTAGTCAAAACTGACCTCATCAAGTTCATGTACTGTACAGTAATTTTAGTGTTAAATTAGGATACATAAATTTTCAAGAATTATTGATATGAAGATACAGTATTGTATCCTGCATCAATCAAGAAGATAAACTACAACAAGGTAAGCTAAAGTTTTTGTTTTAAATTACAGTACAGTACTAGATTTTTTGTAATTACAGTGTGAGTATGTTGTTACAAACAAAATTGCGAATATGTTCACTTTTGAACTTTCCCAATAGGAATTCTACTTATCCGAATGTCTGGCTTATCCGGTCTGGGGTCCTTCCCATATAATTTGAAAAAGCGAGCTCATATAGTATTAGTATTATTAGTACTGGTATTATAATTATTTGTGTGGTAGTACAACAAAGTAATGATAATCTGGTTTCAACTTTTTGGCAACACCTAAAATCCAACATAATTTGCAAGACACTCCACCAGATGTTTACAAAACTACTGAATTACATTACACTGCTACAGCAGTGTTCATACAGATTTAAATCATTAAAGTTATGTCCCTGGCTTATGCAGTGTGGTTTCTATCTTTTACTATGTACTTTAGTCTGCATTCCACATTCTGCACTACTTAGTATACTGAAATTATGAAGCATTATAGTTTGTAAAACTAATCATGAATTACAACTTATAATGAGTATAATTAAAAAATTTAATTACAGTATATTTAATAAAATTTCAATTAATATTTGCCGAGGTTCTGTGTAATTTATACATACTAGGCAAACATTTACCTTTATTTCATCATCTAGCTTTTGTGTATCATCATTATCATCATCTTCCAAAGCAGAAAGGAATTTATCACCATATCCAGCATCCTTGAGGCGCTGCTCAGCTGCAGACATACTGAAGTAGGTACAGCACTGTTCTGGCGACACCATAGATCGGATTTCCTCCTCGGTTGGCAAACGAAACTCTGGTTTGATTACCCACCAATTACTGTTGAATGAATCCATAAAAAAAGATATAATTAGTAAGTTGTATATGTAAAAATACATTTAAATACTTTCAATTTTGTAGAGATTAGGTTATTACAACAAAACACTTCAAAAGTTTTGAAGTGTTAGTTTGTATAATTATTGTATAAAGTCTGCAATACTGTACTGTATATAATTACATTTTTTTATAAAAGTTCATTTGTCTTATCAGTGAAAAAATGGATACTATCTATTTATTTTATACGGATCATTGACAACCAACTCAATATAAATAAATAATTTTTAATAAAATTGTTAGGAATAAAAATAAGTTGAAAACTCCATGGAAAATTTTATCATAAAACAAACTAAACAAAAGAGTATCAAATTTACCTGTCAGCACCTGTACGCTTAAAGTCTGCACACGGTTTGAGTCTTTTACGAATTGAGCTTTCTGAATGGGCTGGAAAAGCTCGTTTAATTTCATCCATTTTTATTCTTCGTGGATTGTCTTTACTTTTCCAAAACAAGCGATAGATAAATACCTGAAAAAAATGTAATGAATCTTAGGCTTATTCTATTTATCTATATATTTTATACCTGATTGCCCCGTTCTTGTGGGGGATGATGAGGTGTATAAATTCCCCACAGACATCTAGGGTTAAAAATTACTGGGAACCAGACATCCTCTCCTCTCACCTAAAACTATATGTCCCTAGCTATGGCATATTTTTAACTTGATGGGGTAGGAAGTTGGGGGTGAACACCATACATACAACATAACTAATACCTAAATTTCACATGCTGGTTTCTAGAATCAATTGGGGCAATCACTATATATTTGTTGTTAGAAATCTTGGCTAATTCTAATGTAAAAACATGTCAGCAATTCCTAAATTTCAACCAAGCTCCTCATACTTCACTCTGTACTTTTAAATACACCTTTATATCTTTATTCCCCCTGTCACAAGAAACACATATACATATTAGGAAACAAAGAAAAAGTGAAACGAACAATTATAGTGAGCAAATCAAGTGAAAATGAGAGAACATTAGTGGGATCTGTGAAACATTAATTAGCACAAGGACATGAAGGAGCTTGAGGAAGTAAGTGGGACACAAGTAAGCACTGGGGAAGGTAATAGCACATGAAGAATGAACATTGGGAAAGGTAATACAAGGTGAACAATGGGAAAACATTGAGAAAGATAACAGAACAAGGTAAACAAAGGGGAGGGGGAACACTGGGAAGACAACAGAACAAGATAAAGGAAGGAACACCAAGAACGTAACAGAACAAGGTAAACATGGGGGGGGGACACTGGGAAGACAACAGAACAAGATAAACAATGGAAGAACACTGGGATGGTAACAGTACAAGGTAAACAAGGGGGGAAAGATGATGGATGATAAAGTGTGGGATGTGAGAACATTGCTAATATAATATTAAGTAAAATACAGAGGAACACATAGGATAGAGGAAATATGGAAAACAACAGGGCAGACGCGAGAACATGGTGGAATGTGAGGAATTAACGACACTCACTGGGGATGTTATAAACTATACTAGTATTTTCAAACAAATATGCACAAAATATAGCTTTACCCCAAAATGCTAGTGTTTTAACATTAATTAGTAATTACAACAATAATATTAATAATTACCAGTAATTACTGGTAATTATTAATATTAAACCTTAGTGACATTACCTGCAAAAAGTCCCTAATGAAGTTGTTAGCTCTCTTGGAGTTTGGCCCGGGGACTTCATAGAGTGGACATTCTTGACCAACAGTGAATACGCCGTCTAGCTCACGAATGCAAAAGTTATTTCGTGTTCTTATAATCAGAAAGTCTGTGGAAATGATCTGAAAAATAATAAAGAATAATTTAATTAATGAAAAACCAGATGATTGAAACTCAGTTTTATTCAAAATGGAATAAAAATACACTTGTTCATATCTTTCTTTTCTATGTATTAAATTAGATATCTTAAGTCAGTTGATATTATTAGGGAAAAAAAAGAAAGGCATTATGGGGATTTATGTATTCTAAGCAAAGCAAGGATATTGGAAACAAAACTTTTCTGAAGCAAACTTGACAAAAAAAACAGCATTGAATATAATGAAACACCATTTTCTAGGTAAACCCAGAGAGGCTCCCTGGAGCTATAGGACTGATATGCGCAAAATTAGTCTGGGGCTTCAGTCAATGGAGTTCTGCCTACCGGGGACCAGAGCCTGAACCTGACCCCCTCAGATAGGCACCAGGAGCAATGGCCTAAGGAGATCTTCTTGTATTTGAGGGTATTCCTCATCTGCCAGCAGCTGGGGTTAGGTACCCAGAAAGGTAGGCATCTCAAAACAAACCCCACATGGTAAAAAATGCAAAAACCCAAGACCGAACAGAGAAATAAAACTCCCCAAAAGAAAAGAAAAGCAAACACACAAACAAGCAATCGGATCCGGAGCCCCAGACCCCCACACTGGCTCTCTACACTTTAGTTCGTGGCTGAAGCACTCTGGGGCAGTTGTCGATTCTGGCCTCAGATTTGTGCTGGATTTTGTTCCCTTGTGATGTTTCCTGCTGTTTGTGGCACAGTGGCTAGTTGTATTATAGTGTGCTGAGGGCTGCATGCACTTAGGGCTACCTTCCATAAGCTCCCTGTGAGTACTACCCTTGGGTTCTAGGGTTTTCTTCCCTCGGGCTTTCAGGCTTTACTTCCGTAGGGGTTCCTGCTGCTCGGCAGTTGCCCCGCAATTGGGGCCAGCTGGGGTTTAGTGGCCTTTGTTTGGCCTTGGGTAGGAAGTGTTGTTATTGCTGGTTTGGGACGTGAGGTGCTGTACAGCACGCCAACCAATGTGGCGGCTGTGTTCCCTGTTCCTCCAGTTGGGGTTGTGCTTTTGTGGGGTTTTCTTTTCTTCTTGTTTATTGCTTGGAGGAGTTCTGCCTGGTTTGACTATTTGTCCACTTCATTTTAAGCACCTGGGTGCCTAACCCCGGTCAATGGCAGACAAGGAATACCCCCAAATACAAGGGGGGTCTCCTAAAGTCATTGCTCCTTGTGCCTCTGAGGGAGCCAGGTTCCAGCTCTGGTCCCCAGTAGGCAGAACTCCATTGGCTGAAGCCCCAGACTAATATAGCACATATCAGTCCTATAGCTCCAGGGAACCAAAGGGACTCCCCAAAGAAAAATCAATAAATTGTACATCACTGACAAAATCAGTCATCAGACATTATGATTGATTATAAGAGCAATACACCAATGGCAGCAAAAGTTTTAAAACTAACGAGGCATTTTCAACAATGCTGGCATGTACATCACAGGAACTGAAGGTAGGTACAATAATGTTATTTTATAAACTAATACAGTACCGCATTTGGTTTCCACAAGTAATTTATGCACAGCTTGTTAATCACAAAATCATAACAAAAACTTATTTAAATTGACACAGAAGATATATACTTATCTGGAAAATGATGATAGGAAAAGTTTATGAATATTATATTTAAAATAAATCTAACTTTATTTATGAATTGAAGTAAGTGGCTGCAGATTTCCAACACAATTACTATTACGTATAATTTTATTATTAGCTAATACTGACAAAAAAATTGTAACAAGTACATACATCTTTATTTATAAAACAAACCACATTCATACTTCACAAAACTATTATTTTGTAGTGACTTGACAAACTTAGTCAAAAAATCACTTACTAAATTATACAGAAACTAACAATACTACAAGATTATATATGTTGCCGGGGAGCCTCCGGGTCTCACCCAGAAAATGGCGTTTCATTACATTCAACGCTGGTTTTCTGGGGGGAGCCCCGTCGGCTCCCCGGAGCTAACTACCCACAGAGGAAGGTCAAAGGGACAAAACCGGGAGGCGGACACCACGCACCCCCCAAGGAGGCGAGACAACCGGCAGCAAACGCCAACCCAAGGCGCCACAGCCCCGAAAATCCCGGGAACAACACGAGAACCACGAGCAGCAAGGCCCCTGCACGAACACCAAAAATCCATGCCCGCAAGGCCACGTCGCCCAGACGGCAGCGAGAGCAGCAAAGCCACGAACGGCACAGGCATGAGGGAAGAACACAGGCAGCTTAGCCGCAAGAACACGGCTGACCACCCGGGACACCATCACCCGCGAACCGGGAAGAACAGAACCGGATCAACGCAAAACGCGCTCCGGACCCAAACGCCGTGGCACGCAAACAACAGCGGAGGGCCGCCACTGAACACAAAAACGACACACCCCCGGCCCGACCAACGAAGCACCAACAAACCCTGGACCCCTCCAGAATGCAGCAGCCCCACCCCGCGCCAGAAAAAGATGGAGACTGCTGCCATCAAACAACCAAAACGCTTAAACCGAAGGAGCAAGAAAACTCAGCGAATCGACCCCCAGAGGCAAAGGCCCAAAGGAAAGAGCCGACGAAAAAACACACCGGAACCGAAAGGGCACTACCAACTGAGGAGAAGACAGAGCACGCTGACCAGAGACCAGGATGGTGCAAGCGGCGCACGAACCAGCCGGAGGTGAAATGACGCACAAGACAGCTGACTAACGGTGCAAAAGCAACACCAAGACCGAAAGCAAGCTGAAGCGGCTCCGCCTGCGCCGCACGAAAAGAGGCGACAGTATGTGGCAAGACGACGGCCCCCAACCCCCACTAGAAAACCAAGCCGAGAGTAAACCAAGCTAACAAGAGGAACTACCTAAGAAGGGACAGGAAAAGGAAGGACCGCCAAAATACCCCATACTGCCGCCAAGAGAAGCACGCAGGTGGGACACCTACCACGAAGCCACCCGACCACCAACCGGAGGCGAGACCACGAGGCAGAACATAAGCAGCCCCGACAAGGCCCCCCCCCGAGCCCAGGAAAAAGGCGGAGCCGCGAGAAGATCTCGGGCGCGACCACTGAAACCCAGGCGGCACAAGGAGATGGAACGTCTGCCGAACAGAAAAACTCCGAAGCATGCAAGCCCGCCAGGAGTTCAGAAACGACGGGTCCGACGCGAGACATCGCAAGAACCCCCCCAAAAAAAACAACAACAACAACCGGCAGGGCAAGCGAGGAAAACCAAGAAGGCGGAAGGGTCGCCGCCAGAACAGGACCCGAACCAAGGGGCACGAACAACTGCAACAGACCGAGACAAAGAAGCACACCACAGGACACAGGCTGACCAACGCCTAAGAACACACGCAGGACATCCCCGCTGCAGAGGAGGCAGGCAGAAAGAGCTGAAGCACAAAAAAAAAAAAATTAACCAGGAGAACAACCAGGGTGGACAATCAGGCAGGGACAAAAACCCCACGCAATCCCCAGGCACAAAAACGGCAGCAAAGTGCCACTCCACAACCGGACACAGGAACAAGAACACGCCACCGTGAAACACGGTACCAATGCACACGTGCAGCAGCAGCAACAGGCACCACTGCAACATGCAACATGTAAATAGCAGCTCCCCTCTGCAAAGGCAGAGAACGGAGCAGGCAGACCCCAGACAGGGCCAACGGAGACACGACAAAACCCTGCAGGCCCAGAAACCTGCACCAGGCGACCGACGGCGGAGAAACCCCGCTCGATACCTGCTGGATGAGGTACTGGGAGCTCTTTTACACCTCAAGCCCGGCCCAAGGTCAGGCCAGACTGGCCAGAGGATGGCCCACCAGGCAGCTGCTAGGAGCAGTCCACCGGCCCACATACCCCCACAACCAGGACGGGCCGGAGCTGCCATACGAAAACAGGCCAGTGCGCCCTGGAAGTCCACGGACGAACCAGCAAGAAGGCTTATGCTCGCAAGTAGGTCGTGTAACAAGCACAGACCACTGATGGTAATACAGTGTTCCCCAAAAGTGCCAATAGCACCACTGCACTCCACTGGTACTATCCCGCAAGTTCTACCAGATAGGCGGGACCCAAGAGCCAGAGCTCAAATCCTGCAAGCACAGCCAGGAGCCTCACCAGGTGAGTACAGAACCAACCCTACAACCCCCACACCTCAACATTAAAAAAGGAGGGTCCCCTGAATGACTCCAGCATGGGTTGGACATGCACATGAGGGGGACAGGAAGGGGTGATAAAGGGACAGTCACAGGTGTGCGAACGGTCTCAGTCGTAAAAAATTATACCTAAATAAAGACAGGTATATAAACACCGCCGCATCCAGCGCCCGGCCAAAAGACGCCAGACCGCAGAAACTCACCTGGCGAATGGTGGCTCGAACTTGACACGACTCAACCGTGCCCAGAAGAACGTGGGAGCACCGCCAGGTGAAGACGCCAGAGCCGGACCCTGCCGGACCCGCAGGAGAACAGGGAGAGGCGAAGGAGGCGGTCCACACCCATGACACAGGGAAAACTGCGGTGTCCTCCCCACAACAGGGAACCAGGACACCCCCGGCGCGAAGGGGCACATACCGCAGCCAGGGAGAAGAACGAGAGGCGAAGCACTGTAGCAAAAAAGGGCGCAAAACCCCAGCACTGAAACACCGCCCAGACCAAAACAAACTCCACGGCGCATGCGCATAACACGCTGGCCGAACCGCACACCCTCCCTGCGGGAAGGCGCCAGCCACGACTATTGCACGAGAAAAAGAGCCAAAAGAGGAAACAGGAACAATAAAACCGGCCAAAGAAGCAAAGAGCCCAAAAAAAAGGAACCCAACCGGGCGACAAGTAGCCCAACCGGGCGACAAGTAGCCCAACCGGGCGACAAGTAGCCCAACCGGGCGACAAGTAGCCCAACCGGGCGACAAGTAGCCCAACCGGGCGACAAGTAGCCCAACCGGGCGACAAGTAGCCCAACCGGGCGACACGTAGCCCAACCGGGCGACAAGTAGCCCAACCGGGCGACAAGTAGCCCAACCGGGCGACAAGTAGCCCAACCGGGCGACAAGTAGCCCAACCGGGCGACAAGGAGCCCAAACAGGGCGACAAGGAGCCCAACAGGGCGACAAGTAGCCCAACAGGGCGACAAGTAGCCCAACAGGGCGACAAGTAGCCCAACAGGGTGACAAGAACTAGGAGCCGACAGACGTTCCAATAATGCGGGAAGTAGCGAAAAACCTTCCCGTACCCTCGAGAACACAGAAGCCAACACTAGTCCCGAAGGCACACGAAGGCGCAGGCGCACCCGAGATCAGAAGTCACGCAGAACCCCATCGAACGGGGAAACATGACAAAAACACCGTCCCAAAAAGCGGGGGAGGAAACAACCACCCACAGGACGGAACCAACCGACTCAAAGGCCAAGGAACCGAGCCCGGGGAGGGGCCGACGTCCAACAGCACGTACGGCGAGTGGGGAGGAAAGACCCCACTCCGCGTAACCACAAGCCCCGCCTAGAGGGGGATAAAAAACCCCCACGGGGTCTAACGGGGCCAAGGCCCCCCCAAGTCAGCCCCTCCCCAGCCCCGGGAACCTACACGACAGGCCCCGGGGCCGAGCCGTTCCCCCAAAGCCCCGGCCGTACCAGAAAACCGGGGCAGCCGTGAAAACACTAAGGAAGAGAGCCCACTGGCAGACTCATACAACACGGCTGGAGGAACAGGCCCAAATGCCCCCGTCACTACCCCGGAAGGGGAAGTCTCCGAGACTGCCCGAGTCTCAACACCACCAAACACCCCGCCCTGAACCTACAGACGGTAAGGAACCGGATGCAGGCAGGAAGGGTGAACCAGGGGAAAGACAAGGGGGCGTGGATGGAACCGAAGCAACCAACACCCCCAAGTCCCAAAACGAACTACAACGGGGCAGCCCCGGGGCTCCCGGGGAGGAAACCACGAGAACGTTGCCACCACCAAGGCTCAAGTGCAACGCCCCTGCTGCCCGCACCCGCTTTGTTAGCACAACTGGGGAACCGAGCCACAACGAGCAACCAAACTCGCAGGACACCGGGTCGAAGGTGTCACCGACCCCACAGGCAGCAGACGGAGGCAAAACAGAGAGTCACCCAGAGACAAAAGGTGAGAGCAACCCTCAAACTCGCTGGAAGCGAGGGGGGGGGCTCTGGGGTCACATCCATCGGACCCGCGCGCCCCCAGGGGTTTCCCAGGGTCCCGAGCGTTTACTTTAAGAGGACTCGCGCTCAGGTAATCCCAGGCAGGGTACTGCTAACCGGCACCCAAGCTACCAAACAACTTTCTAAGAGCTGAACCCCCGGGACGTGTACACTCACGGGGACCTAGCAGGGGGTACCACCAGAAATACTCAGAACACAAGGGACACAAGGGGCAAGAACGAAGGCAGACCCCCCCACCAGGTATATAAACAAAAGAAAAAGAAAACCCCGCAAGAGGACAGCGTACCCAAGCGGAACAGAGCCGGCCGCTATGATTGGTAAAGACAAGCTGCACAGTACCCCGCGCCCCACCAGTGCAAACACTGCCCCTTACTCTAAGGCGAACAAGGGAGACAGAACACCCGAGCACACAAAGAGCGGCCGAAAACCAAGCAGTAAACGGCCAAGCAGGGGCAGGACCCAAGGAACTTGTGGAAGGTGGCCCCAAGCCCCAAGGGCAGTACTTACAGGGCACCTAGGGAAGGGAACCCTAGGCGCATGCAGCCCGAGTACTGAAGAATCACTCCCGGCTCACGCACCACCTAGAAAACAGACACCACACTCTAGGTACAGTGCTGAAACAACCACTGGAGCCGGAGCACATAACCATTGCCTATAGCATCAGCCGAAGAACTGATGGGTGGATAGCCGGCGTGGGAGGTCTGGGGCTCCCCCTTCCCCCTCCCGGGGAGGGGGGAGCTGCGCAGACAGCGGCGCGGTGACGTATGACGTCATACTAGTTTCCTTGTTTTCTGTTGAAGAGTTCTATTCACTAGTTCGGCTTAGGTAGCAATTTTCACCAGAATAGGGGTTTGTTTTGGAATGCTTACCTTTCTGGATGCTTGACCCGGTCGATGGCAGACATAGAATGCTTCCAACCACACGGGGGTTTCTATAGGCCATTGCTCCCCTTGCCTCTCTGAGGGGGCCAGGTTCTGGCTCGTGGTCCCCGGTAGGCCCTAGAACTCCATACACATGACTGATGCCAAAGTCTGACATTAGCATATCAGCCGGTAAAGCTCCGGGGAGCCGACGGGGCTCCCCCCAGAAAACATGATGAACTGCATCAGAACACACACATATATACATAATTAGACTAACTCCTTTTGTCCTAAGGAATGGTAAAAATTAAAGAGGTCTTTCTAACCAACATGAACTATGTAATGTAACAATTTTACAATAAAATTACCTTGTGTTCATACAGAGGTGCTCTGAACATATTGTTCTCCAAGGTCTGAATGCTCTGGCCTGGATGCATAGCCCCAAGGAAAGGAGAAGTGTGTGCATAAGCTGTCTCACCAAAGCGGAATTCTGGGGGTCCCTTATCATTTCCTGCTCGTCGTTTGTAGTAGTTCTTCACTCTTGTTGACATACCAACCTGCAAGTTTATTTCAAAATACAAGAGTTTCAGTGATTTACAGTCTCCGTGGTGTAAGAAGTCGCCTGGCGTCCGCGAGCGCTGTCATGGGTTCGTATCCTGGCCGGGAGGATTTACTGGGCGCAATTCCTTAACTGTAGCCTCTGTTTAACGCAACAGTAAAATGTGTACTTGGATGTCTTCGCGGCAGGGGATCGTATTCCAGGGACTTAAGGACTTGCCCGAAACGCTACGCGTACTAGTGGCTGTACAAGAATGTAACCTCTTGTAGATGCTATATAGTTTTAATGGCTTGGCACTTTCCCCCAGATATTTCCCTTCCACATATTATGTAAACAAAATTAAAAGTGCCCTTACTAATTAATGTAAGAGGAGAGAGCAGTAAAGGTAAGAGGTGTTCTTAATGATGGTCTTGCCTGTAACAGTGTACACAAGCCAGCACCACCTTATAGTCTACTACAATTTATTTGATTGAATACTGTTTTTTAGCTTCTCGGTGAAAGAAAGTAGCAACTGGTAGCTTAAATATTTTTGGGTGTGATGTTACTATATGCTTCAAAATTATTATAAATAAATTTATATGTATAATAACAAGATATATCTTTTATTAGATAATAATAGCCAGAGAAATGTCAAATCTTAATAATTATGTAGATTTAAAAGCAGAGCCCAATTTTCTGAAATTTCTATAGAGAAAATGTTCATTAGTGTGAGCCACTATCCAAGGGGTTAAACTACATACAGGGAAAACCCACCTGGGATAGAAGTGGAGGATACTCTTCACAGTACTCTAAAAGAACAATGTCACCATCCTTGCCAGTAAGATCTTCAGGAGTTCTCATGAAGAAAACATCACCCCCGCCAGATGCCAAGCGCTCCATTTCTCTTTGCTGTTAACAAACAAACTTAATGTTAATGAAGAAACATTAAGAGAAATCAAAAGATAAAAGTAACTTTTAAGTGACAATATGAATCAAAGCATTAGGGTCCTCATTTTCATAACCTTCAATAGAAAATCAGATTACTATACAGTGGAACCTCAATTCAACGAACTTTGATTTGCCGAATCTCTGGTTGGAACACACTTTCCATGCCAGATTTACTCACCTGAATCGACGAACAAGAGTTCACTGAAGGATGTGTGGATTTGCTTAGAATGTTGGGACAAAGTTCACAGATGGAGGCAACATTATAAAAAAAATGGTTGGGGGCCTTGGGAAAACCACTGAGTATATTTAAAACCAAATTCTATGGTTCTTTTTTATTCCAGTTGCAAAGGGTTTTGTTCAGTAAAATATGGGTCCTTTTTCCTTTGAAAATGAGATTTCGAGGCTAGACTGTTTGAAACATGCTAAATGTAGTTACCGTAGATCTCTTTGCACACAGGTTCTCTTGATAATTGGCTTTCATATGACAGATTGAAGTTAAAATTTCCCTGTGAAATTAGCCCATAAAGCCTGTGGGAAATATCCGGGTATGAATGATAACTCAATTAATATGGCTCCAATAGCATTTTTGATGATTTTAACAGATGGACTCAACATTACAGAAAATTGCAGGGGTCTTGGAAAAGCTATTGAATATATTTAAAACCAAATTTTATAGTTTGTTTTTATTTTTAGTTGGCAAGGTTTTTGTTCACTCAGGTATGGCCCTGCTACCTTTGGAAAATGAATTTTAAGGGTGGGGACATGAGAAATAAACTAGGCATGGTTAAATTTTGTTGCAGACATGTTCATTTGGGAGTTGTCTATTATATTATAGGTTGAAATTCAAATTTTGCCTAGTAAAATTAATCCATAGGGCATCGGAAATGCATCCTGGAGGCATCTCTGGTTGCAACGAATCCATCACTTTAACAAATTGAGGTTAGTCCCATATAGTTCGTTAAATCGAAGTTGTACGATACTAGATAGTATTAAAGCAAACCAAGCTCATTATTATGAACTATACACATTTACCTTTGCTTTCTTCTTTATTTCCTTAGTTAGTGGATACACAGGATGAGGGGCCATATGTGACAGAGCACCATGGGAATACCGCTTTAGAGGAGGGCGGTGGAACAAACGCAGCTTCTTCTCTCCCATATACGTGGGTAGAAAAGGTGGTTGAAGTTCAACCTAAACAAAAAAAATGATAAATAGTAAAAATCCTTATTCACAATGATAAAATGTTAATTCTGCAGGTGTAATTGCATGCACACATTTGTAAAATGCAAATGTCTTAAATCACTTTTGCTCCCAGTGCACTCTAATTGTTTATCATCCACACTGAATCTGACTACTGCACTAAATTATATCTTCTGACACTTATATTTCCAGCATCCACTTGGAGATGAAATAAAAATTTACTTGGGAAGGATAGATTGGGGAAACCTGAGCATAGTAAATGGGCTGTCCGAGGGAGGTCATATGACTCTTAACAGATGAAATAACACTGGATTGCATTGTAGATAAAAATTACAACATGTTTATAAACATTCTAATTATGTGCATCAGGATGACACAAATGAACTCATTTATGCAATTATGTTACCAAAAATGGCTTACCTGTTGGTAAGCGTACAAAGTCATGGATCTTTGGACAACATTAAATCACAAGCCTTACTTTAATTGCATAAAAAGCAAAGGAATTTAAAACTTACAACCGGAGTGGAATGCTGAAGAAGACCTCCACCCATGGACATCTTAATAGTTTGTTCAGATGATTTAGGCTGATAGTATTCATCATTAGAAATGTTGAATGGGTCTTTGTCTGGAGATTTAGGTGGAGGAGGAGGAGATTCTTCCTCAATGGTGGTAATAACACCAGCTTTTCCCAAGAGAATCTTAGACTTCTTTACATGAGGATGAGGTATTTTGACCTTCACTGGAGCATCAGCTGGAGGAAGAGGCTAAGCCATTATATGTGTTCAATTTTGTTATCCAAAATTACATAATAAATATCAAACAGACAATAACATTTATGATACTGAAACTACATTTTATTTAAGAATTCAAACTTTTAAATGTGTGTTGAAAATCCAGATTGACTTGGCAATGTTGATACTTGGAAAAATTTATCTTCAACTCTGAATTTCTTTTGCCATCAGCAATAAATATTATTAAACAAATACTGTATACAATCTTGTTATAAATGTTTTACTGTACCTACCCTGGCTCCTTGAGATAGAGATTGCATGGTTCACACCCTAGTTATAACATCAGCCCAACTCTTGTGACTTATTTCCATCATAAGAGGTAAATTTGTAAGTGGTCCTGTCATGTATATTCAAGTCACCACCAAAACACCAACTTGCTAATGTACAAACTAACAAATAATGCCCCTCAAACATCCCTGCAGCAATAGTTAGGAGTACAAAGAACTTCAATTATCACACTTCAAACTATTTGTCAATAGCAAAGCTAGACAGACTGCCACCAGACAACTAAGCTGGCAACAGTCATATTTTGTCCTGCCTAAACACTGTATGCATCAAATTAGATAAAATAAAATTCACTGACTCCTACAACAAGCAAAATTCACACCCTTCTCTGATATTCTCGTCTTAACGCTCAACATGATTCATATACAGTGGTACCTTGGAATACGAGTGTCCCTGAATATGAGTTTTTCGGAATATGAGCAGGATTTGCTTGGAAAATGTGCTTCGGAAGGCAAGGGTAACCTCAGAACGCGAGTTTGTTGATATGCGTACAGGCCGACCTAGCGCGTGGTAGTATGGCGATCGTCGCCCCTCACCCGTCAGTTTACCAGTGCCTCGCGCCCAGTGACTATCCCACGTCAATTCTTCACCCGGATTTTCAGTGTTTTGTTGGATTTTTGGTCATTTGACCATAAAATTTGTTATATATATCTCACCATGGGTCCCAAGAAAGCCAGTGGTAAGGATCAAGGCAAGAAAGCTCATGTGAGGATGAAAATAGAGGAAAAACAAGAGATCATTCGGAAGCATGAAAATGGTACACGTGTTGTTGAACTTTATAGGCAGTACAACAAAGCCACGTCAATGATATGCACTATACTTAGCAAGAAAAAGGACATTATGAGTGCTAAAGTGGCAAAAGGCGTAAGAACAATCACGAAACAAAGACCACAAATACTTGAAGTGGAAAAGTTGTTATTAATTTGGATACACGACAAGGAGTTAAGGGGTGATAGTGTTTCGGAGGCCATCATTTGTGAGAAAGCGAGGGTATTGCACGAAGACCTTGTAAAGAAAACCCCTGGAACGAGTGATGCAGATACGAAAGAGTTCAAGGCAAGCAGGGGATGGTTTGAAAAATTTAGAAAAAGAAGTGGTATCCATAGTGGTGCGAGGCATGGGGAGGCATCCAGCTCAGACAAACCAGCCGCTGAACGATTTATTGAAGAATTTAAAGAGTTTGCAGAGGCTGAGGGATACCTACCACAACAAGTGTTTAATTGTGATGAAACAGGACTGTTCTGGAAAAGATTGCCTAAGAGGACATATATTACCAAGGAGGAAAAATCCTTGCCCGGACACAAGCCCATGAAAGATAGGCTTACGCTTGTGCTGTGTTCAAATGCGAGTGGCGATTTGAAAATCATACCCTTGCTAGTGTATCATTCTGAAAATCCAAGGGTTTTCAAACAGTATAAAGTGCAGAAAAATCAAATGTGTGTGATGTGGAAGGCTAATAAAAGAGCATGGGTGACTAGGATTTTTTTTCGGAGTGGGTGAATGAAGTGCTGTGCCCTGCCATAGAAAAATATCTGCAGGAGAAACATTTGCCACTCAAGGCCCTGCTTCTCCTCGACAATGCTCCTGCTCATCCTCCAGGATTGGAAAATGAATTGATGCACAGATACAGTAAATTTCTCACAATAAAGTTCCTTCCTTCTAACACCACTCCTCTAATTCAGCCTATGGACCAGAAAATCATAGCGAATTTTAAGAAACTGTATGAAAGGGCACTTTTCCGGAAATGTTTTGAAGTGACTGAAGCCACAAACCTCACTCTCAAAGAGTTCTGGAAAGACCATTTTAACATTTGTAGTTCTTTAAAACGTGTTGACAAAGCTTAGCAAGAAGTGACTAAGAGACCCTGATTTCTGGCTGGAGAAAATTGTGGCCTGAATGTGTGACAGAAATAGACTTTGAGGGGTTTGAGCCTGTAAATGATGCGCCTATTGTTGAGGAAATTGTTACCCTGGGCTGGCAAATGGGCTTGGAATTTGATGGTGATGATGTGGAGGAGTTGGTGGAAGAACACAATGAAGAACTGACCACCGAAGAACTCCAAGCCCTTCAAAAGGAACAGCAAGAAGACCCAGCTAAGGATGTTTCTCCAGTGGAGGAGGATGAGGCAGTAGCGAATGTCCCTTCTGCAGAAATTAGGAAGGTGTGTCAGATGTGGGAAGAGATGCATACTTTTATTGAAAAGACTCACCCAGAGAAAGCTGTAGTAGGCCGTTGCCTTAATCTTTTCAATGACAATGTGATGCCTTACTACAGAAACAGCTTGCGAAGAAGGGAAAAACAAGCTTCCATGGACAGATTTGTTGTGAGAAAATCGAGCAGTGAGCCACAACCAGGACCTAGTGGTATCCAAGGAGTGCACACCAGAAAGGTCCTCACTGCCTTGTGTTATAATGGAAGGGGACTCCCCTTCCAAACAGTAACACCTCTCCTCCTCCCCCCTCCTCACCATCTTCCATACGCCTACAGCATTCATCAACAAGGGTAAGTAATAACTTGAACATAGTTTTGTAGGTTTATTTAGATGAATTAGGTATAAAATTTAGTTTGAAGTGAGGTTTTTGGGTAGTCAGGAACAGATTAATTCATTTCCCATTATTTCTTATGGGGAAATTAGCTTCGGATGATGAGTTTTCGGATTACGAGCTGTCTCCAGGAACGGATTACACTCTTAAACCGAGGTACCACTGTATACACATTAAAACCATGAGAACATTACTGGTACTCGCACAGAAATATAAAACTGATCACCAGTTTCACCATTAACCCTTGCACAGAGATGGTCTTTGGAGAACAATGAGCATGCAAGTTGTTGGCAAAATTTGACTTAATGCTATGATTAATTTACAATGAGGAAGTTGAGCCTGTATAATTAGGTAATTACAGGCTCTACTTCCTGATTGTAAGCTAGTCACAGCATTAAGTCAAATTTTGCCAACAACTTGCATGCTCATTATTCTCCAAAGACCACCTCTGCTTACTTTGTCCATAAATACCATATGCACTTTACAATCTTGCTCACATACAGGTACTGTACCTTTTCCACTAGTTGTCTCAATACAAATACCTGATCAGCACACACTCTTCCTCTACAGAACCATGGTCATCACTAAATTCCCAAATTTCCATTATCCTTGCAAACACTATTCTGCCATACATTTTACTAAGTATAATCAACTACTGTAACTAATGCCTCTGATTTTTACACTCCTATACTCACCCTCTTCTTTAATACAGGTACAATCACAGCTTCTTTTCTAGTTACCTGGTACAGTACCACTTAACAAGCTTCGGGGCACGTTTTCCACACCCATTCCCTGCTCTTTTCGTCACTTCAATAAATTTTTATCAACATACATCATCAATACCATCAATTGTTCCACATTTCATATTCTGCAATGATGCAATACTCTCATCCAGAGTTGTATTTTCTAGCCATTTTCCATTCAATGTTCACTAGAAAAATCAATCTTGTTTGTATTTGCACTTTAAGCTAGTCCCCTTAAAGCTTCCCTGAACTTCCCTGAAAATTTAAACACAAGCAACCTAGAACCTCCCACTCCATACCAGGTCCTGAAATTTACAGACACCTACTGGTGGCTAGGACTAAAATCTGGCCCCGCCTTCAAAGATGGGATCATGAGGTCAAAAACTGACCCAAAACAAAGGAAACTGACCAAAAAATCATGAGGCAAAACAAGCAACTACTCTTATGAAATGAAATTAACACTACTGTGCGCGCCATGAGAGCGCCACAGACTTTGACGTCATGGGGCTAATGGTGCGGGCAAGCATGCAGCAACACCTAAATGTGTATACTCATTTCAGTTTTCTCACCTTAATTCTCATGCTACGTTGTTCATTTTGGTATCATTGTGTTCGCAATTAAATTCCCTGCAGATATATATGCATATAATGTCCAAAAGTCTGGCGAGACTCCCCGCAGCAAGCCTAAAATTACCCGTGAATGCGCCCCAATTTGCACACTACAACCTAATGTGTATACTCGTTCAGTTTGATAACATCAATTTTTGTTACATCGCTCGTTTTGGTATCAAATTGCTCCCAATATAAAGGCGTGCATTTTAAAACTAGTCTCATAATAATAGAGCAATAACTGGAATTTTAACAAATATTTTAATTTTGGACGCTCATCATCAAAATTATTTATGTCTTTCCAGTGTTCTGACATCAATTTTCATGTTACATCGCTCGTTTTGGTATCAAATTGTTAGCAATATTAAGGCGCGCATTTTAAAACTAGTCCCATAATAATAGCACAATAAATAAAATTTTAACAAATATTTTAAAATTTAAAATTTAGACCCAAAAACTATTTATAATCTTTCAAGTGTTCTGACATCACGTTTCATGTTACATCTTTCATTTTGGCATCAAATTGTGCGTGTTCTAAAGGCGCTACTTTTGAAACTATCCCGAAATCGATCCAATAAAAAATTAATTTTATACAAATATTTTTGTAGTGGACGCAAGTCCTGTCCGCGACTAGGACTCAAGATAAAAAAATGGACGTGTTCGGTGTCCAAAGTGTCCAAAGCGAGCGATAGTGTTAAGAAAGCAAGGTAAATAATAGATGGCACAGGTGAACAGCCACTGCCACAACTTGCCTAGCCACCACTAGACAACACCCAGGTCACATCATTTACACTCAAAAGGTGAAATCTATCATATCAAATAATATAAGTACAAACAAATGCAAGAAAAATATGCAATGAATAAACTAAGTACAATTTATTACGGTCAGATATTAAAGAACAATGGAAAATATACAACTACCTTGGGCTATAGTTGCTGGATCAACATCTTCAGGTATGCCAAGTATGATATTCTCATCATTAGGGTCAAGGGTCAACACTGTAGGTTCAGGAATGTTATCCATATTCTCTGGGTCCCAGATGATATTGTCCTCCCACCGACCATACACCAACTCTTCATTTTCAACAGGGAAAATGGAATACCAAGTGTCATCAATGTTGTTTTTTCTGTAACAAGGAATAAATCATTGTAAATTACACAATAAATTTCATGAATATAAGGCAAAAGAATGAAAAGGGTTTACTGATTGAATCATTATAAAAATAATTAATGAAAAAGTAGGACTAGTAGATGAACATGTGAAGCAAATGTGTCTTCTGTTAATGGTTCCAGTTTCTCCATTATAACTCTACACACCAAACTTAATGCTCTGCTACATTTTCTCTTTAAACACATTGACTTTGTGAAAACTACGTTTGTAGCCTACATTTTTCTCTCTAATGTAACTGTTATGACCCCACATACGTCATGTAAATATATGGTGTTAATGTATGATGAGGTCATAAGTCTAGTCTTTTATTCATTCGTTAGCTTACTCTTGTAGTAGTAATAGTGTATAGAATAACAGAAGTTTATGTTCATACACACATATACTTAAGATATGTAATATATGATAAACAAGTGATAACGACCGGTGACCGGGTAACTGCTGGACCTCCGCCCGTATCCCCCCCCCCCCCCCCCCATATCGCCCTGACCCTTGGTGCGCGTCTCCAGCAAGCGTACCAACTGTATATAGAAGTGACTTCCTTATGTGTTCACACATATTGATATATATTCCTAAGTACCTTGAAGTTTTGTGTATATATATTGTATTTTATTATGTATATATGTATGAACTAGTTGTAAATAGTTATAGTTTGTGATTCTGTTATTCGTAGGAGGAAGAGTGGAGTGACTTGCCATGTTGGCAACTCAGTCATTCTCGGCCGACCAGGTCGTTGGCAAGTCACTACCTACCACCTGATTTCCCAGAGATGCAGACATTATACTTCTAGTCCTCGGGTTGAGTATTATATTGTGTATTTAATTCTTAATGTTGATATAATGCTGTGTAAATGCATCAGGCTAACCGGTATATCAGTAGGTCAGATGGTAGGTGATTGTGGGTATTTAAGGATTATAGAGTATTGTTATAGTGTCACAGAATGTGACTGATTCCGTTGCCCACCTTTACGTGTCACCCTTCCCAACTGTTACGTAGGATAGTGTACCACTGCACCAGGTTGGAGACTGGTGTCAGCTATGCCTATGTTTAAGCCGTTACTGATATGATAGTGATTCAATATTGTACTTTCTTATAACGCCACTAGCACACAGGGCGTCTCGGGCAGGTCCTTAATCTTAATTTTCCCTGGAATACGACCCCGCCAAATCATTTAACAACCAGGTACCCATTCACTGCTGGGTGAAAAGGGGCTACAGTTAAGGATTGGCGCCCAGTCAATCCTTCCCGGCCAGGATATGAACCCAGGCAAAATCACTTGCGAAGCGCCGGGCGAGTGTTTTACCACTGCGCTGAGGGGGACATAATTAATCTAACATTCTTCCATTTTCAGACACTAAGATGTGACTGGTCCATTCCATCTTGAAATGTCTTATCTAGAGATCAATCTTCCTTGCCCATCAATCACATCCCACGACAATATGTGTAATCTTGGAGATTAAATAATAATCTCACTTTTGCTCAGTTTTTCCAGGCTTTATGACTTGAGGCATTAGTAAAAGAACACAAATTTCTTCCTTTCATATGTATGACATTTTTGTAAACTATTTAAGAACATTTCTATGATAAACAAAATTGTCACTGCATATATTAAACCTTTTTAACTTTTTTTCTAATTAAACAAATACAAATTAATAATATGACTACTAACCTAGTGAAATATACAAGGAAGTAAAATACAATTGTAATAAGTCATTGTAATTGTAATTACAATTGTAATTTTAAGGAAGTAAAATTAAAAATAAAATACAAAAATACACCTCAATAGCTACTCCCAGTATAAAGTGGCTTATTTCCACCCATCCCTCATGTTTACAGTTTGGACACGACTTACATGGAAGCTTGTTATAAAAAGTAAATGAAAAACTTACGGCATTTGGCTTTTAGACTTTGCACTTTTTGCAGATGCAAATGGTGTAGCAGCTTTGGTTGGCTGACTGAAAGCTTGGGCAGTGCGATTATAACTACTTGGCACCCAGCCTGCTGCCATATTCTTACGTTTTTGATTGAGCTGTTGTGATCAGAAACAAATAATGTTAATCTATCCATTTAAATAAAAACATGTTTACAATAAGTCATATGTTATATATTTCCTACCACATCACGATATTGTAATGCTAATGACATAAAACACAAACTTTTAATATCCTTTATACATGTACAGTATAAGCTATTCTTTAAGAAATTAGCTTTTCACGTGTAAATAAGTTATTATTCAGGAGGGAAATAACTACTGTAGCAAAATAATGATAATTACAAAAAAATAAAAAAAATTCAATATGCCCAACATTTCCTTAAAATATTTAAATACCTAAAACATAAATATCTGTCTCTACTTTTCCAGGATGAGATAAAAAGTAAACACTTGCTTTCATTAAAACAATGTCCAACTTGAGATATTTTGTACCTTGTGCTTAATATCATCACCATTCCAGATAATATCCTCCTCCCAGTTGTACTGTGTAACCATGTGGAATGAATCGTCAGGAAACTCCTCTTCGCCATCTGCATCATAGCCGGTCTTTTCCTCTTTTATGGCCGCATCAAAAACCTCCATGTCTTCTATTTTTATGTCGGATTTCTCAGATGAACCGTGCTCATCCTGCGTGTTAAACATTAATATTGATAAATTGGTGTAGGAAAAAAAAATCAGCCACAAGTGTGCAAGACAAGAGAGGAGAAGGTCAATTTAGAAAAATGTCAGTTATGGTGGTTGTGGGAAGGAAATGTAATGTTGCACACTATATCCAGTCCTCATTTTTGGAAATGAAAATCTGGTATGAAAAGGGTCAGTAATGGAAACTAGTTTAAAAAAAAAAAGGTGTAAATATCTTGGATGGATATGGCAAAGAGGAAGTACAGTACATCCCATATAAATGTGGCCTGAGTGAAAAGGGCGAGTGAAATAAATGCCAAGTAACAGAATTTGTGAAGCATAATACAGTGGTATGTATATATGTATGTATGTACATACATACGTGAGTATGTATGTATGCATGCATGTCATGTATCTTTGCAGAATGCCTTAGAATGCCATAAAAAGGGTGTACAAGGATGAAATAAAATTATCATATTGCAGAGGCAGACAACCAGTATCTTGGAAGGCAAAAAGAGGAGCAATATATGAAAGTAAGGGTGGAAGAAAGGTCAAAGAGCTTGAAGAGTGAAAGATGTATGTAGTGAGAGCCTCTCGGAGAAAATTTTGCTATGGCCACTTCCTAAGAGGGACATACCACATATATAAATATTGTACATAAATATTTTACTTGCAGTATCAACCTAATCTGTACATTGCCATTAATATCAGTGCTCGATTACTCCTGTAAATACAGGACACGGCAATACAATTTCTGCTACAGACAAAAGAAAAGAAAATCAAGTGTCAGCACTCTGGTGTACCAACACAAAAGACTAAACTTCCAGTCAATAACTTTGCAGAAATTGTATGTCCTGAGTGCCACTATCAAAACAATTGTTAATTGAATTTGAATGCTGCTTTCAGCTATGATTACAGGCACAAATAATTTTAGGTAACTTACCTTAACTCTTATTTTGAAGCCATAATCGAAGTTGCCGGCAGAGAGTGGTACATCAAGCATGTCATACCACAGCTGAGCTGGACCATATCGCCAATCAGTTTCATGAGGCTTATTGGGATCACGATCGTTGTTTTTATCCCCATCACCTTTGTGGTTACCTGAACTGGAATCCTGTTCCTGAGTTTGACTGAATCGAATCTAAAAAAATAATTGGAAATTGCATTATGTATGTGATGTAACTATATATTATCATACAAATAAATCTGTGCTTCTGTGAAAGAATTACATAATAACTATGTCAACAGCAGAAAATGGCTATATTTATTTATTGAAGGTTGAAGGCCAGATAATAATAATAACTCATTGTGTTGGGGACAGACAGCCAGCATGTATTCATACACGTTAGGCTTATATCAAGGTCCTCCCCCCTCCCTAGATCAAATTACTAACCCCTCCTAGGATGCAACCACACAACAAGCTGACTAACCCCTGAGCAGCTGCTTAAACATCTACAGGCATTTTAGATACTACAAATGATATACGCACATTTCCCAGAATCAAGCAGTCTCCGTCAACCAATAAATGGGCAGCTTTGGTCTAAACCTTGTCAGGTGGATGGGAATACAAGGCCTTCAAACCACAGTATCAAGGCAGTCTCACATAGTAGCCAGCAGCAATATCACCTCTAACCAGCCTCGTCCCACCAACTCTGACCAGTCTCTGCCACCTCAGCACTCAACAGCCACACCTTAAGGCTTACCTTATCATGACACTGTCGTATTATACAACAACCACCACTGAAATCATTTACATCAAATATATATCTAGCCACCATATTGCGTGTTTCTTGTCCAAACCTGTCATTAACATTACATTGATGACCCCGGAAGCGTGAAAAATTACAAGAACAGCAGAGGGGGGGAGGGATTATCAGAGCCAGGAACAAGTAACTCAAGAGTGAGAAGGGAAGCAGGCCCAACCCAAACTGTTCCAATCACATCAGGCAGAAAGCAACAATTAAGGAACAAGTAATGAAACATGATATAACAGGATTTATTCACTGAGAATGACAGAAGTGTGTGAAGAGCTCAACAGGAGGTTCCAGATATTCATGATAGAACAATTAGTTCCTGAGCTAAGGGTGGATGGAGCCAAACCAAGCAACACTGGAGGACTTTGGGATAATTATATATGAAGTAAAAAAGCGCCTGATGGAGCTAGACCAAACTAAGGCAGTGGGACCAGATAAAATATTGCCAAGGATACTAAGAGCAGAACCCTGGTGCTGGCCACTTACTATGACAAATATATAAAAGTCAAAACAAGAGAACTGCCAGAGAAGTGGAAGAGGGCATTTATTTGTATATCATGCAAGTGACAGAAAAAATAATAAGAAACAGGCTAGCAGAATATTTGGAGAAAAGAAACCTTATAACACAACACCAGCATGGTTTCAGAGATGGCAAATCCTGCCTTACAAGCTTGAGTATAAGAATGGGCAACTGAAATCAAAAAGATAAGAGAAGGGTGGGCAGATTGAATAATTTTGAACTGTCATGGACTATAGTCTGAAACCTATACACCAGTCAATTAAAGAGTCGAGAGGTGGGACTCAGGAGCCGTGCCTCATCCCTGCAAATACATCTAGGCGAGTACAACTAGGCAAGATCATCATCATACTGTATTTATGTTATGAAGAACATTTCTTCGACAAATTCTTAGCAGGAATTATAAACTTGTACAGGCATTATAATAGTAACATGACACGTACGCAATCATCAGGCCGACACATATATGGTGGTGGTTCTGGTCCAAACTGCAGTTCAAACCCACGAGGTCCATCCATCTGTGAAGATATTTCTTCACTCTGTAAACTATCGTCATTAGAAGAGTACATCCGATTTTCATCTGATCCAGATGAAAATTTTTTCTTCTTCCTTCTTCTTACACCCTTCCATATTTTAGGTAAATTTGCCATCTTTCCAGGGCCGAAGAGTCTTGAAAATCGTAAAACCTGTTGGAATGAGAGAAATGATATGTAAACATACAAATCTAGTAACTTATTACCTTTACAGAATCTGAACAAACTCTATATGTCAACCCATACTTTATACCCTGTTAGCTGAGAAAGGAGCACATGCACAAGATGTATCGATAATAACTTTCAAAAACAGGCAGCTGAGCCGCAAGAACACGGCTGACCACCCGGACACCATCACCCGCGAACCGGGAAGAACAGAACCGGATCAACGCAAAACGCGCTCCGGACCCAAACGCCGTGGCACGCAAACAACAGCAGAGGGCCGCCACTGAACACAAAAACGACACACCCGAGCACACAAAGAGCGGCCGAAAACCAAGCGGTAAACGGCCAAGCAGGGGCAGGACCCAAGGAACTTGTGGAAGGTGGCCCCAAGCCCCAAGGGCAGTACTTACAGGGCACCTAGGGAAGGGAACCCTAGGCGCATGCAGCCCGAGTACTGAAGAATCACACCCGGCTCACGCACCACCTAGAAAACAGACACCACACTCTAGGTACAGTGCTGAAACAACCACTGGAGCCGGAGCACATAACCATTGCCTATAGCATCAGCCGAAGAACTGATGGGTGGATAGCCGGCGTGGGAGGTCTGGGGCTCCCCCTTCCCCCTCCCGGGGAGGGGGAGCTGCGCAGCATAGAACATAACTCAATATTTGTAGTGTGTTTATGTATGTGACTACCCATGTGTAGATACTGTACAGGGATAAAGTAATGCTTGTGATGTCTAGTCTTCTCTATCCATATCACGTAGTTTCCAGTTTTATTTACAAGGTTTTAAAATAAAAATACAGTAGTCTACTGTGTGTGTGTAAATACTAGTGTGTGGTCTGACCAGACCACACACTAGAAGTTGAAGGGACAACGACGTTTCGGTCAGACCTGGACCATTCTCAAGTCGATTGTGAAAAAGAGGTAGAGAGCTTGAGAATGGTCCAGGACGGACCGAAACGTCGTCATCCCTTCAACTTCTAGTGTGTGGTCTGGTCAACATACTTCAGCCACGTTATTGTGACTCATCACCTGCACACAGTATGTATCTATTATATACTGTCTTTGTTTATAGGCTTTTTCATATTTTAACAATATGTGCTTATGGGTTTGTGAGGGAAAAGATATATCACGATAATGTGATTTCTCTGTATAAGGGGTGTGTGTGTTTATACATTAAGCTACAAGAATCTAATACAGTACCTAAAAATATAATACAGTACAGTATCTAATACAGTACCCTAAAATATAATGTTTGTATTATAAAAACAAACTCTGCAAATGATTACTGAATACAAAATACCTGTAATAAAGAATTTGCCTTGATATGAAATAAAGAAAAATACTTACTGCATCATTTCGAAAATCTGGGAAGATTTCCCTGACATCAATATTAGTATACTTGGAGGGCAGCATGGCAGCTAAGGGTGTTACAAGTTTACGGCGGTCACCAGGTGGCGTGAGAGCACCCGCTTCAGAAGTTCGAGGAAGGGGAGGAGGCGGCATAAGTTCCGAGTCAGATTTATTGATGCCATTCTCCTCTTCCTCTGCATCATAATCTTCTCCTGTGCAAAGAAAATATTATTACAATATATTTGCTTATCCTTAACTCACGCCAAGTGTGACAAAGTGAATCGCAAGACTTTTACATTGGCTGAATGTTGACAGTAATTCAACCAATGTTTGCTCTTAATACATTCCTCTAATGGTAAAATGTATTTCTAAACCACAGCACTTTAACAATAGATATCACAAAGCAATACATGACTTTGCTCACTGGGTTGTCCAATCAAAAGAATAGTTTTTGAACATTACTCCGTAATTCACATACTTCACCTCCAAAAGTTAACTATACGATAGTAATAGTAAGCAGTATCTGCATACTGACATCTATCAGACATGGCTTGAAATGATCAAACGATTTGACATATGAAAGCCATTTAATGCACACTACTGGTACTGTATATAGTACTGTATACTAAAAGATTAAATCAAATAAAAAGGACACTAGACAGAGTTCAACTGACTGTGGGTGATAAAAAAAAATAGGGCCTGAATATCTTACTATACAAACAGGGATGTAATGATAACAGACTGGTAGAATGGCACACAGTCTGGTGGTGGTTATGAGGGGGAGAATGTGACATATTGGAAGGAAACTGAAAAGGTAGGAAAAGGAAGTGGTTAAAAGCATTGACAGTTGCTACTTACCATCATCTTCACACTGAGCAAGGGTGTCATCCTCCACAGCTTCGGTTATGTCTGAGTAATCTATTGCTGATGGGCTTTTCTCTAGCACTTCTAAAGGAAAAACAAAAATAATAAATATACAAGTCCAAAACTTAACTCAAGAAATATCTATTTGCAACAAATAATTGGCTTCTGTATTCATTAAAGAAAGCGAGTGGGACCGAGTTTTAATGGCAAAGGTTAACAAATATTCTCAGTCTTTTAAATATCTGAACTTAATTAACTAATTTACAAATAGTGCATAGTACTGTAGTTAGCTAAAATATGAATGGCCTTTAGTAGGATAAAGAAAAATTGTACAGTACTGTACTACATTGTATTACAGTACAGTGTTATTACATTACAAATTCATTGCTTATATATTATTTGTATCTAATTGTGAAAAAATTTTACCAATTGCTACAAAAGGACTTCCAAACAGTTGGTGGTAAATAGGCAAAAGGAACAAAATTCTTTCAAATATTATCATCACTGAAATCCCAAACTGGTTCAGTATGAATTAAACCAGAGATTTAAAGTCGCTATGTACAACAAAAATACTTGTGCACTAAAATACTTTCCTTCTTCCTCTTCTTCACGGTCATCTTCATCATCGTCATCATCATCATCATCTTCACCATCATCTGTAACTTGCCTGAGTAGCGAACCCAAACCCAGACGTGACAGGGATGCCAACTGTCGTTTACACTCGCCGTCAAATACATCACCTTCCAATTGGCCCTGTGTATCAATATTCCCAAAAAGAAAGCTTGTTAAGGAAAGTGTGTGGCTTGTAGCTCCAGTTCCTTCAGTGGTTTCTTCATCATCGCTGTCAACCATCCTTTAAGCTGCTGGAAGTAGTGCTGGAACTGAAAAATAAAACTCTAATCACATACCAGAACAGTATTTATATTTTTTCTCATCAGTCTGAATTAACTAGTGCAAAAACATATTTATTAAAAATCATCCGAGATACAGTATACACAGTACTGTACTTGTATAAGTCAAATCTGGTGACAATTTTTCAATGTTTTGGAGGGGGTTAACCTACTAATTTAATGTTTAAAATATTAGATAAAATACAAGGATTTTAATGCAAAATTCATATAAATTTCCCAGTCACTTGTTAATGACCTCTCAGTCAGCCAATATGACATCAAGCTATTCAAGCAACAGGTACTGTACTGGTATTTCCAAGCTAAAGCTTAGATTATTATATATTATGGATGTCCATATTCCACTCTACCAGAAACCTTTTTGTAGTGTGTTATCACCAGGATGGTCTTGGATAGTGAAACATGATAATGTTGCAAACAGATAAAAGTGAATAGTGTACACTGAGTCAGGAGGCAGTTGAGCCTGCATTGCCACCAGATGTGTAAGTGATTATTGCCATGTAAGCTCCTGGCTAGTTTTAAATGATAATTTGTAAATTATGTAGTGAATTATTAAACAGCCAGAAGGGAACATCATATATGGTGTGACAATATAAGAAATTGGTTGTGGTCACATGAGTCAGAGTAAACTGTTACTGTTTGATCATTTGGGTCTCTTGAGGCACCATGGGAATGCAGATTGAATTGGTAACTGAACTAGAGGGCTAGCGGTCATGTTTTGTCGACTCTTGGGAGTTTACCTCAGATAAGTCCGTATGTACTTTTTTCAAGAATTGGCCATCGATCTACTGTAATAAATAACTATTATTACAGTAAGCCACTCTAAGCTTCCTCCCCTGTTATTGTGTTTGTGGGAGTGAGTTTAGAGAGGATTTTCTTATGTCCATGGGATATTCCAACTGTACCTCCTGAGGTTTTTAGGCCTGCCAAGTGTATTTCATTTGTGAGCCTTTAATTCTGTCTATGTGGGGTTCTGAGCACAAAGTAAATGTCAACAAGCAGTGCCAGGGGTTTTGTCATGGGAAAGGGTTCTCTGATTAATGAACTCATAAATTAAGATAATTTAAGGTAAAGGTAAATTCAGGTAAACCATAGTGTATACATACAAGTTATACCTTGTGTCCAGTGTGGAGGGGTCTATCATAACCTAAGTAAATCAATTTGTGGAAATACTTTCACTGGGGGCCAGGCCTCGACCCACCCTACCTGGAGGGCTTGCTAGATTGTATATTTGAAATGAATAAGGCAGCCCTGGAGCACAGTACTGTCTAGTGGTTATCTTTAGATGATTTCGGGGCGTAGCGTCCCTGCGGCCTGGTCCTCGACCAGGCCTCCTTTTTGTTACACACAGCCCCCAGGAAACAGCCCGTAGCAGCTGTCTAACTCTCAGGTATTTACTGCTAGGTAACTGGGACATCAGGGTGAAAAACATTTTGCCTATTTCTATCCGCCTCCACTGGGGATCGAACCCGGAACCTCAGGACTACGAATCCAAAGCGCTGTCCACCCAGCTGTCAGGCACCCAGTTTTATACCGGGTAGTGGTAGGTTTATAATGAGTATACGTACCACAACAAGTATCACATTCCCGTGATATAGAGCAATAAAATGGCTTACACTTATAACGTCATGGCTAACTTTTTAATTTCCTGAAAAATATAATAGATGGTGTAATTTGCACATTGTTTCTTCATATTTTCTCTCTATTATACAGTAAAATGTTTCTAAGAAAACACAAAAGCCATGTATCTACCTAATTGGTCTTAGTCTATTTATATAAAAAAAAATACTTAACCTAACTCCTCCAGAAAACGTTTATTTTAATAGCCAGCCAGTAAAAGATGCTAGTCCTCTTGACTACAATCAGCCCACCTTACGTGACCATGTAAATATTGACTGGCTGGCTGCTGGGGGATTCACACTGGCTGACCTCTTTTTAGGTTGTTTTTCAGGATAAATTTGTAAATTAAGATAATTTAAGCTACCTTGTATCCAAAAGCACATTAATAATCAATTATACTGTAGTTATTATGTTGAACTCAAATTTTGCTACAATGTCTACAGTGTACCTATTAATAATCTTACCTTATCTGTTAAGGACCTGTTCGAAATGCTGTGCGTGTTAGTGGCTTTGCAAGAATGTAAGAACACCAATGTTGTGTACTCCCACAAACCCAATTGACTATCTTATATATAAATAAATTAAACAAAGCAGCATCTCCCAAATAAATTTTCGTTGTAAAGAGAAGGAAAAAAACTTCATTTTAAGAAAGGCCCATTGAAGAATTAAATTTCAGAGAAAATTGAAACTGTGGGAAATTTCACAACTGAAGGAAATGTCAGTGACTTCAGAAAAATCAGAAGATGTAAGGTAAACAAAAATTGCCTATTATGGGTGACCCTGAATGGGGATAGGCAGAAAGTGCACAAAAATGTCAGAAAACTACAAAGTGTCGAGGATGGGAAAATCCAGTAAAAAAGAAACGACCTATCAAAGGAAGACAGAAGCTAAATCAGAGTGTAACTACTAAACTAAGGTAGAGGAAGACTACAAATGATTTCTACAAAGTGATAGGTATTATGTCTGTGAACTGGAACATAAAACACAACGATCAAAATTACTAGAGGGCCCTTTTTTTTAAGTAATGTTTGACAACCCATTAGGTTGCAAGAATGAGTTGCCCATTATTGCACTGTGGAGTCAAGGCATATGGGGAAAAACGTACAATCACTATTGTCTACAGCCCACTAGCAAATAACACTTAAAAGGTCACTTTTTTTGCACTTGAGCCCTTTAAAGCATATATATACAAAAATAACACTCTTATATTTGAGGCGCCACTGACGTACCAGCAAAACAGTAATCTGGTGAAAGAGTCCACTGGTCCTGGCCCACCGCCTCACACAGGCATCTCTCACTACTCTCTCCTCAACTTATTTTCACACAATCAACTGAATAATACCACTTTAGTCAACTAATTATCAGGTTGGCCTCATCTTTACGGGGTTTACAGAGTAATTGGTGATGGTTGTTCCGTGTTTGTTTACTCCCAGAGCCTCGCCACTGTTGCCACATCCACAACTCAGAGAGAAAACATGTTAGCTAAACTAATATTTTGCTTCACTTCCTGAGCGCATTATGTGCCTCTGTTAACATTTTCCCCGCCACTCACAAGATACGGTTCATATTAAATTAACTGACCTAATTATTAGTTTTGTTTGAGGCAGGCGAGGCCTACCGCCACCAACTCGTATATAACAATTTCGCATACAGTCCGGTCTGTACACAAATAACCAGTTCGTGTACATACAATTACATACAGGAACCCTTCCGTGTCCCTTGCTGTTCTCGTCTTCCAAGGCAATAATATAACCAAAATTAGACGCTATAATTTGCTAATAAGTTAATGCGAGTAATCAGATGGTACAAGATAATAAATAATAATAATCGCCAACCAGCCACATGCCTGAAGCTCGACAAGCCACAAACCTCTAACCAGCGGGGCGAATCGTATATAACCGTTTCGGAGGGCGTCGGTTCAGTACACAAAAGTCCAGTTCGTTCACATACAGTTTTATATTCTGGAACCCTTTTGTATACACGACTAACACGAGGTGTAAACGAGGTGTAGACAAAAACGGATATATTTGGTGTAAACAAAAACGCAAATATAAAACACACATGCGCTGGCGTGTGTTCGCTTCGGTTCTCGTCTTCCAAGATAATAAAATGCCCAGTAGAAATTGATAATAAGTTAAAATTGTGAATAATAAGAACGCGGTTTTTCCCAAAAAACGGTGGGTTTTCTGAGGGAAGAGACCGTATGTCTGGAAGCTGACTTTAACCGCCCCAAGCTGTGCGCGCAACGAGTAAGAACGAAAAGGATGATTTAAGGACGAAAATAGTAAACCAACTCCCAGACTCACAATAAATTACTACGGACGAGATGGAAATAAAAATTGAATGACAGTACTATAAATTAGTATAGCAACTAATGAATATATATATATATATATATATATATATATATATATATATATATATATATATATATATATATATATATATATATATATATATATATATATATATATATATATATATATATATATGTATATATGTCGTACCTAATAGCCAGAACGCACTTCTCAGCCTACTATTCAAGGCCCGATTTGCCTAATAAGCCAAGTTTTCATGAATTAATGTTTTTTTGTCTACCTAACCTACCTAACCTAACCTAACCTAGCTTTTTTTGGCTACCTAACCTAACCTTACCTATAAATATAGGTTAGGTTAGGTTAGGTAGGGTTGGTTAGGTTCGGTCATATATCTACGTTAATTTTAACTCCAATAAAAAAAAATTGACCTCATACATAGAGAAAAGGGTTGCTTTATCATTTCATAAGAAAAAAATTATAGTAAATATATTAATTCAGGAAAACTTGGCTTATTAGGCAAATCGGGCCTTGAATAGTAGGCTGAGAAGTGAGTTCTGGCTACTAGGTACGACATATATATATATATATATATATATATATATATATATATATATATATATATATATATATATATATATATATATATATATATATATATATATATATATATATATATATATACATATGTAACGGTTCTATTGTTACGTAAAGTATGGTGACAAATAAACACAGACACTAAGGTACTATATATATATTTGGTCGAATATACATAAGTACACAGGTGATACTTTGGTGTGAGTTGAGCGCACTGAGCGTCGGTACAGTATCTCGCAAGTGTCTGCTCTAGACCACACTTGAAAGTAGACTCTGGTTAATGTTTGCTATTCTGCTGCTTATATGCTCGGGCAACACCTCACCGTGTTGCCCGGGCAACGCCTCACCTCATTCATCTCCAAAGGTTGACAGGAATATTAACAAACCATTTGGAGCGAGTATATTATTGGGATAATCTACTCGCTACACCACGAGTTTTCTATAAGTTTTCTGTTTTCTATCCGACCAGTTGTATAACCTTAAGCCTAGCAAGTATACATCTCATCCAACCCCCACAAAGCTAAACAGTCCCAGAGCACAACCAAGCTCCATTCCTAGCTCGACCAAACAAAAATCTCATTAGCCCTACCTAAAATCCTCCACTTACCCTAGACACCAACTATTGACCCATAGCAAACAATAGAACTATATACAAAAAACGGATTTCTAGCAAACATAAACAGAGCCTTAGCAAACAAACCTGGAGCACTAGTAAACAAACAACCGCTGAAGCACAACCATGCACGAACCGAAGCCTGACCATGCACAACCCACAGCCCAAGTGACACCCCCGGAGCCCGACCAGTTATTTAACCGGAGCCTGACCAGTTATTTAACCGGAGCCCCACCAGTTATTTAACTGGAGCCCGACCAGTTATTTAACTGGAGCCCGACCAGTTATTTAACCGGAGCCTGACCAGTTATTTAACCGGAGCCCCACCAGTTATTTAACTGGAGCCCGACCAGTTATTTAACCGGAGCCCCACCAGTTGTGTAACCAGACCCCGACCAGTTGTGTAACCACAAGCCTGGCATGAACGAACCAAACAACCTCTGGATCACAACCATTCATGAACTGAAGCCCAACCAAAGTGACACCCCCGGAGCCCGACCAATTGTGTAACCGAAGCTTGACCAGTTCTGTAACCGGAGCCTGACCAGTTGTGTAACCGGACCCCGACCAGTTGTGTAACCGCACGCCTAGGTCTACTTAGACTGTAGCTGGTGCGCCCCCACATGAATTATTGCATCCAGGCATGGAGACCTCATCTTCAGAAAGACACAGCTGCTCTGGAGCCATGTCTTACCAGAGCTATGGAGCCATGTCTTACGACAAAAATCATACCAGAGCTTAGTCATCTGTTGTATCAGGAACGGTTGAGGGCCACAGGGCTAACAACACAAACCAGGCATGACAGGGCGGACTTCATAGAAACCTTTAAAATACTAAACAATTTGGAGAATGTCGATCAGGACAATGTCTTCAAAAGGTCAGATGTTACACGAGCAAGGAGCAACGGGTTCACACTCAACAAGCCAGAATGCTTTTTCACCCACAGGGTTGTAAACCAGTGGAACCGCCTACCCGCCGAAGCAGTAAACGCCAAACCTCTGCTGGGTTTTAAAATAAAGCTGGAAAAGATCATCAGAACAAATGGGGGGACCTTTGACAAGCCGCCGGCTTACTGCCCTCATCGAGGCCACTAGTGTTAGTGGCCCTCAGGTAAATTCAGTTCCCGGAGGGGTGTCCCCGCTCCTTCCTGTTGGGAAGTTGTTCATCTATTGCAGTATCATACTATCATGCAAGAGGAGCCACACATCTATGGTTCATCCAATAATATCAGCAGACTTCTAGATGTTACTACTGCTCGGCTTAGACTCGGCTACAAGTATTTCTGGGAATTCTCATTATCTGCTGATGTAGACCTGACCAAATGTAAACTGTGTATCAAGATTGTAACTTGCTTAGCTTAATGAATTGTGAGGTTCAGTCCCTGAGCCCATTATGTGACTCTGTAACCTTTTATACTACCACCCACAAGATGGGTATGGGGTGCATAATAAATGAACTAAACTAAACTATTGCAGTATGTGTACATTGGCCTGTCGCTTGTCACTAAACTTAGTTGTTAACTATTAACTTGATGAAATAATATCACCTTATACGCGAGAATAATTCTAAATACACAGCGATAAAATTGACGAATGCGGCTTTGGGTCGGACGGCCGCGGAGGCGAGCCTGGCCTGAGGACAGGCAACTGTAAATGCTTCACCCTCCACATACTTCAAGTGCAAATAATTGCCAACAGAACCTAAATACCGAACCTACTATACGCCTAATCAATTATAGAATATAAAATTAATTTATACACGATAAAACAATTTTTAATACACAGTACATGAAAGACGATAATAAATGCGTCTTGGGATGTGGGGGAGACGACCTCCGCGTTAACGAGCCTAGCCTGACGACGGGGTAGTTTAACAATGGGGAAGTGTATTCTACATAATATCCTACCCATATAATGTTGGCAAATCATGATCCTCAAAATTTTCCACAATATCCGAGAGAGGACGGACTATTTAGCATTAGTGGAATACAAACATTTGAATACTACAGAACCCGGATGAAAAAAAAAATACGGAAACAATGACCCTCGAGACATTACAAAACTCAATGTTATAATAGCGATCAAATGTATAATGCATTAAGCATTGTAGGTGGAGGTAGACTATACATTCATGCGTACCTCCCAACTGCTCAGATATATTTGAAAAAAAAAAAAAAACTTATCAGCCTTACCTACACGGGAGCGACGTGCTCACACCGCCGCTGCTTCCTGACGACTGACCGGGTCGTCGTCGATGACCCGTAGCGACCAACCGACCCAGAGACTCCCTGCCTAAAATTATTTGAACACCATATTGAAATTCCTAGCGTATAGCGCCAGGAATGTGTAAATTAATATTTATAGGCATTATAGGCCTTTCTAAAGTAATTTATAGATCTGAATATCATATATTGTCTAACAAACGAATTATTTAAGTTAAGATTTTAATTATGCCAGATACACGTCTCATCGAGGCACATAATCGGTTCAGGAACTGGCCGTTAAGTCTCATCGCACACAAGAAGATTCGTCGGCGGATTTTTTTTTATTTATATATAAAAAAAGTTTTTAAATTCTTGTAAAGCCACTAGCACGCATAGCGTTTCCTTAATCCAGGTCCTTAATCCTAATTTTTTCCCCGGAATACGACCCGCCAAATCGTTTAACAACCTATTTACTGCTGGGTGAACAGTTAAGGACTGTCGCCTGGTCAATCCTTCCCGGCCAGCAGGTCAAAGCGCTGGCGAAGAGCCGGGCGCGTGCTTTACCACTACGCCACAGAGACTGCTCCGTGGCGTAGTGGAATTTTGAATTTTGAAACCTGACTAACCTAGCTCAACCCAACCTAACGTAACCCAAATCAAACCAATATAATTCAACCGTGCCCAATGCAGCCTAACCTTAATAACATAACCTAATACAGCCTAGCATAACAATACATCCAGTTTTTAAACAGAAAATGCTGCTTTCAGACAACAGTCAGCCCCCCTTGTTTAACTCCCTAAACATGCTAAACATAATCTCTCCGCAAATTCTCTTGTGTCAACTACATTTACAAAACCTTGTTCTTAAATGCAAATCCTACTCTGAAACTCTCTCTGGACAGAAGCAATAGGACCCATTATCACCACACCAGAAATAAATATCTCTTTGATATCCCCAGAGTCAAACTTAATCTGTGTAAACACTCAATGCAAATAATGGGACCCAGTCTATGGAACTCACTCCCTAATGAATTGAAAAGCTGTCCAACTTTTGCGTCATTCAAAAACAAAACAAAAAAGTACCTAATTTCATCTTCATAGTTTTTACCTTGTTGCTTTAAAATTGCACTGTATCTAGTGCTACCCAATCTCCCAATCTTTATGTACCCAATCCGAACATCTTTACCATTGTGATCATTGCTGTCTTCTTATATGTGCTATCAATCTGCTGTATGGTGCCTATTAATCTTGTTTAAATTACCAATCAAGCTGTCAATGTAATCAATCAGAACTTTAATATACCAATGTGCTTTAATATACTTACTAATCTCTCTCATCTCATTTTTTTCTTGCAATGTATCTGTTATCATTTTATTAATTCTGCTAGAATTTACCTACTTAAAATTATCTGTTAGATTAAGGACCTGCCCGAAACGCTGCGCGTACTAGTGGCTTTACAAGATTGTAAATACCATGCTATTCTATGCTATAATGAGTTTAGCCGAATCGTCTCTGGATCATTCTCAAGTCGATTGTGGGACCATTCTCAAGTCGACAATCGACTTGAGAATGGTTCAGGACGGACCGAAACGTCGTCGTCCCTTCACCTTCTAGTGTGTGGTCTGGTCAACATAGTCAACCTGTCTTCGTCCCCACCCACATACTTTTTTTTTTACATGGATATTCCTGCGCGGGCCCTAAGTCTCTGGCTGGCCCACTTAGTGTTGCTTGTTTCTGTTTTACTTGGGCGGAGTATGAGTATTTATGACTCGTATGGTCGCTTCAGTAAGATTTTGTCCCACGTGTTCAACAACTTCTGCTCTGTTGAAATCTTAATAATTATCACTTTTCATGCGCCCGGCGTACAAGGAAAAAAGTTAGCCCAATGTGCTCCCGTTTCGGGCAATCGAGCGGAAACACTGAAAAGTGTATACTCTTTTCACTGTCCTGATCTTAATTTTCGATGTACACAATTCATTTTTTACCAATGTGTTCGCAATAGAATGTTCTAGAAGAACATATGTATAAAATGTCACCAAACTGTGATTTAAACCACTACCAATAAAGAAACTACGTGGATCACTAGCCGTGAGCTCCAAACACCGACGAGATGTTGCCATTCTTTTCAGGGTTGTCAACTCCACACTTGTCCTACAGCGTTAAATTTGGTATCTTTGAGATTACAATAAAATTCCCTACACGGACATATGCATATAAATGAAGAATGATGATCGCAGTCTACCCGCAAAAGTGTGGGAAGTGGGCGAAGTGTTATCTGTTACCGCACATTGGCGATCTATAATAGTTTCACCACGAAGATACAAGACAATGCCGTTCTCCCAAATAGGCTATGTGGCTACTAAAGTAAACGTAAATTTTATGGCAAACATGTTCATACTATCCCCAAGTTGATCGGATAAGAATTGAGTTTTATAGAAATATTTGTTCGTCGGACATGAAAATATGTCCAACAATAACCTACGGGAGGCTACAAGTGACCCCCGACGGACTCGCTCTTGTGTCTAGGGGGCTGGAAAGTGTTGGGTTTGTAACTCTGCACTGTGTTAGATAATGTTCCAGTAGTCTGTCGGGCATTTCTCCACAGTGCTGACATTTCCTATCATCTTCTGGAGCCTGTAAGCCTATTTACCATGCACATGGGTATCCAAGCCTGATGCGATATATGTGTACTTCTGTTGTTCTACTGCTCCATTTCATCAAACTAAGTGGTTCGTAGTTGGTTGAATTTTTGTACCAACCCGCAGATCCTGATGTTGCAACTGCTGTGCTGTGGTCACTGTACATCTTTTTCATTGCTCTGTTTCTAATTACTTTCTTAATCTGTGATAGACTCTGTGGTATGTAAATGTCTACATTTCTTCTCTTAGTTGCAAGTTTTGCAGCTTCGTCTGCAATGTAATTTCCTATTATTCCCACATGATTTGCAGAATGAAGAAAACCTACGTTTGAAAGCCACTGCAGCTTACCTGATCAAGGGTGCCGACAGCACCCGCCCACTATTAAACTTAAAAATAAAATAAAATAAAATGTTTATTCAGGTAAGGTACATACATACAAGAGATTTTACATAAATTGATAGATTTATAGATAGAGCTAGTACATACAATGCCTAAAGCCACTATTACGCAAAGCGTATCGGGCAGGAAAAACTTTAATGACTAATACTTAATACTAAATGAGTATAAAGAATAAAATGTGTTGAGAACAAATAAAAATAAAGATAAAAAGGGGGAAACATGGCCGAAAAAGCAGCACAAATACAAATAGGTCGACAAACAACGTTGTTTAAGAAAACAGACATGGGTTGACAATAGAAGGGTAAGGTAGGTTACAGGGTATTTATTAGGTAGTGCTTCGTTTTTATCTTAAACTGGTTGAGAGAGGTACATTCTTTAACGTGGCTGGGAAGGTCATTCCACATTCTGGGTCCTTGATTTGTAGAGCATTTCTAGTTTGATTAATATAAGTCGTACTCTTGGAATATCAAAACTGAATTTATTTCTGATGTGGTGCTCATGGGCTGTTACAACCTTCAATGAAGCTCTTGAGGACAGGATTGGCATTACAGTTCAGAGTTTTATATATGTATAATAGATTCAGATTCAGATTCAGATGTTTATTCAGGTAAGGTATATACATACAAGTGATGTTACATTAATGGATTGATATATAGATAGAGCTAGTACATACAATGCCTAAAGCCACTATTACGCAATGCGTTTCGGGCAAGAAAAACATTAATATCTAGAACTTAATACTAATTGAGCATAAAGAATAAAAAGTGTTGAGAACAAATACAAATAAAGATAAAAAAAGGGGGAACATGACTGAAAAAGCAGCACAAATACAATAGGTTGACAAACAGTGTTGATTAAGAAAAAGAAAATGAAAAAAAAAAGATAGCTAAGAAATATTCCCATGAATTGAAAACTTTATCATTAAGGATTATTCATTATAATTATTCCTTAAACAGACATGGGTTGACAATAGAGGAGTGAGGTAGATTACAGGGAATTTATTAGGTAGTGTTTAGTTTTTATCTTAAACTGGTTGAGCGAGGTACAGTCTTTAACATGGTTGGGAAGGTCATTCCACATTCTGGGCCCCTTGATTTGCAGAGCATTTCTAGTTTGATTAAGACGTACTCTAGGAATATCAAAACTGTACTTATTTCTGGTGTGGTGCTCATGGGTTCTGTTACAACCTTCTATGAAGCTTTTAAGATCAGGATTGGCATTATAGTTTAGCGTTTTATATATGTATAATACACATGAGAGAATGTGCAGTGACTTAATATCTAACATATTCAGAGATTTGAGTAGGGGTACCGAGTGTCTGGGGCCTGAGTTGGATATTGTCCTAATGGCAGCTTTGTGTTGAGTAATTAGAGGACGTAAATGATTTTGGGTAGGTTACAATCCTACTGTAAGCTATTTGGATAGGTTACAATCACTCACTTACTACCTACAGTTAGCAAACTGGGGATATTTGGCTAAGATTTCTAGTAGAAGATAATTTTTTAATGAAATATTTACGCATCTCTTGAATATTTATTATAGAACGACGGTCTCGCTTCATGCAGGTCGGCGTTCAATCCTCGACCGTCCAAGGGGTTGGGCACCATTATTCCCCCCCATCCCCATCCCATCCCAAATCTTTTTTATCCTGACCCATTCCAAGTGCTATTTAGTCGTAATGGCTTAGCGTTTTCCCCTAATAATTACCTGCCTTCCTCATCCCAATTTCTTCTGATATTTATTTCGAGCTCGACTTTGAAGCCCAGCTTGTAGACCTTTGACTTGTAGACCTTCATCTGGCGACTTGTAGACCTTCATCTGGCGACTTGTAGACCTTCAGCTGGCGACTTGTAGACCTTCAGCTGGCGACTTGTAGACCTTCATCTGGCGACTTGTAGACCTTTAGCTGGCGACTTGTAGACCTTCAGCTGGCGACTTGTAGACCTTCATCTGGCGACTTGTAGACCTTCATCTGGCGACTTGTAGACCTTTAGCTGGCGACTTGTAGACCTTCAGCTGGCGACTTGTAGACCTTCAGCTGGCGACTTGTAGACCTTCATCTGGCGACTTGTAGACCTTTAGCTGGCGACTTGTAGACCTTCAGCTGGCGACTTGTAGACCTTCAGCTGGCGACTTGTAGACCTTCATCTGGCGACTTGTAGACCTTTAGCTGGCGACTTGTAGACCTTCAGCTGGCGACTTGTAGACCTTCAGCTGGCGACTTGTAGACCTTCAGCTGGCGACTTGTAGACCTTCAGCTGGCGACTTGTAGACCTTCAGCTGGCGACTTGTAGACCTTCAGCTGGCGACTTGTAGACCTTCAGCTGGCGACTTGTAGACCTTCAGCTGGCGACTTGTAGACCCTGAGCTGGCGACTTGTAGACCTTTAGCTGGCGACTTGTAGACCTTTAGCTGGCGACTTGCAGACCTTCAGCTTAGACCTTTGTAGACCTTCAGCTTAGACCTTTATAGACCTTCAGCTGGCGACTTGCAGACCTTCAGCTTAGACCTTTGTAGACCTTCAGCTTAGACCTTTATAGACCTTTAGCTGGCGACTTGCAGACCTTCAGCTTAGACCTTTGTAGACCTTCAGCTTAGACCTTTATAGACCTTCAGCTGGCGACTCTTCGCTCTGGCAACGATGGAGTAGATCGCGTGTCAGTGACCGAGGTGACGACGGGCGGTGAGGTGCAGCTCCTGTAAGCTTTCCTGTATATCATCCAGTTCTTCCCTCTTCTCACCGCAATGACTTCACAGGTGAGTGAACATACATGTGATATGTGTTCATGTTCAGGAAAATCGTCCTCTTTTTGTTTAAGGAGTTTTCTATTAGTAGTGTGATCTGTCCTTATTCGTTGACTTGTTCATCCTTATCATGATAGGAGGGTTTAGTAGTGATTAATCATTATCTCTGAGCATCGCGTCTTAGGCAGTATTTCTCCATTTTGGATTTTGGATATTAATGACCCCCATACATTAATGTGAAGTAACCAGTATTTGATTGTGACAATTAGGTATCGTTTAGTTCTGGTTTATTTCATTTGGTATGTTCCCCCCCTGTACCGTCCTCCCCAGAAGCATCCAAACTCTGCCCCAGAATTAATACTATAAAGTCAGTAACATCACTGTACTCTACCTACTAGTTGAGGCAGCCCCTGTGCCTAGCCACTATTTCTAGCCACTCCAAGCAAATAAAAAGACCCAATCTTTAAATTTATACTGGCTCCCCTTAGTCTTTAGTCTTCAAAGTCTTTAAATTTTGGAACTCGCTCCCTGACAAATTAAAAAATTGTCTAGCTTATGCCTTATTCAAAAGTAAAATAAAAAAGTACCTAATTTCATCCTCATAGTTTCCTACCTTGTGCTTCAAACTCACACTATATCTTGTACTGCCTACTTCCTCAATATTAGTACTTAAGACATATATCCTTACCTACAATGTAACTTTTCATCTTGCTTGATATGTTAGATTAAGGACCTGCCCAAAATGCTATGCATGTTAGTGGCTTTCCAAGAATGTATAAATGCCAATCTTATGTGATCTCACCAACCCATTGTACCTTCTTGTGAATAAGTTATTATTATTATTACTTGCCAAAGCTGGTATCAGGCACCTCGTCCACAACAAGGGGTACCTTGGGCCTCGTAGCCTGGTGGATAGCGCACAGGACTCGTAATTCTGCGGCGCGGGTTCGATTCCCGCACGAGGCAGAAACAAATGGGCCAAGTTTCTTTCACCCTAAGTGCCCCTGTTACCTAGCAGTAAATAGGTACCTGGGTGTTAGTCAGCTGTCACGGGCTGCTTCCTGGGGGTGGAGGCCTGGTCGAGGACCGGGCCGCGGGGACACTAAAAGCCCCGAAATCATCTCAAGATAACCTCAAGATAACCTTGTCTTTTTCTCCTGGGCAGAGAAGCAGGTGACCTGTAGCAGGTCTTGAGACCTCTTGTGCATCCATGTATTTGGTGGTAGGTGACATTCACAACTATTATGATGAATAATAGACAAGTCTCATGTTGGTGCCTACTGGTTCTATTGAGGAACCCACATAACATAGTTGGTAAGGTACAGTACTTTGACTTCATTGCTCAGGATTAAATTTAATGCATTTGTGTATTTAGCAGTGTACCCAAGTGATTAAGATGTAGTATACTGTACTTGAAATTAAAGTTTTCAGCAGGATTTTGCAGTGGCAGTTTTCTCTGCAGAATTTAGGACAATTTACATCAGTTCTAGATGTAAATGGGTCTTTTGGGCATCCACCTTCTTAGCATCTGTGTTTTGACTAGTAACTTACTGAAACCTTGTGGTCTGTGTTCCCAGCTCTTTCTTACTATTTTCATATTTTTATTTTTTTATTTATTTTTATTTATATATACAAGAATTCTTACGTTCTTGTACAGCCACTAGCACACACAGCGTTTCGGGCAAGTCCTTAATCCTATGTTCCCGGAATGCGACCTTACCAAATCTTTTAACAATCGGGTACCCATTTTACTGTTAGGTTAAACAGAGGCTACAGTTAAGGATTGACACCCAGTAAATCCTCCCCAGCCAGGATTCGAACTCAGTCCAAAGCGCTCGCGAAATGCCAGGCGAGCGTCTTACCACTATTCCACGGGGACTGTTTCCTTTGTTCTGAGGTGGTTCTGACTCTGTTTGTCTTGAATTAAGGATAGGAGTGCTTTAGTTAAGGTTCCCCATTTTTGTAATTCCTCACTCCTGCATGCAGAAGGTATGCAGGAATGGGAAAGAAGTGTGCCCAACTGGAAGTTACGATAAAGTAATGGTTAGCATTACTAACCATTGTTTTAGCTGCCAAGGGGGCCTGACAGCTGAGTGGACAGAGCTTCAGATTCGTAGTCCTGAGGTTCTGGGTTCAATCCCTGGTGGAGGCGGAAAACAAATGTACATTGTTTATTTCACCATGGTGCTCCTGTTCACCTAGCAGTAAATAGGTACTGTACCTGGGAGTTAGACAGTTGCTATGGGCTGCTTCCTGGGGGTGTGTAATAAAAAGGAGGCCTGGTCAAGGACCGGGCCGCGAGGATGTTAAGCCCCGAAATCATCTCAAGATAACCTCAAGAAGCAAGCAATTCATCGGTGGTGACTTAAGCCAAAGAGGGCTCCGAAGTGCTTTGATTTTTGCAAAAGTTGACCAAGTCATTCCAAGTTGGATTGAGGGTTCTCTGGTGCTTCCCCAGTACTTTTCCCTGCAAGGAATACTGTAATTGACATGTTCATTGCAGTGATAGTGCCAGAATGTTGTCCTGCTAAACTGTTGTCATCCTGTTCATAGGACACAACTGATCTTGCCTCAAGTAGCAACAGTGTATTTAAAAGACATTTGTTCCTCATTTACAGTACTGTACTGTACAGTGTGTATAGGTACTTCTAAATTTTGGTAGTACTGTACTTGCACTGTAATCCTCTTCTGGATTTTAATCCTGATAAGATTTGTAATTGCTGCACACTTAAATGAATGCACAATGATTATACTTGAATGTTCATCCTGTTTTATAACTTTATATAGAGATATATTTTTTATGAAACTGTTATAAAGTATGGCTTATTCAAATTTGCTGACATTCTGTAATAGTTACCTTTGTCTACTGCTTGCAATATGTTTGAGACTAGGGTAACTGCAGTAATAGCTTTGCTGAAACATAACTTCTTTAAGTCATTCTATTAATATTTGTTATTAATCTGCATTGAAATATTTCAGGTCCATGAATTTACACTGGAGATGACTTGTGAAGGTTGTTCTGGGGCTGCCCAGCGAGTGCTTGGGAAACTTGGAGGTGAGCATTTTAAAATTACAGCACAGTACTGGTATGCTTTATGAGAAAGGTGGTAGACTCCACCTTTGGATTTCTGTGTACATTTTGCTGTAATAATAATGAATCTAAAATACATGTTTCAAACAAATTTGGCCAAAATTTAAAACTGTGGCAGTAAAGCTCACTTAATGCGAAGAGGGAAAATGCTTGCCAGTAATAAGATTTTCATGGACTCTGATCCTGATTCCCTGCAAGAACCCCCACTCCTTCCAGCTGGGTTATTTAGTCCTACGACTTTGTGCTTTCTCCTCATAATTATTTTCCCTGTTTTTTCCCCTCCTGCTGGGAAAGTGCCTACTCAAATATTTTAGTCTCTGTTATGGAGAATAGAGGGATCATTTAGATTTGTAAAGAGTTTTGCTAAAACACATCCATTGTCCAAATTGAGGGCTTTCTGTATTTGTATATTAAGGTATTCCCTATTGCAGACTTCCTGTTTGCCATACTGAATGTATATCATTGTGATGTGCCAATGGGATTGATCTCTCGGGTCCTGGTGGTACCCGGGTAAAGTCGTTATCTAGAGGCTGGAGGAATTAAATAAGCCAAAGCTAGAAGACTGAAGAAAAAGAGATGACATGATCATTACATACAAAATAATAATGAGAATAGACATTAAGTAATAAAGAAGCCTTGCGATCTGGAACAGAAAGAACAATGTCATAGATTTAAGCCAACGAAACAAAGCTGCTGAAATTTGTTAGAAAATTCACTTTGCAAACAATGGTAGATGGTTGGAACAAGTTAAGTGAGAAGGTGTTGGAGGTGAAAACTATCAGTACAGTAGTTGCAAAGCGTTATATGACAGCGCTGGGAAGATGGGACACCACGAGTGTAGCTCTCATTCTGTAACTACATTAAGGTAATTACATTTTAGTAATTACGTGCCTTGATGCAGGAGATAATTTCGGTAATCTTGGTTGCAACAGGTGCAAATTTTTGTATCTTGAACACGGATATTTGATTAAATTGTTTTAATTCTTGGAACAATACCATGTACTGTAGTATATAAATGTGCATCATTGTAACCTCAATAGTTTTAAAGATGCAATTTCCTCGTTTATAATTGCAATTAGATGTTGATGTTGCCATTTATGGGAATATCTCGGATTCCAGAAAACTCAAGAAAATTCCAGAAGTACTCGAGAAAATGTTTGATTGCATTTACTTTGTTTATAATTAACCTTCTGGAAAAATTGTGACCAAATATCAAACTATTTTCCCAATACAGTGTAGTGACGTCTTGAAGTTTACAGCTGATACAAAGATTTATGGTAAAGTTGGATGTGAAAATTAAAATTATGCCTTACAAGACGATCCACATGAACTCTACAAACGATCAGAAGACTGGTAAATGCTTTTTAAAGTAAAAAATGCAAACACTTGACCCTATAATCATGTCTCATCCCTTGTTGCACAATTTTAGGTCACTGGAGTTTTAGTGATTGTAGAATATGCTGAAGTGCTGAACTTGATAGTGCCTGCTTGTGATATTTTTGTAATATTTTCCAAACTTTTGTAATTGGTAATAATTTGGTAGATGGTGCTCATAAAGAAATGGTACAAATTTTATATTTTATTCTCCACAGATAAGGTTTCGAATGTAGATATCGACCTGCCAAATAAGAAGGTGGTAGTCACAAGTGTGTTGTCAGCAGAGGAGCTTACTGAAACTTTGAAGAAAACTGGCAAAGAAGTAACATACATTGGGTCAAAGAGTGCTTGAGTGCTAATTTTCTCTTGAAATGTGTTTACTGATTAGCTCATTTGTATAGGATTGGAAGACAGCTGTATGTATCAATGTTTACAATATGTAAAAATAATTAATTTTATATGAGCTACAAAATTTCCTATTTCAATAATGATCACTTGTTAATTATTTGCGTGTTTGAAAAATTAGCACTTGTTTCTAAAGATTACTTTAAATGAATAATATCAAGCCTACTTTTGTGAAGTAAATATTACTTGGCTGTGCAGCTGTTTTCAATTAATAGAGCAAAGTGTTGACGACAATGTAAAGAAATGGTTTGGTAAAGCTCCTTGCATAAGGAACTTCATGTTCCGTCAAATCAGCTCTCTATATGGTGTTTGCCTTAGTCATTCAATAATTGTTTTTCAAAATATGGCAGCTATTGTTGAGCTTAACAAAAATAACAATTTTAAATTAATAGATGTCCCACTGTCTCACAAGAGAGCTAGGGGGTAAAGTTCTAAAGTTTGGTTAGTGATGAAAATGTATTTTGAATCTTGTAAAATACTCATTTAACATCTTTGCTCTGAAAAGTTGATTTTTATTCATGAAAAACTTGCAGCTAAACTTTGTGATGAGCATTATATTATGATAATATGCATACAGGCAGCAAAATATTAAACAGTAATGTGTATATTTAATTTGTAACAATAATGTAAGTCATTTTAAAATGTTGGAAGCCTGTTGTGATACAAGTACAGTAACATTATAAATTTCTAGACAATGTCATCAAATACCATTGCTTGATGTATTCTTGTGTACTGATACTATAGGCAAATATTTATATGTTGCATTTAGAGAAATTTTGTATCCAAATTTAGATAGTCAATTTTTTAACATCCAAGTAAATACTGAATTACAAATGAGTTAAAACCAAATTCCCTTTTTGTTGAATTAAATGTTCATAAGGAGGGGGGAAAATTTGGTATGTACTCGGTACAGGATTTTTTACGTAATCTACTTTAGTCCTTAGAGCCTTGATTGTATGGACCTCAATTGTTCCACATATAATTTAACATACAGTATTCTATTTTATTATTTTACTGTGTAGAACTGCATTGTATAGGGTAATTCGACTTGGAATAGGGATCAAAAAGTAATGTAGTGTAAGGCAAAATATCAGTTACTTAATAATAATAATGATAATAATTTACTTGCAAGAAGGTACAATAGGATTGTGAAATTACACAAGATTGGTATTTTTACATTCATGCAAATGCATTGCTCTTGTTTGGGACCATTGGTTGAAGAAATTTGCATATTTTTATTTTTACCATTAAAGATACTGTATTGCAATATTTGTTTCTGCATAAATTATTCAGTGTGAACTGTATTGTTCATTATAAATTAGTCCACAGATTTTTTTAACCATAGATAAGAAAATTGTATTCGGTGGAAAAGTTATTATATAAGAAGTTTAGTTCTAACAAAATCATAGAACTACATTTAAATTAATATGAACCTTAATGGAAAATGTTTCTTGGGGCTTGATGTGATTTATATGATTATTTTAAAGTTTAAAATTCACTGATGGTAAGAATGGATTCTATTCAGATTTGTGCCTTGCATATACAGAACTTGCACTGCTTGAACACATGATTGTTAAATTAAAACTACCTTACTCTGTAACATATATGTCGTATTTTCATTGGATTTGACAAATAAAAAGTACGAACATGTTTGTGTCATTATGCCATGTACAGTAATGCATAAATTCTATGATGTACTGATAATTTAAATTTTGATTATAAAGTTGCGTACTGTATTACTACTATTGAGATCACCAATTTTTTTTTAATTAAGGTTAAAATGGATACAGAAATTAGTTAATATTGGATAAGCATGATAAAATGTAAAATTTTATTGATAGGAAAGTGTATACAGTACTTTGCTAGCAGTCTTGATGCAGTGTTTCACATTGTGTATTCCACAAAGTGAAATACATAATTCCACATTGCTCCTCCTCACTCCTCGTTGTACAAGTTCTTGTATAGTTGCGCATATGGATGTACTGTATAGGGTCCTGTTAGTACAGTTGGGTTCGTTCTCGATGCACAGTTGAGAATTCCGGGTTGGAATCCATGGCGGGACAGAAATGGTTGGGCACATTTTCTTTCATCTAAGGCCTCTGTTCACCTAGCAGTGAGTAGGTACTCGGGAGTGAGCTTGTTGTAGAGTTGCATCCTGGACAGGGTCAGTAATTTGGCTGGGGGGGGGAACCTTGATAAAAGCCAAATGTGTATGAATACACACTGGTTTCCTGTACCCCGATTAATGAATTATAGTTGGTTTTAGTGTGGTCCATTTATTATGCACTCTATACTCATCCTGTGGATGGCAATGGAAAGAGTTAGAGGAACACTATGGACTCGGGGACAACCCCCTAAATTTATTTATCTAAGCAAGTTAGTCTTTATAAGCTAGTTACAAAATTTAATTATTGTTGCATCATCATTGGGTTCGAGACCAACCAGTCTCCAACTAACCAACTTTCATATGTGATGGTATGAAGTGCTTTGATCTCTGTAACTACTTCATACACTCATGAATATTGGAAGATATTCTTGTGCTGTACCCAGAGTTTGCTAATGCAAGCTATTAGATCAGTCTCGCATTTCATGTGTAGCGAGTAGATTATCCCAATAATACTGTATACTCGCTCCAAATGCATTGTTAATATTCCTGTCAACCTTTGGAGATGAATGAGGTGAGGCGTTGCCCGGGCAACACGGTGAGGTGTTGCCCGAGCATATAAGCAGCAGAATAGCAAACATTAACCAGAGTCTACTTTCAAGTGTGGTCTAGAGCAGACACTTGCGAGATACTGTACCGACGCTCAGTGCGCTCAACTCACACCAAAGTATCACCTGTGTACTTCTGTATATTCGACCAAATATATATATAGTACCTTAGTGTCTGTGTTTATTTGTCACCATACTTTACGTAACAATAGAACCGTTACATTGGTGACCCAGTGAGTGAAAAAGAACACCTAGTCACAAACTAGATCTTCGTCATGGATTTATCTACCAGGTTTCCAGCATACAACGCAGATGAGCCAGAATTTTGGTTCATGCAGATGGAGGCTATTTTCGACCTTCACGAAATTTCGACTGAGAAAGCCCGATATGCCTGTACCCTGCCAACACTTACCTCGGAGGCTATGCACACTGCCTCCGCTGTCATCACCGGACACCAGGACGGATTCGGATGCTTGCGGCCTGAGTGAAGGCCGCTCTTCTACATGCATAGCGCTTACGACTTATTATTACGACTATATAACACTTGGTAGGGACACACACTTTTGAGGGCCGGTGGCTGAGCGAACAGCACGCTGTATACGTGATCCTGTGGTCCCGGATTCGATCCCGGGCGCCGGCGAGAAACAACGGGCAGAGTTTCTTTCACCCTATGCCCCTGTTACCTAGCAGTAAATAGGTACCTGGGAGTTAGTCAGCTGTCACGGGCTGCTTCCTGGTGTGTGTGTGTGTGTGGTGTGGAAAAAAATAGTAGTAGTAGTAGTTAGAAATAGTTGATTGACAGTTGAGAGGCGGGCTGAAAGAGCAGAGCTCAACCCCCACAAGCACAACTAGGTGAATACTTTAATTTAATACATAATTTCAAATGTAGATATGATAGAGCCCAGTAGGCTCAGAAATCTGTACATCAGTTGATTGACGGTTGAGAGGCGGAACCAAAGAGCTAGAGCTCAACCCCTCCCGCAAGCACAACTAGGTGAGTACACCTACACTCACGCACATTATGTAGGGAGAATTGCCCAGTTGCTGGAAGAAGGCAAATGTCGTGCCGATCTTCAAGAAAGGTGATAGATAGGAGGCACTTAACTATAGACCTGTATCACTGACAAGCATCCCCTGTAAAATACTGGAAAGAATAATTAGGCTACGACTGGTTGCACACCTGGAGAACATTAGGTTTGTGAACAAACATCAGCATGGGTTCTGGACAGGGAAATCGTGCCTAACAAACCTTCTGGAGTTCTATGATAAAATAACGAGGATAAGACAGGACAGAGATGGTTGGGCAGACTGCATATTTCTGGACTGCCAAAAAGCCTTTGATACAGTGCCGCACATGAGACTGATGTTCAAGCTCGAGAGGCAGGCGGGGGTGGGGGGAAAGGTCCTAGCATGGATAAGGAACTACCTAACAGGAAGGAGCCAAAGAGTTACGGTAAGGGGCGAGAAGTCGGACTGGCGAACAGTAACAAGTGGAGTACCTCAAGGATCGGTGCTGGGACCAATTCTATTTCTTGTATATGTTAACGACATGTTTACAGGCGTAGAGTCCTACATGTCGATGATTGCGGATGACGCAAAGTTGATGAGAAGAGTTGTGACAGATGAGGCTTGCAGGATCCTCCAAGAGGACCTGAACAGGTTGCAGAGATGGTCAGAGAAATGGCTACTGGAATTCAACACGAGCAAATGTAAAGTTATGGAAATGGGACTAGGAGATAGGAGACCAAAGGGACAGTACACAATGAAGGGGAACAGCCTACCTGTGACGACGCGTGAAAGAGACCTGGGTGTGGACGTAACACCTAATCTATCTCCTGAGGCACATATAAATAGGATAACGACAGCAGCGTACTCTACACTAGCAAAAGTTAGAACATCATTCAGAAACCTAAGTAAGGAGGCATTTAGGGCGCTTTACACTGCCTACGTGAGGCCAGTCTTAGAGTATGCCGCCTCATCATGGAGTCCCCATCTGAAGAAGCATATAATGAAACTGGAAAAGGTTCAGAGGTTTGCAACGAGACTCGTCCCAGAGCTACGAGGGATGGGGTATGAGGAGCGCCTGAGGGAACTGTGCCTTACGACACTAGAAAGAAGAAGGGAGAGGGGGGGGGACATGACAAACATGACATGGACATGAGGGGGGACAACGTATAAAATACTCAGAGGGATTGACAGAGTGGACATAGACGAAATGTTCACACGGAATAGTAACAGAACGAGGGGACATGGATGGAAGCTTGAAACTCAGATGAGTCACAGAGATATTAGGAAGTTTTCTTTTAGCGTGAGAGTAGTGAGAAAATGGAATGCACTTCAGGAACAAATATGTGGAAGCAAATACTATTCATAATTTTAAAACCAGGTATGATAGGGAAATGGGACAGGAGTCATTGCTGAAAACAACCGATGCTCGAAAGGCGGGATCCAAGAGTCAATGCTCGATCCTGCAGACACAACTAGGTGAGTAAACACACACATCTTCAGGAAGCAGTCCATAGCACCTGTCTAACTCCCATAGGTACCTATTTACTGCTAGGTAGCAGGTGCATCAAGGTGAAAGAAACACTGCCCATCTGTTTTCCGCCGGCTGCGGGGATCGAACCCCGGTCCCTAGGTCCACGAGTCTAGAGCGCTGTCTACTCAGCTACCGGCCCCCAATTGAACAGGTTTGTGAGTGCATGTTGAATTTTGTAACTAGCTCATCAAGATTGTAACTTGCTTAGCTAAATGAATTGTGGGGTTCAGTCCCTGAGCCCATTATGTGCCTCTGTAACCCTTTCCACTACCGCCCACAAGATGGGTATGGGGTGCATAATAAATGAACTAAACTAACTGAGTGCATGTATAGTGAGTGCGTGTATATAGTTGCGCGAGTGCTTGTATAGTTGCCTGAATGCTCGTATAGTTGCGCGAGTGCTTAAATTTTTTCGCGAGTGCGTGTACTCACCTAGTTGTGCTTGCGGGGATTGAGCTCTGGCTCTTTGGTTGTATAATTGAGTGAGGGTGGATAATTGAGTGAGTGCATATATTTGCGCAAGTGCTTATATAAGTATATTAGTGCTTGTATATCTGTGAGCGCTTGTATAGTTGTGAGTACATGTATATTGAAATTGACATGTATATAGTTGCGCAAGTGCTTGTATAGTTGTATGAGTGCCTGTATTATTGCTTGGTCGCGACTAGACAAAGTCGAGTATATCCAGTATAACTGATTTAGGAGATTATTAAACATTTTCAATCAAATCAAAATCAAAATGTTTATTCAGGTAAAAGTACATACATAGAAGATGAGTTACACACATAATGTTGGATTTATAGATATAGCTAGTTGTTACAGTACCTAATTTTCGCATGATTTGCGTGTAATTCCTTTTATAACATACAAATAAAATAATATTTATATGTATATATAGCTATAAATACATACGAGTATGATATAAATGTTTTGAGTCATAAGGTGTCCGCTCTCTCCGGCGGCCACGATATACCTGTAAGTGTAAACGTCGACAAACCGTTCAATCCACTCTTCTTTGTTTTGTTTTGTTGGTCTCTAAAAAATATTCCAAACTTACGTATGATGCTAAAAAAACTTATCCTGAGTCATAATTTAATCCCGGGATAAACGTAAGGTAGTTTAAAAGGAATTGATTAAGGTGCATGAGTTGTGATATTTTGTGTTGATATATGGGAGAAAATGTAAGATGAGAGGTGGAGGTAGAGGTGATGTGGCAGCGTGGCGGGTGGTGGTGATGATGGCGGGGAGGAAGTGACGCGTGTACCGTCCCCCTGGCGGCGGGCCGGGGAGGCTGGGACACGTCGCCCTCACTGAGGCCAGTGAAGCGGCCACCACACGCAGGGGTGCACACACTCTCCCGCTGCTGCTGGCTCGCGCCACAACAACATCACCATGGGGAGTAAGTCTAATACTTGAGTTCCGTTGGTACAATACGTGCAGGTGTAGGTGTAGGTCTAATACCAGGGGACGGTAGGTGATAATGGGGGTTATTCCCCACCGTTTATGGCGTATAATATACACGTTAACCGCTGTTAAGCGGACATGCCGGGTTTCCCCGGTATTGTATCGACGACAGCTGTGGCGTGTAAGTAATGCATGGAGGCCCTCTATTGAGGGTCCTTGGGGGTGCACAGTACTCCCACCTTGGTATTTAAGTACTGGAGAGAATGATTATTTTATGTACTGAAGAAAATTTGCAAAGTGAAAGTTTTTTGGGGGGTGGAGGCGGCGGCCACCTGACCTGAGGCCAGGGACGCTGATGGCTGCTATGATTCAGCTTAATGTGTGTGTGAGCTTCTAAAACACCGTAATGGTCCCCGCCAGTGTGACCACAAGGCCTAGACTCTTGAAACATATCGAGGGATGAAAGCTGTTTGATATAAAGCCCTAGTTATGTCTCCTGCTGGTTATTAATATTTAGGTCAAGTACTGTTCCAGTCGCCTAATGATTTTATTAAGTTTTAGATCGCCCAAGAGTTTTTTTGGTCGACTATTAAGAGATTTTGGGTTCTCAAGACATATGGTCACACGTAAACAAGATTTTCCAGAATTGGTTCTATTGGTTTATGCACGTTTTATTGGGTTCGGGAAAAGTCTTCGGTAGTGGTACTGCTTTTAGGAGGCTGGGTTAAGGTGGTAGCTCTATGGGTGACCACGTCTCCCACCCCCAGTCTTGGTAACCAGAGCACAACTCGAGTCTCCCAAGACTGCAGGATGCCTACTACTAGCCAGGAGTAGCAGATGTGGTCACCCATATTGCTACTACCTTAACCCATCCTCCTAATAGGTTAATTTTGACACGTGCTTAGAGACCAAAGATTTCTTGTACTAGAAAAGTATTGTAGCTCTTGAAATTGACGTAGTGTCAAGTTTTGTCCGAGAGTCCTCTAGGTGGATAGGATAAAGCACTTTTAAAGTTTTTTGACGTTGGAAATGCTCCCGAGAACAGGCTGACTAGCTAGGCCCATTAGGCCCTAACCTGTCAGTGCTACCAAGTATTACATGTAATACTAGCCTCGTAGCTTTCCTCTCAATTGGGGATCCAAGGTTAAATTTCTTGGCGGGACAAAAATGGTTGCTTTTCCTTTCACCTAGTGCCTCTATTCACCTAGCATTAAATAGGTTTGCAGCAGTTATGCAACTGATGTGTGGTTGTATCCTGAGGAAGGCCAATAATTCAACTTTGGGAGGCTTAAATACAAGCCCAATGTATTCTAATTTTACTCCTAATTGTGCATGAGGGAGGGTTGAGCTTTGGCTCCTTGGTCCTGCCTCTCGACTGTCAATCAATTGATGCTCTGATTCCTGAGCCTGTTGGGCTTTTTATATCTCGCATTTGACTGTATGGAGCCAGGCTCCACCACATCACTGCCTAGTGCATTTCATTTAACTGACTAAAATTGTCTGTCTGTAGCTTTGTTGAAATACGCAAACGTTCGGAGTCACGTTTCATTTTCCTAGTGGATGCATGTGCATTTGTGTGTATTTACAGGTGTCCTGTCTGACAAAATTAATATCACTTCAGGAATGCAGATAATTTTGTAGTCTTTAATAGATATATACAAATTAACATGAATAACCTACCTTGAATTGGTTTCGGGTCTTAGTGTCCCCGCGGCCCGGTCATTGCCCAGGCCTCCTCATTGCTGGACTGGTCAACCAAGCTGTTGGACATGGCTGCTCGCAACCTGATGTACGAGTCACAGCCTGGTTGATCAGGTATCCTTTGGAGGTGTTTGAGTTGAACACTGTGAGGGGTTGGCCAGTTATGCCCCATATGTGTAGTGGACGTGTGTTGAACTGTCTCGGGCCTCTGATGTTGATAGTTCTCTCTCAGGGTACCTATTGCACCTCTGCTCTTCAACGGGGTTATTCTGCACATCCTGCCATGCCTCCTGGTCTTGTGTGGTGTTATTTCTGTGTGCAGGTTTTGGACCAGCCCCTCCTGTTTTCCACTTTTATATTAATCTCTCCCGCCTGCATTCAAGAGAATACACATTTAGGCATTTTAGTTGTTTTTGGTTAGGTAAAATATTAAGAAAATTAAAATAACATATGGGGGCAAATGGTTGCTGATCTTGTTTTTTAGATATTTTTTTATATAACCCCTTTTCCAATTGTACTGTACCTTTTGGAGCCACCCACCAAGAGAGAGTGCTTCATTATTATTATTCTATCATTAGAAATTTCCACCCCTGCCTATAAGTACGAAAAAATATACATTTTCATATCAAACGGTAGATTGGTATTAAAAAGTGTACAAAATATAGTAATCTCTCTTTGGTCTGGGCAATGGTCAGTATTCCTTCTGGCATTTATCAGCATTACATTGTGAAAACAGACTAAACTAAATTCTTATTTTCATGAAATATATTGAGTAATCTGTATGCAAAAGTAGAAATACTAAGATAGTAGAAATACTAAAATAATATAATATGATGGGATATAACCAGGAACGAAGGTCTGTCTAGCTCCAAATTGTGTAGGCTTCCATAGTTACGTGGTGACACCATTTGAGCTATTGGATCCATTTGGGCAACATTGCGTATTCAATCACAACTTGGTATTGCCCTAAACGCAAGTTGGGAAGATGGGTTTAGACTTTTGGTGAATGCTTAATTATCAAAAATTATTATTTCATGTACCTTCCAGTATTTATAAATAGTAATACCTTGAATTAAATTAATTATATTATATTGTGCTGCTTTTTTTGACCTAAAGAGTTAGTCTTTAATTAGAATTAAAAATAAAATTTAAATTCAAGTTTGGAGAGAATTTTGTGTACTAGCAAGTTTCTTTTTCAGTTAAATTCCTCGAGGTGATAAAGCCGTTCTGTGCGGTATTGCCTGAAATACAGAAGCCAGAACGTAGGATCCAGTTCAGAGAAAAGGTGCTATGGACTGCCATAACCCTATTCATCTTCCTTGTCTGTTGCCAGGTAAGATTCCTACAGAATATGTAAAGTTGAATTAATCCAGAATCTTAGCTTACCAAACTTTGGTAGGCTAAGCTTCCATTTTCCACATGAACACACCCTTATGAATATTTACTAGTAATAAAACATGTTTGTATGACAAATCATATTTTTTTTTTTTTTTTACTTAGGAAATATATACAACACTTAATTTCTAATTGGCATGTTAAATCTCATAAGCATTTGTGCATGATAGATTTACAGTATGTAGTATTCTCCCTTGTTTAGTTCATTTAATTTTCAGTATTGACTTTAGAATTTAAGGAAATAATTGGTTGTACACAGAATACTTTCATTATTATATATGCAACAAGTTACTTAGATTTTGACTTAAACAATTGGGTAAACCTACATTACTTGTAACAAATATAAGGCTTAATTAAGGTGCTTTTTGTTTTGCTCCGGTTAACCATGGAAAAAATTCATAAAAGGCTGTTCTAGAGTTAGTGAATTTTTCATGCAGGTCGGCATTCAGTTCCCGTCAGTCATTGTGATTGGACACCATTCCCTTCCTCCATCCCATCCCAAATCCTTATCATGACCTTATCCTTATCATTTAGGGGCCTCGTAGCCTGGTGGATAGCACGCAGGACTCGTAATTCTGTGGCGCGGGTTCGATTCCCGCACGAGGTAGACACAAATGGGCAAAGTGTCTTTCACCCTCTATGCCCCTGTTACCTAGCAGTAAATAGGTACCTGGGTGTTAGTCAGCTGTCACGGGCTGCTTCCTGGGGGTGGAGGCCTGGTCGAGGACCGGGCCGCGGGGACACTAAAGCCCCGAAATCATCTCAAGATAACCTCAAAATATGACACCTAAGTCCTATACAGTGGTAATGGCTTGGAACTTCCCCCTGATAATTCCCTACCTCCCTCCCTCCTGCTATACCTAGACATTAACTACATGGTAAACTCGCATTCTTGGATGCTTGCATCTTCGATATATTTTGGTACAATAACTGCTCCTTTCCATAGTATCAATCCCGTGTTTTCGGCTAAACTCTCGCTATTTTTTCTAAAACATTTAATAATTCATAATGTAACTTCCACACATACCTTAATTTTTTGTATTGAACTTTTCTATAGCTATCAGCTTTCATATGACTTGCCTCCATAAAATTCAATAATGTTCACATTAACACCTAACAAATTCCACTCATTACTTAGTTCTGTCATTTACCATTGTCGTAAGTGGAAATACTCATTTCACAAATTAGTTTATTGCAATAATTTTTCTAAAATACAATACCTTTTGCACTTGTAAAATTTCTTCAGTTTTTTAAACCAGAGGCTGCAGATCTAAATTGATCTGGAATAATGTTCCCATTAGTCATTTGAGGCATAATTATGATAAATGTGAATTTATTAAATTTACAAATCAAATTGCTAGTAAATGACAGAATTGGATGTGCATATACCTTGCTGAATACATTGACAGGCATACTTATTTGATACCAAACACATCAGGAAGTATTTGGTTTAGTTGTTGCCTAAAAGGTTTTGCCTTTGTAATATCAAACATTCATACTACTGCTTTTTATATATGCAATAAAACCCCGGCCAATTTTTATTAATTTTATGGTTGCGTACTGGAATCCCCATTATTTTTCTTCCCGAGATTAATCTGGATAAATTTCTGGTTCCCCTTCCCCCTTTCTCCTCCTCCCCTGCCCCTTTACATTCACAAGAAAATGTAAAAATTAATCTGGAATCTGGATAATAGATTACTGTTTAGTGATGTCTTGAACTCTTGTGGTATAGTATAGTTGGATCATTTTTTTTTATGTAAATAATTTTATCACTACAGTAGTAAGATGTAGTTTTATTATAAATATAGTAAAAATATAGCCAGGATCATTTATAAAATAAGATTACTATATTAGCAATTTATGCTAATGTTTCACGAAGTAAGAATTTTATTAAAATGTGGCACTTTCTTCTGCATTTAATGTAAGCTTAATGAATTAAGATGTTTTTAGTAAGATAATTATTACTTTTAGATTCCTCTGTTTGGAATCATGAGCTCGGATTCGGCTGACCCCTTCTACTGGATTCGGGTGATTCTAGCCAGTAACAGAGGCACACTCATGGAACTGGGTATCTCTCCTATTGTCACTTCCAGTCTCATCATGCAACTGCTAGCAGGTGCTAAAATAATTGAGGTGAGTAGTGTTAATTATTGAAAGTTCGTTGTGATTGGTGTAAGGGCAGTACTGTACTTAAAAATTGGATAATTTTCATGTATAGCATTGTTTAAATCTATTTGCATAGATACTGTTAAGTGTCTCATAATTTATGAAGTAGTGTCCAAATAAAAAAAAAGGCTGTAATAAAAATTGCTTATTAGTGTTTTTTAAGAAAGCTTTTAAAATTATATATTTAACAATTTTCTGACCTTTGCCAGAGGTGGGTGTTTACAAAAATTTTAAATTGTAAAGTGCCAGCTATCAAAATTGTTAGTCTCGGTATACAGTACTGTACTAAAATTAAAGTAAAAATGCTTTTAATGCTTTTTAAATCTTAAGCAAAAAGTCATTGAAATCTCTTCTTGGCTAAAGTATGGCATGCAGTAAAAATTTATATATGTACTGTACTATATTATTGAATATCACATTTTCTGATTTAATTTAATGGTACTTTTTCTCCCAGTTTATGTAGGTTTGAATTTTCCTTTGCTACAGTATTGTTAAGTTCTGAAAAAAATAGTACTGTATGGAGATGAACTTCATTAAACAAGTTTTAAGTTTATTGGATTGAACTCAAAGGGTGTTCTTCATTTTAGGTTGGTGATACTCCTAAGGACAGAGCTCTTTTCAATGGTGCTCAGAAACTTTTTGGTATGATGATTACAATTGGACAAGCTATAGTGTATGTGATGACTGGTATGTATGGCGACCCTTCGGATCTGGGTGCTGGCGTGTGTCTTCTCATCATTATCCAACTGTTTGTTGCTGGCCTCATTGTGCTGTTACTTGATGAACTCCTACAGAAGGTAATGTTACAGTAATGGTTTTGAAATTCAGTAATATTGCAATTTTGAAAATTGTAATTGTCCTTGACAAATTAGACTGTTGGAAGCATACTAGTATAATGTTTACATTTTTCAGGGTTATGGCCTTGGCTCAGGAATCTCCCTCTTCATTGCCACCAACATATGCGAGACAATTGTATGGAAAGCATTCTCTCCAGCCACTGTTAATACAGGTCGTGGTACAGAGTTTGAAGGTGCTGTTATTGCTCTCTTCCATCTTCTGGCTACCAGACAAGACAAGGTGTGTATCTGATTCTTTATTCGTGACAATATAGACATTGGTGCTTATTTTACAGCAATTTTGCTGCTGTGGGCATGATTTATATTTTGCTGTCGAGTTTTAAACATTATCCATAGTAAAAATTTGGTCATTTGAAAATAAAATTTAATCTTTTAATAGGCACTTTATAAATTAGCCACTTTCAATGGTGCCACATTAGCCCTAGTTGCTCTGCATATATTCATGTCAGTTTGTCATCAATTCATTCATGCATTCTTGCTCTTGTAGAATGTCAACACAGATAAATGGAAAATATGATTAAGTTTCTGCCGTTTAGTGGTTAGAAAATTTATAAAAAGTTTAACCCTAAATATAACAACCATTCTGCCTATACCATACAAAGTAAAATTCTGATATACGTTTCTTTAAACAGGTGCGAGCCCTTAGAGAAGCTTTCTATCGCCAGAATCTGCCAAATTTGACCAATCTTTTGGCGACCGTTCTCATCTTTGGAATAGTTATATACTTCCAGGTAGGAATGTTTAAAAATAACTTGTGTTCTATTTAATTTTACATTTAAGATGTGTAGGGGTTATGGAAAATTTGAGAAAGGACTTCCAAATTGTTGCTTAAGAGGCAGGATGGTGTCCAGACAAGTTTCAACATGAGGACTGATTGCACTGCTTTTGTTGAAAGTGTAGCAATTAATCTTTGAGTGTTGGTATTGGGAAGTAATGCTAAATGAAATTTTGAATGTTGGTTATTAGTCTGCTGTACAATTGCAAGACTTGTGGAACTTCTCAGAGCTTGTTCACAATCCTCTTCCCAATAGGTTTTTGTACTGTTAATTTGCCTGGCTAATTAAATTTTAAATATTAAAATTCATGATCATAATGAACAAAATGAAATCTGAACAGTCCAACTAACTAGTTCATGCTCACAGCCAGAAATGAAAGTCTTGGCTATTTTTGTAATCCATTGACACCAATATTTGGTATCGGGTGAAAAATTAGTGTAGAATTTAATAGCAATAGAATAAGGCATTGCACTTATCTTCAGTTGGGGTTGGGTCTTTGCTCTCAAGCTGCAACATATAGGTCTAAATAGGATTTGTTTCCTCAAAGAAGTAATGAGCAGGTTGGTCATGTGCCCAGATGTAAATTCTGGGCTTCCTGGTGCTGACTTGGGCAATGCATAATTTTTTTTCATGTTTGGTTATTTGCTTTATTGTAACAAAATTGTAGTCGGCTTGGAAATAAAAGCCAAGAAGTAATTTGAATATTCCATGGAAGGATGTTCAGTCACTTACAATATACTGTACATTGCAAATGATTAAATGTGTATCGGTGAATTCATGGATGGTCGGGAACGCCTTGTTTAGAGTATAAAGAAAAAAAATGGTATGCATGATATATCACTGCAAAACTATGGATGCTAAAATAAGTCATGGGGCTGCTCTAGTGTGGCTCAATGTTTTATAGAAGGATTAGTAGCCTTGTGTAAAATTTTTTACTAATGAGTACTTTTATATCAATATCTGACATTTAAATATTGTATTCTCTAGGGCTTCCGAGTGGATCTTCCCATAAAGTCTGCTCGTTACCGTGGCCAGTACTCATCGTATCCCATAAAGCTGTTTTATACCTCTAATATTCCCATCATTCTTCAGTCTGCACTGGTGTCTAATCTATACATCATATCTCAGGTTAGTGAGTGCTCTAAATATCATGCATATACAAAGATTTAAGCCTTTTGAATAATCACATTCCAAACTATAATATTGAATGCATTGATCATGTTACTGTTATTGCAGTAATTTCTTGCAAATCTTATCTGATATTGCAATTGGTCTTTAAATTAGTAAATATTTCTGTCTTAGAGAAAGTAGTTTGAATTAGAGCAGTAAAATTCCAATGAATCCTGGTAACTTTTTTAAAGGACCGAAATGGCATAGTAGTTTCAAAAAACTAAGATTTTGCAACATGGTTAATGGATTATTGTAAAACATTATTTGCAGATGTTGGCCATAAAGTTCCAGGGCAACTTCTTTGTTGGTCTGCTCGGTGTGTGGGCCGACACTGGCTCAGGTGGACCTGGTCGTGCCTCCTACCCAGTGGGGGGTCTGTGTTACTACATGTCTCCTCCAGAATCATTTGGCCACATTTTGGAAGATCCTATTCATGCTGTTATTTATATTGGCTTCATGCTTGGCTCCTGTGCATTCTTTTCTAAGACTTGGATTGAAGTATCTGGATCTTCTGCAAAGGATGTAAGTAACTTCAATATTTATATTTTTGGATTTTTCACGCTTGAAGCTTTTAATCATGCTAATGGTTTAGAAATTTGTATTTCTTCAAAAAAATATAATTGCAAATATATTTTAAGCTTAGTTGCAGTAAGTTGCAGAAATTTGTTAATGTTTATTCGTATATCTTTCCATAACTTCACAAATTTGTATATTTTCCTACTTGGAATTTGCTAGGTAGTATTTATATACTGGGTATTTACTATTTATTGACATTTTTCTAGGTTGCCAAACAACTTAAAGAACAACAAATGGTTATGCGTGGTCACCGTGAAAAATCAATGATCCACGAACTTAATCGTTACATTCCTACGGCTGCTGCATTTGGTGGTCTCTGCATTGGGGCACTTTCTGTATTAGCTGATTTCCTAGGAGCTATTGGGTCTGGCACAGGTTAGTATGGTATATTAAGTATTCAAAAATCAATTAGCTTAAATGTAATTTTCATGTTAGCTTAATTTTGATTGCATACTGGTGCTTTTATACACACTATAAAAGTTTGTCTAAATAATGACAATAAGACACTTAGCTGTAGCAGCATATTTTTGAATTTCTTGGAAGCTGTCAATGACAGTTGCTCACAACTAACCACCCTTCCCTCCTCCATTTACTCCATTAAATTTTTAGTGCCATTCTTTTTCCCATACCGAGTTTTGAATCTCATATAAAAGTCCCCCCACATGCTGTCATTTAGCATTTCTAAACATTGGTGCATTGGAACAGCTAACCCAAACACTGGATAATAATGGTTTTGGTCCATCCTACACATTACTCTACACAACTTTAATGGTCCAAGATGGACTGAAATGCAATCATGCTCTATATTTTCAGATGTGTAGGTTGTCTTAATCTTCAGGCACATAATAATTTACTGTGCATTCTCAACTTCAGATTAGGCTAGTTTTATCATGTCCTTATATATGGTAGTGATTAACTTAACTTTTTTTCCCCCCCCAGGTATACTCCTTGCGGTAACAATCATCTACCAGTATTTTGAAATATTTGTAAAGGAGCAAAGTGAAATGGGTGGCATGAGCACACTACTCTTCTAGGCCACTACCTCAGGAATAGCTTATTAAAAGACTGTGCTGATTTCTTTACTTAAAGAAATTAAGTGCATACACTGCACATTTATTTAAATGATTGTGGTTAATCAGCTGTTGAGCACATCTTAACAGATTATGCGATGTTCATTTTCTCAATGTAACGTCAGTCAAGTGAGGTTTAAAGATATTTATCACAATGGTTGGTGTATTTATTTTTCCTTGCCAGTGGACTGAAGGTGCAATGAGAATTTCTCTTCATTTCTTAAATTTGTTTAATACTTGATAGTTCACTCAAGGGAGTAATTTTCTCAAATTATGGATGCATGATAATTGGCTTAAATAGTACAGGAATAATGAAGTTTGGACAGCTGTTATGTAGGAACATTGCCTCTGCCAGCAGCCCAGCTGTTCTGTGATAGAAGGTGATGCTAGTGGATCATATTGTATGAAAGATTTGTGCAAATGTTTATACTTTTTACATTTAGTGATAAGGATGTAATAATTCAAAATAAAACAACAAAGTACTTTGGCTTTGTATAACCCAATACAAACTTGTTTCCATAATGTGTAAAGATGCCTACATTAATATAAAAGATGTATGTAGTAGACAGCTGCTAGCAAATCAAATGTATACTGCACAAATATTTCCTTATTGCAGTACCAGTACTCTCAAACCTTCCATAGACAATTCAGTATATGAAACTTCGGATCACAACCTGGGTAGCAAATCTTAGTTTACATACTAGGGCTAAACCAAAAAATTGTCAATTCTGAATGCTGTCATAACTTCAAATTTTACTATTGATAATTATCTTCTAACCTTGATAAATTTATTCTGCAATTTGCAAAGTTCATTCTTGCATTTCAATTTTATAATGGGAATCGGTTTTTAAGAACCTATTCCCATTATAAACCAAGTTTAAAAAAATCAAGCCAGTATTACTAAAGCTGCATTTTAAAAAACTTTCAAGGTGGTAAGGTATTGTTCAGTACTTCGTATTACTTGTATCTAGTAAGAAACTAATGTCTACAGTGAGAAGGTATTAGATGACTTTAAAGCTTGACTAGTAAAGTTAACAAGACTAAGTTAGAATTAGGCTAGTTTCGAATTGCTTAAAAGATTATAGGGCCATGCAGAAATTCTTTGTACCAGTCTTGAATATCCCACACTTGACTACTACACAGCCTCCCCGGCCTGTCTTTAGTATTACTTGCTGTACCAGTTCCCGGTTCGGTGCCTTCTTTTTTATAATTACTTGCTGTACCAGTTACTCCACATTGGCAAGCCTTTAATTGCATTATGTATTTAAATGTGTATACAGTACGTAATCTTAGATGCAAGGTGGGGGGAACAAATTTGGAGGCATGAATGAAGCCGACTGAGGGCCAGTGGCAATGTACTCTGACAGTCTCAAGCGGGTAGAATGAGTGGGGACAACACAAAGATAGCTGGGAGGAAAATGTACATCTTCCTGGATGGACGTTTGTCGAGGAGGGCCAAAACAGTGGGAAGGAGCCGAAAAGATGAAGTTTAAAGGGGAACTAGGGCACAGTGGATATACAAGAGGGAAGTGGCAGACTGGGAATGATTTCAATGTCATTGGTTTATAGACGCCTGCAGCTTCGAGTGTGGAAGCTAGTGGTGGGGGTGTCGGTGTAATGTTTCGAAACTTTTTGGAAAGGGTAGAGAAATGCAATGTACGAAGTCATGTCTGAATAAGTTAAGACAGCGGACCTGGTGCTTTGCCTTGGAGAGATATACGATCGCAAAGTTTCAAGTTGGGATGGCTTGTTAGTGCATGTGCGGGGCCTCATTGCAGTTTGATAGTAAACCGTGTGAAGAGCAGTCTTAGAATGGCCAGTGGTAACCACAAGGGTCAAAGGGGACATCTCTGTACCTCAATACATTGTTCCTCTACATTTAGAGGAACTATTTACATATTCAAAATTTACAATACCTAATGCACCTACAAATCCTATCCAAATTTAAAACACTTTACAGAGATGCGAAGTATGGATGTATCCCTGAACGTAGCATCTGGCACCAGCAAGAATTACCAAAGATTAAAAAGTTAATTTAAAAACCGTTCAACCGTAGTGAATGTCAATCTGGAAAAAGCATCCTTGGGCCTCGAGGATATTAATATCCTCACGGTAGTCATTTCCACCATTTCTAGTAGCAACATAGTGGGAATTACTGCCAATGCTGGTATTTTTTGGAGATCTGAACCAACGTCTCCCCAATGCAAGACGAAGTAACCAAGAGCGGCGGCGGCTGTAACGACGTGCCATTCTGGGCGGGGTTGAAAGTATCTTCAGCGTAGATGAGGTCGGTATGAAAGTAAATCGGGGCGTGTATGTTCGACATTATATATATATATATATATATATATAGAAGAAAAAAATACTTAGTGGGGGTCAAACAAATCTTGGAACAGCAGTTTAAAGGAATTGCACGTGTTAGTGTAGGTACGGCGCTGCGATCCCTCATAAGGAGGGGTAAAATGTGCAGTTGTCACAATGTTCATGTATGAGCTTGTGTACACGAAAACCATAAGAGGGTAATTGTAGGGACAAAAGTTACACATACCAATAAAGTCACATACGCAAAGCGTTTCGGGCAAAATTGAATAATTTAGACAAGTTATTAAGATAAAGGGTAAACCACTTAATACTAAAGAGGCCTCACTGGCTACGTAGACGTATGCGAGTTTCATCACAAGGGGCAATTCCAGAGGTGGTACCGTACTGAAGGAAATCTTATACTGAACTTGGGAAGATTTATTTTACACATTGGTACGGCATGCCAGGCATGCAAAAAATATACAATGATCTTTCAGGATTTATTTTTTAAATGTGTGCCGTTTATGATTTTGGGATAGATTTACACTGATATTGATATATCCATTGGAGTAAAAAAAAAAATGGATTTTTTTCCCAAATGTCAAGCCCACAATCCTTATTGTACTCCGATTTTCATTCAATGAGGAACATACATCGTTTCTTCAATAAGGCCCACGTACACTAAAGAAAATAATGGAACATGAAGGATCACAGATTTTCGCTGTAATGTATACCAATATAAGTTAAACGTTGAAGCGTTTACAGCTACATAGATTTCTAAGCTATATAACTGATGGTATATTAATACTTTTTATGAAGCAATTTGTTCCACCAAGTACATTTATAATCCCAGAACATTAATAATGAGCTGAAACACTCCAGTGGTGCCAAAAATGTATCTGATAGCTTGAGGTTCAAGGACAGTGTCAAGGATGTCCCTGATCTTTGTGGCACATTTGGGTAACAAGTATGTCATTTGGACAAGTGGAAATACTGCTTCTACGAAAGTCAATATGAGCTTCAAGGCAGTGGTAAGGAACATGCCCTGTGATACACCATTGGAGGTGGGGGAGCTTCCCGGGGACAAGATGGGAACTCTTGTTTTTGTAACTTTCCTATCTTTTTTAATATTTCTGTGAGCTGTTGTCATAGTTTTGTTTTATTAACCATGACAAAAGCTGTGTGCGTCAGTGGTTTTGTGCCGTCTTCTACATCAGGCTTTGCAGCCACATACGCCGTAGAGTACTCGACACCTGCTGAAGACGGCGACAAGAGGGAGACTGAATCAAAGGCTGTGACCCTGGTAGTTACCACTCCTGACGGCTTGCTTCGGTCAGTTATACCTTCTATATCTGAAGAGCGTGATCCATTGATGAAGGTTGCATTTATTACATTGTTAGGTACTGTAGTAGAGCCTGCATGGTTCGTGTTGAACAAGACCGAGTGGCTTCCGTTAGTCTTAATATTCACTTGCTGTAGAAGAGATCAAATAAGAAAATGAAAATGTTTTGTAAGCATCACACGGTATAACTTTCAGATTTATAAAAGTTGAATCATGAGCACAGGCAGACATTTTTTCTCCAAATTATTTCACTATTGTTGATGAATACACCGTCAAAATTAGTTGCCTGTTGCTGCTGCTGCCTGGAGATTGCGTGCACTGAGGAAGTCAGCCACGCCGCCCACACCGTCCACCTGCACCACACCACACATTAGTAACTTCATATAACCACTACCTCAAACTTAGCCACTCTTATATTTGCCCTCAACACCAAACAATTTGAGTCTCCTTTCACGCCGCCTGTCTATGACTGACGGCTACAGTGCACACATACAATGTGGAAGCAGCACTACGAGGCGGCCTCCATCTTTGGGCCTTCTCTAGCGGAGTGCGAAATGTTAAGAGTCTGCAAAATAAGAGTTGTATTAGCTGCAGTTTAACGTTACGTAACACAGCAGGCCGTGTGTCGTCACATAATGAGGCAGTACTACATTAGGCTGTGGAGGTTAACACTTAGAACAGTGGGGAAACCCTCCGCAACCTCAATTCACTACCTCTCAAATTCTATAGGTATTAACTGAAGTCTTGCATCCCTAACCCATGCAGCTCTAGCACTGTCAGAAATATTAATATGCAAAAAGTTTCTGCCGAAGACATTACGTAGAGATTTGTGCCTTTAGTCAAATAGTACACGAAATGTCAAACTGACACAGACTACGCTCTTTCTAATATTTCGACAGCTAGGTTTACCAGAAAAATGTAAGCACTGGACGAGACTTGTTATACAGGATTACAGCTTGGCTAAAAAATGGTAAACAGTTACCGTCAATGAGCCATTTGGAGTGTTAAGCACGTTGTATAAAATGACAAATGTTCATTGCAAATTATGAAAACCTAAAAATTTTACTTTATCCACATTTCGCTTCTCGAAGAGCAAAATGTGTGATGAAAGAATAAGTTGTGTAGCAAAAACCGTTCTATTACCCTGCAGGATCCTACACGGAAAATTATACTATTAGGTATTTTCAAATGACACCTCCAATACAGTGTCATACATCGAAGTTGCTGTGCCAGAAGTGTTCTGTTACTATAAGTAAATAAAAGGGGTGATGAGCGACTGAAAAAATGTAACACATTCACCGAGCTCTGATTCAGAACTTTTTGTATCTTCTGTAATATTTCTGTGCAACCACTCGTAGGATGAAGATGGGATTCACAATAAAAGGTGGTGCTGGAGACAAGTGACTGTACAGTTAGGCTTCGTTCTCTACTCTAATTCTGGAATCCTAGATTCGATTCCCGGGACGATTCGAACAGTAGTGGTAATGCAAGTTTTCCCCTCCACCTAATGCCTAGCAGTAAACAGATACTCAAAAGTTAGTCAGTTTATGTAGTGTTGCATCATGGGGAGGGTCAGTAGTTCCACCTTAAGGAACTCTATGCCAGCCGAAAGTGTACATACAAAAGCTTCCTGTCCCCCGACTAAACAGGGACAGTCAAGACTGGCCTCGGGCCGGGCTTGTGGAGTAGAAAAACTCCCAGAACCCCATCAAGCAGGTAAGCCCACCCCTTCCTTTTACCCCACAATTACCAATGGGGTAAAACCACACAGTATGCAATGGTTCGGTTTCGGACCCCCAGCTGCCTCTTCATTGTCTCTTGCTAAATGACTGGTCCTGGTGGCAGTAGTGCAATTCAACTCTTGTGTTGACTCAATCACTTTGTTCCTTACCGTTTTTTTTTATTAAACTGACACGCAACACATTGCTGCTACACTATTCTTTATGATATATTACAGTGTATATCAAGAGCAGAGTTAATCTAATGAATAATGTGAAAGATTGGTAATCGCTCTGCTAGACTTACCCCGTGCCTGCAGTACTGTGCAGTCCTGTGCCTCGAGTATTGTTATATCGCCCTATCCAAGTGTAGGGAACTTGTGTCTTTGGATAGGGCGATAAGGACCTGCACACCATTCAACTAATAAGTATTTTATTTATTTATTTATTTATTTATTTATTGGAGATATATACAAGAGTTGTTACATTCTTGTAGAGCCACTAGTACGCGTAGCGTTTCGGGCAGGTCCCTGGAATACGATCCCCGCCGCGAAGAATCGTTGTTACAACCAAGTACACATTTTACTGTTGCGTTAAACAGAGGCTACAGTTAAGGATTTGCGCCCAGTAAATCCTCCCCGGCCAGGATACGAACCCATGACAAAGCGCTCGCGGAACGCCAGGCAAGTGTCTTACCACTACCCCACGGAGACTAAACAGTACTATAAATATCTTAACAGTACATCAGGCTCCTCTTTCGTTAAACCCACAACCACGTGCATAGCCCTCCCGCATCTACAGAGGCCAAATGCTCGTCAATCCAGCTGGCAAACTATGGATGAAAAACGGTTTACACGACTAATGACGCTCTATCACACTAACAGTGCTTCCCTGACGACCTCTGAGCCACAACGTTAGACATGCTTCACCCACGTTCTTCAACTACAAATCTTCAATGGAGCCTAAACGCCTAAGCCTAACTAAACCTACAATTCTAGTGTATAATATACGAGAAGAAACCAATTTTTAATACACGTATGTTACAATTAATGAATGCGACTGGAAGGGGGGGGGGGGGGGGCGGCCGCTAGTCTGACGAGCCTGGCCTGAGGACGGGTTGGAGGATAGTCTGCTAGCCTAACTGGCTAACCTGGCCGACGGGTCCTCCACACAGCCTTGGGCCCGGTATCACTCCTGAACCTTTTAACAGTTCTCACCCGCATTGTGAGAACCCGGCCAGCATGCCTCACCCGGCAGCTCCTACGGTGTAGGTGGCATAACGATACGGTAAAGCATTTCCTTCAACACTGTCCAAGACGTCATGCCACCACAAAATGGTCCTTGCGCAAATCTCGGCTTATTGCTCTCTTCCTCCTCTAAGTAGCCGCCGGGAAAAGCTAGATGCTCAACTTTAGAGAGCCCCCCTTACACCTATTCACCAGGCACGATTGCTGTACGAGTCGTTAGACGCTAGACTAATGGGACCAGCAATGCCCTTCGGACGTCCCCCGAACTCGTTACTGCAACGCATTAGACCCCTGGACCGTTATCGCCCTAACTATAACACATTCTTATTGTATCAAGAATATGCCACAAACCTTCCAGTTCACACAATTTGTCAGTCATATTATAAACAATGTTCAGTAACTTATCTCCGTGTACCATTTCTTCTCGAAACCTCATAGCTTTTGATAGTCTACTACGAGTTAAAACAAATACAATTGCACTGTCAAGTAATGCAAGTACTGTACAGCGTTTACTTACTGAAGAGCAACTCTAGACCATGTCTGGCGGAGGAGCATCGCAGAACCAGCTAGGTCGGTCGGATGTCGACCACTGAGGTCACGCCCAAGATCACCTGCGGCCTGTGACGACCGTTGGGTAGTCCCGCAGGCCGTCGGAGGCAGCAGCTTAGTTCAAAGATTATCAGTGTTTGGCTGACTTGGTCCCTGTTGCAACTCAGTCCGTCCTCCAAACAAAGACCCAAAGTCCATTCCATGCACCCGACAGAAAAGGTGTTTAGGTTCTGTTGGCGATTATTTGTATTTGTAGTACGTGGGTGAAGCATTTATAGCGTTGTGGTTCGAAGAAAATTAGTCAGTGACGCACTTGTTCCGGAAGTGTTCGAACGAAATCAGTTGTGAGTTGTGTGTAAACCGTTTTTCATTCATAAACAGGGGAGTTTGGCGGGTGCATGGAATGGACTTTGGGTGCTTGTTTGGAGGACGGCTGCTGGATGGAATGGACTTAGTTTGAGGACGGGGAGCAGCAACTACAGCCAAACGAGAAGGGCAGGAGAGAAACCTGGTTCGTTCCCAATACATGAACTTGGCACCTCACATTTTCCTGAAACTCCTTCACGAACAACAGATGGCGTCAAACGAAATTATGGCACGCATATCTCTGGAGTAATTAGTGTTTTCCAGGTAATTAAGGTTTCTTGGTGAAAATTTGTGGAATGCATTTTATATAAATGCTTAACGTGTGCAATGTTAAACCACCATACAGTGTATTGCAGACATTATAATTTATATAATGACAAACTAGGTGTCAGACCTAATTTTATACACTGGATCACCTGACGACTCGGCACTACGCAATATTGATACATTATATATTGTACAGCGTCGTCTGAGATGATGAAGCAACCCGTCCTCGTAATAGCACGACGTATTTTGACGTATACTTTACCTAAGGCCAAAAACTGTTGCAGTTCAAGTTCAAGTTCAAGTATGTTTATTGAGATAAGCAATAAATACATCTCAAAGGGATAGAGTAGCTTAGGCTATTTCTAACCCCCTAAAACTGTTGCACAAGAAAAATGGTAGCGGCTCGCCAAATTGACAGTGTCCCATTTTCTGTTCGTGAGTCCTCTGGTAGGTTAGATGAGGGCACGTTAGTACGACAAATACTAATTGTACAACAGTACAAATTGAAACTGTTGTACTTTTAGTTTGACAGTTTCCTGACGTTGGAAACCCTCGCGAGGACGGACTGGATGAAGAAGATTTAGACATAGGATATATAGTTTGAACAATGGTAGGACTTACTTAAATATAATGAATATACAAAATATATATGTTCTGTATACAATATACCCATTATCTTTAAACCCTACCGTTACCCAATCCATATATATCCTAACACACACAGAAATCACTGTTCGAATGTTCGAATCCTAGTCACGGTCTTTGTGGATTTGTTCATATATATCCTATATCTGGGCCACACTGATCTGAAGAGTCGCCTCCTGAACACTATTTGTTGGTGGAGAGTCTGCAGGTGATCCAACTGTTTGTTTCCTTATATTTATGCAGCCAGAGCTTACACAGAACATACATGTATGTTCCTTGTATATATATATATATATATATATATATATATATATATATATATATATATATATATATATATATATATATATATATATATATATATGTATGTCGTACCTAGTAGCCAGAACGCACTTCTCAGCCTACTATGCAAGGCCCGATTTGCCTAATAAGCCAAGTTTTCACGAATTAATTGTTTTTCGACTACCTAACCTACCTAACCTAACCTAACCTAACTTTTTCGGCTACCTAACCTAACCTAACCTATAAAGATAGGTTAGGTTAGGTTAGGTAGGGTTGGTTAGGTTCTGTCATATATCTACGTTAATTTTAACTCCAATAAAAAAATTGACCTCAAATATAATGAAATGGGTAGCTTTATCATTTCATAAGAAAAAAAATAGAGAAAATATATTAATTCAGGAAAACTTGGCTTATTAGGCAAATCGGGCCTTGCATAGTAGGTCAAGAAGTGCATTCTGGCTACTAGGTACGACATATATATATATATATATATATATATATATATATATATATATATATATATATATATATATATATATATATAATATAATATAAAATCTAATAAAATCTATCCTTAAATCCATGACGGACTGACGCTTCGTCATTTTCCTTTCGTGTGTAGTTGAAGTTATTTTCAATCACGCTATTTTGACTTATTCTCTGCAATTGTAAGTACATGTAGTTAGCTATTCATTTAATTATAGATGGAAAAGGCTAGGAGGCTGCCGGGTGCTCACGTGGCGACCTCTGGCGCCTGCTGCTGCAGCATCACCCACTCCTCATACATTCTCCTGCTTTCCCACGAATCGAAAGTTTGATTGAATGCAACAATACACTGGAAATCGATACACCAGGAAAAGTGGTTTCCAAAGGGTGAATGAGACGAAAGAATTAACACTTACCATTAAGGCAAGTTGGCAGCTATAGTGTGTGTGTGTTTATATATCAGTGTGGGGGTGCTCGTGTCCCCACCCTGACCTACTGATACAGCTGCTGCTTGTGGAGGTGGGTAGTGGCGGCCTGGGAGGTGCTGGCGGTGCTGGTCATGTGGCGTGTGCTGGCAGCGATGGTGTGGGTCGTCCCCTGGCAGGGGGCTCTCCTCTCTCACCCTCAGAATCAAAGTTCACTGGAAGGAAATATCGTATTCGATCATATAGCGCTGACTCAGATCCTCGACGAGTTTAAGAAGTTGACTGAAGGTAATGATTTTTTGTTTTGTTTTTAAGTACGTTTAGTTAATTTGCTATGCTCAACATACCAGGCCTGTGAGCTGTGATAAGAAGATTAGAGAGACACATAATGGACTCTGGAACACCCGCCCCCTTATGTGCTCAGCACCGGCCTCTGGGTTATAGTTCAACCCGTCCTCTTAAAAATAACGTGCATATCGTATGCGCGCATGACCAAAAATGGACGTAATTTGAAATGAAATCGGCTCCCGAAAGTGACGTACTGTCCTGTTTTCTGTTTGAGTTCTTCGGCTTACTCGATTAGGTTAGAAGAGGAAACTTTCAATTAAGAGTTTTCATGACGTTTTGAAACCTTAGGAGAACTTCCTGCCCTCCTAAACTACCAGCGGATCCTCAAATTGCTGTTATAGAAAAAAAATATTTTTAATTTTATTTTTTTATTTTCAAATTACGTTCATTTTCGACCATACGGGCAAATGGACAAAATTCAGACGTAATATATATATATATATATATATATATATATATATATATATATATATATATATATATATATATATATATATATATTAGTGAGTCACTGTGGTACGGAATGCGCTCACGAGCTGAACAAACATTTAACTATAAGCAAGTTACAGCATTGAAGAACTAGCTGTAGCGTTTGTTAAGAGAGTCACACAATGTGGTCGAGCGCTCTGTAACTTGAGTTTATTGGCTAAGCAAATCTAAAATCAAGTTATCAGGCCAGTAGTCTAATTACGATACTCCACTTAATGTTTCAGTGGTCACGAGGTAAACCAATAAGAAACTTAGACGCAGTGCAAATTTACAGCCCACGGTGTACAGCCCACGGTGTACAGCCCACGGTGTACAGCCCACGGTGTACAGCCCACGGTGTACAGTCCACGGTGTACAGTCCACGGTGTACAGCCCACGGTGTACAGCCCACGGTGTACAGCCCACGGTGTACAGCCACGGTGTACAGCAGGCAAACTTGAGATATCTGATTAGCATTTTGTGTAAATGTCCCGCAGATCACTGGCGACAGCCATCTCTAAATTAATGGATTTGTTCACCATCGATTACACCATGAGGTGGGATGGGGGAGGGGGGGAGGAAGTAGTATTGACAAGTTTATGAAAAACTGTTCACTAGGTCAGCTTGACCTCATCATCAGGTGCAAACGCCTAGCAGCACTTGTAGCTCAGTAATGACTATTGCAATTTATAAACAAACCTCCGCTGGGATCGAATCCGGACGCTTAGGACTACGAACACCGAGCGCTGTCCACTCAGCCGTCAGGCCCCCAATATTAAATCAAAACTGCTTTCGAGATTGGAGGTTTAGGGCATCAGTAAGGTCCATATAAAGAGAGGTTGGTGAATTTGGTTTTATAATAGAGAATGTTTATATGAGCCAAGACAGCCGGTGCGCGCGACACACAACTACCGCCACGGGAGCCTCATACAGCTGCATTAATACAAGGAAACATGATTATGTCAAATGGTATTGGCTAGGAAAATTATGTTGTACTGCGCAACATATTAGTTGGAAGCAGTTGCTGACTGTACCATAGTTGACGACGAGCACAGCGGTCCCCACACTGTTGCCTTCGTTGTTGTTGTTGCTGTTGTAGATACTGCTACTCGGAACAAAACTTCCATGTAGTACGGACTATGGCGAGCCCGTAATTTCCTTCGTTACACATCAACATTTAAATAGATCCAAGATGAGTGAAGTGTGGATGTGTCGCTTCTTGCTTTAGCGTATACAATAAATACAAATAATAAATAGTAATATTAAAAGTACCGACGACTGAGGGAGGGCAGGAATGGTGCTTAACCACTTAGGACGGTCGGGGGACTGAACGCCGATCTGCAGGAAGCGAGGCTGTTGCTCTACCGTCCAGCCCAAGTGGCTGGGCTAGACGGACGGTAATCACACACGGTAATCTTCCACTGCTTAGTTTTGAATAATTACATACAAGTATATGTTGGATAACATAATTTCCTTTCTGGCTTCCCTACTAGGATAATATGGTTAACCAAAGCAGGAGGAGTGTCACAGTTGACCAACTAACCTGAAGACTTATGATCACAGGGGCGGAGGAGACCAGGAGCTGCGTCAGCGAGGTCACGACCTGGTTCACAGCCCACCGAGACCACCAGGATGAGGTCACCCAAGGTCAGTGTCTCTCTTATTCCTTATGTTAAGGCACAAAAACCTTATTTAACCTGTCAGTGTCGTCATTTCCTGCTGCTTGTTACAACGACAGGACCACGTCACCAAGGTCAAGCGTCGATACTTCCCATCACAAGGTGCTTTATGTTTTTCCATCATCTTCCCATCATCGTAGTGCTTTGGAACTCGTAAGCGGCTTAATCAATGTAAGCAGAGCCGTCATGATTAAGGACAGATGTACAGGTTTCGTAAGTGGTTGGGTAAATGCTTTATGACTCCTGGTCCGAGTGAGCAGGGATAATCCTGGTTGGCAGTCTGATATCATGAAGGATTTACTATCCACGAGACACGCCAGAGACCACACACGCTTCAAGATGTTACACGACCAAGGCCACATTCACTCCAAATATCTGTCACCTACGGGGCTACTCATGCCCGTACCGCCTCTTGTGGTAGCTTAATCTTCACCAGTCACTCAGTCAAGCCACCACCATCTGGTCACCATTTGGTCAGGGAGACATCTCCCGTCACGCAGGGTGCAGTCGCGCCTCAACAGATCTCCAGTATCAGCTCTTGATACTGGTAATGGCTCAAAAGGGCCACCACTTACGGGCTATTCATGCCCGTGCCACCACTTGGGTGGCTTAATCTTCATCAATCAATCAGTCAAGCCACGAGAGACGACTCGGTGGTGATCACTGTTAACTTTTCTCCGGGACACGCAGTCAAATGTTTTGTACTTTATGTTGCCTTCCCATACTAGATATTGTATATAATACAGCTGTATTCCTCTGCCCTGTGTATAATACAGCTGTATTTCTGGACCTGTGTGTGTGATACAGATGTAAGCTATACTGACTAGTGACTAACGGTGAACTATATACTGTATATACTAACGCTTGACTAGAACCGGTTTTCCTGATTTCCCACTCTCTCAAAAATCCAACCTCACACACTCACATATACGAACCCAAGCAACCCACCTAACCTATTGTGTCCCACGCTTGGATAAACGAAGATATTTGTGAGCCGCCACTTTTCAAAGTAAGTTGCATTTGTAACGCTAGTTGCCGTAACGTAAAGAAACGTGACGTATTATTTAAGAGAACGGGTTGTGATATACTCTTCTGTTCGAGAGTCTATAACATTCCATCCCCCTGGAGTCGTATAGTCCCAACGTCGCTACGACACTAGGCTACGACACTAGGCTACGACACTAGGCTACGACACTAGGCTACGACACTAGGCTACGACACTTGGCTACGACACTAGGCTACGACACTAGGCTACGACACTAGGCTACGACACTAGGCTACGACACTTGGCTACGACACTAGGCTGCGACATTAGGCTGTCTCACGTGTGTGGTTCTCTTCTTCAAGCTTGTGGTTCTCTTCTTGCAGGGCTCAGGGAGATAGAAGCTGGGGTGAAGAACCTCGCACAGCAGCTGAGGGCACACCTGCTCGAGGCTCGACAACCAGGTATGTCCTCTCACGTGTGTCCTGAACCTTTTGAACCCCTAGAGTGAGAGAGGAACAAGAGCTGAGATGGAGGGCACGAGTGGATGAAGTGTTTTGACAGGAAACATAACCCTAGTGTTTAGTGAGAGATCTTTAGTGGTAGTTGTGTTGTGTGCGTTGTGGTAGGTGTGGTTGTGTTTGATATTTAGTGTTGTAAATTGATTGATATTTAGCACATGTATTCACCTAGTTGTGTTTGCGGGGGTTGAGCTTTGCTCTTTCGGCCCGCCTCTCAACTGTCAATCAACTCTTTACTAACTACTTTTTTTTCACCACACACCACACACACACACACACACACACACACACACACCCCAGGAAGCAGCCCGTGACAGCTGACTAACACCCAGGTACCTATTTACTGCTAGGTAACAGGGGCATTCAGAGTGCAAGAAACTTTGCCCATTTGTTTCTGCCTGGTGCGGGAATCGAACCCGCGCCACAGAATTACGAGTCCTGCGCGCTATCCACCAGGCTACCAGGCCTCAAGATGTGTATCTTGACAAACGATAAGCCTTACACAAATGCATAACCTTACACTGTTATCAGAAAACAAATATCTGGATGAAATTTCGTAATTGGGGTTAAATAATTCGTTAAGGTATAATTGAGTATAAAACTGTTTCTGGAGTAATACCATGTCTCTCCAGGATTGTCGAAGCCCAGCTGTCACCATACAGAACAAGACCAATACGGTTCTTGGTCTTAAATCTTGAAAGGTTAGCAAGAGATATGCAAATGTTATCATACTCTAGTGAGGCTTCACTTGGAATATGTTGTGTAGTTGTGGTCCCCACACTACACAATTGATATAAATTCTCTGGAGTACATAGAAAGGTTGCAAAGTTGAACAAATAGCCTCAATAATCACATGAAAGCAGCATGAGAACACTGAGGATGCGCTCTTCATAGAGGAGCCAGCACATGTGTTATCTTATTTATTTATTTATTTATGCATATACAAGAATGTACATAAGGAATGTGAGGATACAAATATGGTAATTACAGTCTTGTAAAGCCACTAGCACGCGCAGCGTTTCGGGCAGGTCAAATATAATCTAATCGATCTAATTGAGATCTTAGCTTCTCTTTTAGACTGGTTATCTTGAGATGATTTCGGGGCTTTGCGACCATACGACCGGGCCTCCTTTTTTGTTATACACCCCCAGGAAGCAGCCCGTAGCAGCTGTCTAACCCCCAGGTACCTATTTACAGCTAGGTGAACAGGTTCATCAGGGTGAAAGAAACTTTGCCCATTTGTTTCCGCCTCCACCAGGGATTGAACCCGGAACCTCGGGACTACGAATCCGAAGCGCTGTCCACTCAGCTGTCAAGCCCCCTGACAGTGGGGGGTGATAAGCTTAAAAATTGTGCAAAATGAATACAAAAATGGTTTATAAAGGTCTATGGTAAAAATCGGTTAGGTAACAATTGTGGCATTCTGGAAGAAACTGCCAAGGGAAAAAAAGATGATTTTTTTATCTTTATTTAAGAAAATACAATATAAATCATAATTGACCAAAAGGATGAACCATCCTGCTTCCTCCTCTACCTGGCATAAATTCACGAAAATAATTCACAAAACCTTAATTCACAAAAATAATAATGTTTTGGCCTCTTGCTAACTGCGGAGTTTCTAACTGCTCTCCAGAGCGGTTAGTAACTTAGGCTTCACCTTAATCATCCAGATTCACCAAGGATGGGAAATCTGCCCCTTAACGCTCTAAAGGTCCTCCCCCCCCCCCCAGTGGACAAGAATAACGTTGCTTGAATGTTATCATTGTTGAATTAACGACGTTCAAGAAACGTAAAATCAAATTTTCAATCCCACTTTTGGATATTGTGTTCACGGGATCCTGGCCGTCATGTGACCGACTCATCTGATTCTATTTAATGTTTGATTTACAAAGGATTACAAATTAATACAATTAACAACAGACACTTGGACCAAAACTTAGACTTATGGAAAGTTTATGGTGTACACAGGTAGAACTATTTTCTAATATATTTTTTGGAGTATGCTCTATATTTCTCCGGCTTACGTAGCTGTTTCTCGTATTAATCACTCCACTAAATAAAATATATTTGGCTTCGTTGAAGTGTTTGTCAATAATTTTAATACCTTTGTTGAACATTATGTTTAGTCAATATTAAGTGTATTTCTGAGTCATGATTGTCATGCGCTGTGATCATTTTGAACACTTTGCATTTAAATCACCAAATAGTCTTCTCGTTTCATAACTCAATAAATTCAGTTATTTTAAACGCATTTGGTAGCATCTACTGTAATGTCTTGCTACCATCTTTATCGTTCACCGTCTTGAATACAGTTCAGTCTGTATTGTTGACTACAGCTCAGCCCGCGTTGGCGTGCCGAGCTGTAAGACTTCTGTAAGTCTTTCAAGGCACCATTTACTGTTGTCACTACAGCTTACTTGCTCTCATCCAGAAAGACATGTTCTACACAACCTTGTCAGATCAGAACTTTTTAAGTTTCGTCAAATTAGATGAGCTTAGTTGTGAGTAAGAAGGATGTATGTAAGCTGACAAGCACCAAAATACTCTTTTATATGTATTGCTTTCATAAAGATTTCGTGCATACAGGTAACATATATGGTTGTGCCTCTTCCTGCAGACTTGCCGACCGCAGACGCCAAAACAGAAAGTCTGCTGGCCGAGGTTACTCTTCGGGAAAACCAGATAATCGATCTTGAAATTGAAAACAACCGCTCCCAAGCTGAGATACTGCGACTGGAGGAGGAAATCACTCGGATCCAGTCGGAAACTAATGACATTAAGAGCAAGGTTAATCTGGCAGGGGAAGAGTTGAGAGTGATGAAGAGAGACGCCAGGGAGGTGGAGAGAGAGACCCAGCAGGTGACTCTCAAGGTCCAGGAAGTGGAGACGAACAACGAACGAGCGAGGAACGAGACTCTCCGGATGAGGCAAGAGACAAGTCTCCTGAAGGAAAGAAATCGGAACTTGGAAGAGGAGAAGCGAGTGTTAGAACAAAGAAATAGAGAAATCGAAGAGGAAAATAAGCAGCTTGAGGAAAGAGGCAGACACCTAGAGGAGGAGAACAACCAAACACAACACAGAATGGCAGAAGCTGAAGAACAGAAGGCAAAGTTGGAACAAAGGAAAAGGCATCTTGAGGAGAAGAAGAGGCAATTGGAAGACAAGAATAATCAAGACGAAGCCAATAGGGAAAATCTAGAAAGGAAAGTAAGAGAACTGGAGACGGAGAAGAGAGCCCTGACAGAGAAGAAAGGGACGATTGAGAGAAGAGCGTCAGAGAGAGAGAGAGAGCAGCAAGGGGTGGAGGCAGCGGACGCCCCCACCACTAGTGTAGACCAACTGGCTGCCGGGTCTCAGGGCTACTAACACCCCACCACTTCCTCTCCGTCATTTCACACTTCATGTTATATACGCATGCGAATACAATTAAATATATATTAATAAACCCAAGGACATCCCTCTATGCATACACTATATATATTGCAACCTATACTTATGGCACAGTATTGAAATTTTAACTTAGGCAAAATGCTTTACCTGGTTCTAAATACTGAAGGGTGGATCCAGCTACCACACGAGTCTAAGCGCTCCTGGGTGGTTTTACGGGGAGAATGTGCAGTATAAAGTTAGGTTATACCGTGTTAGATATGTTCTTGTTTACATATATAGTGAAGTGACTCCTTGATGGAAGCTGTCAGGTGTTGATGATGGGAAACACTAGTGAGAACTATTTCCCTCGAGCACCGGTGATGGCCGAGTGGGGGAGGAACTCATGCACGCACTCTGGCGGGTCTACACTACGCACGCACTCTGGCGGGTCTACACTATGCACGCACTCTGGCGGGTCTACACTATGCACGCACTCTGGCGGGTCTACACTACGCACGCACTCTGGCGGGTCTACACTATGCACGCACTCTGGCGGGTCTACACTACGCACGCACTCTGGCGGGTCTACACTATGCACGCACTCTGGCGGGAGTAAGAGTCACGTGAGCCTGGAGACTGGTCTAGCGTATACCAGGAAGAAAGGGTGAAAGGAGATATCCACAATAATGAGAAAAGATGTTCCGAAATTGTAATGCAAGACCTATGTAGACCTGTTCCTTGTCATGGAGGGCTGAGTGGAGGGCTGAGTGGAGGGCTGAGTGGAGGGCTGAGTGAAGGCTGAGTCTGTAGGCTCTCCAAAGTACCAGTAATTCACTTACATTCAAAATTACCTCATGCTGCACTATTTTTCTACTCTAAAGCATTATGAAATATACATACACACATTGGGCCTCGCGGCTAAGGTGGACAGCTCCCCGGGGGTCCTAAGTGCCCGGGTTCGATTCCCGGCCGAGGCAGAAACAAATGGGCAATTTTTTTTTTACCCTGATTCTCATGTTCACCTAACAGTAAATAGGTACCTGGGAGTTAGACAGCTGTTACGGACTGATTCCTGGTTATGCGTGTATTCACCTAGTTGTATTCACCTAATTGTGCTTGCGGGGGTTGAGCTCTGCTCTTTCGGCCCACCTCTCAACTGTCAATCAACTGTTTTTACTATTATTTTTTCCACACCACACACCCCAGGAAGCAGCCCGTGACAGCTGACTAACTCCCAGGTACCTATTTACTGCTAGATAACAGGGGCATAGGGTGAAAGAAACTCTGCCTATTGTTTCTCGCCGGCGCCCGGGATCGAACCGGGACCACAGGATCACGTGTCCAGCGTGTTGTCCGCTTGGCCATCGGCTGTGTGTGTGTGTGTGTATGTTGAGTGTGGGTGTGTGTGTGTGTGTGTGTATGTTGAGTGTGGGTGTGTGTGTGTGTGTGTGTGTGCGTGTGTGTGTGTGTTAGAAAAAGATATATGTAGTAGAGATAATAAAGGAAACATAGATTGGTTAGAAAGGCGGGGTCCAAGAGCTAGTATAGCTCGATTCTACAGGCACAAATAGTAAATATATATATATATATATATATATATATATATATATATATATATATATATATATATATATATATATATATATATATATATTCATTATATTCATTATATTATTACAATGACAAATAAATACACGTGATAAAATCAAATGATGTTACATTAGTAATACAAATGTGTGCAGGAAAAAAATTGGGAAAGTTTATCACTGTTGACTATTTTTACTTCTAACTTAAACAAATTATATTTGTAAAGGAACGTAACAGGTCTTCATATTAAAAAGTTGTGTTACTCACAACATACCTATGCTGCCCCCCCCCCTCACAGCGCCTCTAACTAGGAAACTAACCACTAGACACCAGCCTCCTCCTCCTCTCTGCTGCTCATACCCACAGAACTGCTTTAATATATTTCCAGTAACACTAGTGATATCTTCTAATATGCTGATTTACCACATGTATATTGTCACAAAGTCATTATTTTAATATTCTCACCCGTAACACTGTGCTTTGATTCTCACCCGTAACATCAAAAGCAATCCGAGGCCACCAGGGGCCATCAGGGACCACCAGGGGGACCATCAGGAGCCATAAGAGGCCATCAGGGATCATCAGGGGCTACCAGGGGGCATCAGGGGCCATCAGGGATCATCAGGGGCTACCAGGGGATATCAGAGGCCATCAGGGATCATCAGAACCATCAGGGACCAACAGGGGCTACCATGAGACATCGAGGACCATCAGGGGCCATCGGGATCATCAGGACCATCAGGGACCAACAGGGGCCATCAAGGACTATCAGGGGCCATCAGAGGCCACCAGGGTCCATCAGGGACCATCAGGAGCCCCCCAGGGACCATCAGGAACCATCAGGGACCCTCAAGGGCCACCAGGGACCATCAGGGACTATCAGGAGTCACCAGGGGCTATCAGGGGCCATCAGGAGCCACTAGAGGCCATTAGGCACCATCAGGGACCACCAGGGGCTATCAGGGGCAACCAGGGACCATCAGAGGCCATCAGGGGCTATCAAGGGCTACCAGGAACCATCAGGGACCACCAGGGGCCATCAAGGACCATCAGGGGCCATAAGGGACCATCAGAGGCCACCAGGACCATCAGGGGCCACCAGGGACCATCAGGGGCCACCAGGAACCATCAGGGGGCCACCAGGGACCATCAGGGACCATCAGAGACCATCAGGGACCATCAGGGACCATCAGGGGCCACAGTATGTCCGGCAGATGTCGACAGGGTGGGTTTACTTCACATATAAACAGCTGGGAACGCAACAGCTGAAAGAAAATCATAAGGATTTGATAATATTTATTTATAGAAAAAATCAAATCACAAACACAGAGGCTAGATATAACTAGTGAAATTTTTGCTCTTGATTTTGTGGAATCAGAAAACATGGAATAAATGTACAGCTACTGACGGCGACACTTAATTTTAATCTAAAATCTTACACAAAAAATGTTTAGAGATGGAGTCCCATACCGTTATTATTTGGTGAAACCTGTCCTCTTAAAAAGAGGGTCGCTTTTGGCCGTTTGCCCGTATGGCCGAATTTGGACGTAATTTGAAAATAAAAAAAAAAATGAACATAAATTTTTGATTTTTTTTTCAACAGCAGTAAGTTAAGGGTCCTCTGATAGGTTAGGTGGGCAGGAAATTCTCATAAAGTTTCAAAACGTTATGAAATACGTTAATTTAAAGTGTCCTCTCCTAACCTCTGCGTGTAAGCCGGACGACTCAAATAGAAAATGGAACAGAACGTCACTTTTGTGAGTCGATTTCATTTCAAATTACGTCCAAATTTGGCCATAGTGCGCATACGGGCCAAAAGTGACGTTATTTTTAAGAGGACGGGTTGCTCATACCCCCCTGCAAGGTAAGGTTAGGAACCTTACCTTGGTCTAGACACCTTAATCATTCATTTTCGGCTACATCAATATCTATCTGTACCTCCTCCGTTTCCTTCTCCTCACTTCCTCAGTCTCTTCCTCCCTCCCCCTCACTCTCCATCTTCCCACAGGCCATAACAGCTGCGGGATCATTGTAGACGTGCTGCGGAGAGACATCGTGCTCCGGGGCTCCGTTATCCAACGGCTTCAGCTGGAAAACACCAAACTAAGGGCGCAGCATTCTCAGGCGCTGGAGAAGGACCAGCAGGCGACAAGACAGCAGCAGGAGTTGCAGACTAAGTTACAACAGGTTGAGGAAGAACAGCAGCAGATTACAATAAAGTTCGAACAGGTGAAAACTGACTACTTCCGCGTGAGGAGCGCCCTCCTAGAGACAGACTTACAGCACAAAGAACTGAAATCTGAAATGAGCGCTCAGATGCGTCAGTTACTCATGGAAAAGGGAAGGGGTCTCCACCTGGAAACTGTGAAGGTACAGTTAGAGAACAAGACAAGAGAACTTCAAGAGGAGAGGGAGCAACAGCAACAACTCAACAAACAGCTGATAGAAGCAAGAAAACCACTAGAGGAAAGTATTGAAAACATAGAAAACGAGAAGACACAGTTGCTACAAGATTGCATGGAACTCGGGGCGATAAATCAGCAGCTAGAAAGTAAGAACCAGGAGACAGTGGAGATGTACCTCCAGCTACAACAACGCAACATTCACATAACGGAAGAAACTGAGCGTCTGACGCGGTATATTAGTCAGGAGGAACTAAAGTTGAAGAAGATGGAAGAGAAAACTGAAGAGGTGATGGAAAGGAAGGAAGAGATGAGAGGGACCACGCAGATCCTGGAACGTCAAGATGACTCTTACCAGACAACTTCAAGTTCCTAGCGTTCTTCACACTACAATAATAGCTGCAAGAGCAGTTATCAGGATTCATAGTAGTTATTATTATTATTATTATTATTATTATTATTATTATTATTATTATTATTATTATTATTATTATTACTACTACTTTGATGTCATTATAATACTATATCAACTACATATCTGTTATTACCTGTTCTTAAACACGTATAACGTAGAATTATGAATGAAACGTGGTGGGAGGAGACCGTAGACCTTCAACGCTTCCAATTAAACCTACAAAACCCACTAATCCCCTTCATATAGACTAAGGTAGCTGCATGAATGCAGATTTACTTTATGTGTTAATAAAACAAAATATAAAGACATAGCTAGCGCTTGACATAAACCACGTGACCCTTCACATAGTCTACGGCAGCTGCATAAATGCACCTTGTCCTAAGTATATTTCAAAATGAACCCAGAAGCGCAGGCAGGCAGAGTGATTGCCGGGATCAGGTTTGGATATCGTTTACCTGTGGCAGGTGGCTAGAGATGACGAATCTCTCAGTCCTGAATATTCCAGGTGTAAACTCTGCAAGAAGGACCTGGGTCATGATCTCACACACAATATTACTGAATGTCTAGTCATTAGACCCTTCAACCCTGCCGGTATGAGGTACCTGGATCTTTGCAAATACTGTATTTACTCACGAGTTCTAGAGGATATCATCAAAATTTCTCCAAAGTTTGTCAGTGCAGACTACTGCTCTCATGCCCCTGTATGACTAACCATCCTGCGAGATGGGGCGTTTATAGTATTACGTAGCTAGTTCTCCTAGAGGTTCAACCGTTTATATAGTGCACAATAGCTGCATAAAAAAATTCTTATACACAGACTCAGTGTCAGGTTAGACACCTGGCTGAACTCTTACACAAACAGAACCAGCGGCACTACCGCTAGTTATCTGTACATTAAAAAAAATGGAGAAGGAGAAAGTTTCTGTGATTTAATATCTCCTCTTCAACAACTTGAAAACGTCTGCAAAACAGACAACAAGAACCTCATATTAGCAATTATAAATAACCTGCTCGCTGTACAGACCGTAGCAAATCACGGTGACACACTTACCTTTAAGGTAAACAAGTTTGTTGAGCATTATTCAAGTAGATATTAGCTATACCCAGTTCGGCTGAGCCCCGGCAAGCCTTCCCATCCCGGAAAAATAAGTAATTGAGAATTTTAATATATTTTCCATTCTTCTGGTCGCCGCCACCATCACCTCCCCGAGATACAAACCTGCAAGGTGATGCTGCATGTGTGTTGAAGCCTGGAGACGTCGACTGTGCCAGTCCTACAGCACATACAACCACTACAACACATACAACCACTATGGCTATGTCTCTACGTTTGTTACATGATATGTCTATTTCAGTGTTGCAGGTCTATTTCTATGTTAGTTGCAATGTTTAATTTATTTATATGTTGTATGCTATGTTTGTTGCATGAATCTACGTGAATAATGCTCAACAAACGTGTTTACCTTGTCTCGGGTATAAGTGCTCTCGCAACCTGATGAGTTTTCAGTGTCGTCTTCCTGGCATTATTATGGCGAAATATGTTACATAAATTCATTTATGTATCATGGACATGTACTGGACATGAACACCTGGACAAAATTCCATAACACTTCAACAGGTATGTATGACTTACGAAAGAAAAATGGTCACCAAACAGCCAGTTGAGGCAGCCGAGCCTTTACCACCTGCTCATATATATACCACAAATTAAATATTTGTGTAACTGTTCAGATCAGAGTCAGAACATGGCAGCTGCTACTGCCTACTCCCGTGTCCACGAATAGTCTCAGACAACATAATACCCAAGACCGTCACACTGACTGCTTCGTGCTAACGAACAGCCACTCTTACCACTACTTGTTAACGAACGGGTAATCTGGCATCTCTCTCTGCCCACAAACTGTCAGTGCGTGTCGACGAACGTTTCACTTGATGCCAACGAACAGCCACTGCGTACCCACGAACGTTCTATGATGCCAATACTCACATATTGCATGCAAAGAGCGACTTGTGTGAGTAACCGAGGCGGTAACTATCCAACGAGGCAACATACAAGCGCTGTACGATGATGCTCGATTCCACCAACATGCAAAATATATGTATATAAGGAGTATATACGCAGAGAGAGGCGCAGTGGACGCATGCGTAGCGGGGTGGCGGGAAGGGGCGAGTGTTGGAGGAGAGAGAGGAGCCCCAGTCAGCGTATACACTCCGGCCAGCGAACACGGCCGCGCTGCATGCAACCTTCTTCCCGCGTATGGTGCGCTTGACGCCTCCACATGGGCTGGCCCTCTGCCCTCTTGCGGCCCTAGTCCGCGCTCCTCAGGCACTCAGCGCTCGCTCCTGGTGACATGACTGAGATATGTTACTCACTCGGTGCCACTGTGATCAGAAAATAGTGATACGAATGATTTGTGAGGGTATTGTCACCTGCCACTGACTATGACGAAGAGATTGAGAGTGCAGGAGGCAGGCAGGGGAGCCCTGCTCATCACATACCTGCTAATGTGGGCGGCAGGAGGGGTATTAGGCATGACAGCAGAAGGCCCTGTGGTTCTCAGCACCCCCAGTGGTAAACTCCGGGGGGAGCGGTACACGTTGGCCGACGGGTCCAGAGGCATGAGGTTCCTTGGCATCCCCTACGCCCGTCCGCCCATTGGACCTCTGCGCTTCACCGTAAGTTGTCGCAAGTTTAAGCGAGTTAAACCTTAGCTTGTTGTGACGTGATTTGTCCTCGAGCGCCTGACGCCTTTCCTCAGGTGCCTACACAAAATGTAATATTAGTAATACTTGGACGTTCACTAGGAACAAGTCTAACTGCACTAGCTTACTGAGTCGTGCGACGGCGGGTCCCAGATATGCCTAGTTACTGTCAATAATTGATCTGGTCAACCTGGTCTTGCTACTAACCAATTTTTTTTTATTATTTTGTCAGAAGGGCGAGATTATTTGGCAATGCCACTTATCCTGTGAGTGGACGCACCGCTATAGCAGCATGTACAACACTCCCCAATAGGAAGAAAACCCGCAGGGTTGTTCATCCTGTCACTTGTACCCAGACATAGCTGGAGACATAACTGTCTCAAGGGAACAGTTCCTCAAACAAGAAGATTAACATCTGTCAACCCTTAAAATCTTACGTTATCTTGCGGGTGCAAAATGGGGGAATCTTTTAAGAACAGTGTCAATATTTGACAAATTGTGTTTTCCTAACTCAAACAATGTGGGGTTTATTATTCTACACATATTTCTAATGTCTCTCAGGTGTTCACATTCACGTAGATAGTGGTCAAGGCGGTGTCCGTCACTCTCACCACAGATTCTGCAACTCCGCTGATCAACTGTTGTTACTAGCCAATGTATTCGCTTCAAAGCCGCTGCCCACGGCTTCGGTCTCTTATCTTGAGGTTATCTTGAGATGATATCGGGGCTTAGGGTCCCCGCGGCCCGCTCCTCGACCAGGCCTCCACCCCCAGGAAGCAGCCCGCAGCAGCTGTCTAACTCCCAGGTACCTATTTACTGCTAGGTAGCAGGTGCATCAGGGTGAAAGAAACTCTGCCCATTTGTTTCCGCCTCCACCGGGGATCGAACCCGGAACCTCAGGACTACGAATTCGAAGCGCTGTCCACTAAGCTATCAGGCGCCCTCGGGTCATGCAAGAGTCAAGACTCTTGGCCACAGCTTCGGTCTCTTGGCCACAGCTTCGGTCTCATGGCCACAGCTTCGGTCTCATGGCCACAGCTTCGGTCTCTTGGCCACAGCTTCGGTCTCTTGGCCACAGCTTCGGTCTCTTGGCCACAGCTTCGGTCTCTTGGCCACAGCTTCGGTCTCATGGCCACAGGTTCGGTCTCTTGGCCACAGCTTCGGTCTCATGGCCACAGCTTCGGTCTCATGGCCACAGCTTCGGTCTCTTGGCCACAGCTTCGGTCTCTTGGCCACAGCTTCGGTCTCTTGGCCACTGCTTCGGTCTCATGGCCACAGGTTCGGTCTCTTGGCCACAGCTTCGGTCTCATGGCCACAACTTCAGTCTCTTGGCCACAGCTTCGGTCTCTTGGCCACAGCTTCGGTCTCTTGGCCACAGCTTCGGTCTCTTGGCCACAGCTTCGGTCTCATGGCCACAGCTTCGGTCTCTTGGCCACAGCTTAGGTCTCATGGCCACAGCTTCGGTCTCATGGCCACAGCTTCGGTCTCATGGCCACAGCTTCGGGCTCATGGCCACACCACAGCTTCGATCTCTTGGCCACAGCTTCGGTCTCTTGGCCACAGCTTCGGTCTCTTGGCCACAGTTTCGGTCTCTTGACCACAGCTTCGGTCTCATGGCCACAGCCTCGGTCTCTTGGCCACAGCTTCGGTCTCTTGACCACAGCTTCGGTCTCTTGACCACAGCTTCGGTCTCTTGGCCACAGCTTCGGTCTCTTGGCCACAGTTTCGGTCTCTTGACCACAGCTTCGGTCTCTTGGCCACAGTTTCGGTCTGTTGACCACAGCTTCGGTCTGTTGACCACAGCTTCGGTCTCATGGCCACAGCCTCGGTCTCTTGGCCACAGCTTCGGTCTCTTGACCACAGCTTCGGTCTCTTGGCCACAGTTTCGGTCTGTTGACCACAGCTTCGGTCTCTTGACCACAGCTTCGGTCTCTTGGCCACAGCTTCGGTCTCTTGGCCACAGCTTCGGTCTCTTGACCACAGCTTCGGTCTCTTGGCCACAGCTTCGGTCTCTTGGCCACAGCTTCGGTCTCTTGACCACAGCTTCGGTCTCTTGACCACAGCTTCGGTCTCTTGACCACAGCTTCGGTCTCTTGACCACAGCTTCGGTCTCTTGACCACAGCTTCGGTCTCTTGACCACAGCTTCGGTCTCTTGGCCACAGCTTCGGTCTCTTGACCACAGCTTCGGTCTCTTGGCCACAGCTTCGGTCTCTTGACCACAGCTTCGGTCTCTTGACCACAGCTTCGGTCTCTTGGCCAGCTTTCTGGCCAAGCTAATTGCAAGACATTGTTACGAGTCTTCTTATAGTTTGATATTTTCAACTCTCCATTTCTGCCTTTCGCTGTTGAGTATTACTGAATCCTAAAATTTCATCAACACCTCACATTTATACATGACTAAAGTATACATTCCCATGTATACTTTAGCCTTTAACCTTTCATCCATATGTATACTTTAGTCATGTCGAGTTTTCACTCTAGGCCTCATAAGAGCGTTGGTTCGTAATTGATGGGATTCCCGGTGTGAGTCAAGAGTCCTGGTGGTGTGAGTCAAGAGTCCTGGTGGTGTGAGTCAAGAGTCCTGGTGGTGTGAGTCAAGAGTCCTGGTGGTGTGAGTCAAGAGTCCTGGTGGTGTGAGTCTAGAGTCCTGGTGGTGTGAGTCAAGAGTCCTGGTGGCGTGAGTCAAGAGTCCTGGTGGCGTGAGTCAAGAGTCCTGGTGGTGTGAGTCAAGAGTCTTTGTGGTGTGAGTCAAGAGTCCTGGTGGCGTGAGTCAAGAGTCCTGGTGGTGTGAGTCAAGAGTCTTTGTGGTGTGAGTCAAGAGTCCTGGTGGTGTGAGTCAAGAGTCCTGGTGGTGTGAGTCAAGAGTCCTGGTGGTGTGAGTCAAGAGTCCTGGTGGTGTGAGTCAAGAGTCCTGGTGGTGTGAGTCAAGAGTCCTGGTGGTGTGAGTCAAGAGTCCTGGTGGTGTGAGTCAAGAGTCCTGGTGGCGTGAATCAAGAGTCCTGGTGGCGTGAGTCAAGAGTCCTGGTGGCGTGAGTCAAGAGTCCTGGTGGCGTGAGTCAAGAGTCCTGGTGGCGTGAGTCAAGAGTCCTGGTGGCGTGAGTCAAGAGTCCTGGTGGTGTGAGTCAAGAGTCTTTGTGGTGTGAGTCAAGAGTCCTGGTGGCGTGAGTCAAGAGTCCTGGTGGTGTGAGTCAAGAGTCCTGGTAATGTGAGTCAAGAGTCCCGGTAATGTGAGTCAAGAGTCCTGGTGGTGTGAGTCAAGAGTCCTGGTGGTGTGAGTCAAGAGTCCTGGTGGTGTGAGTCAAGAGTCCTGGTGGTGTGAGTCAAGTGTCATGAGAACTGATCTCAATTGCACAGTATTATGAGTAAACCGCACAGTGTAACCCAAGAGAGTACCAGACAACGGTAAACCACAGTTTAAACAAGGTCAAGAATTTCTTTTGTTGACTTTTGTAGATAGCCAAAAAAGACCTAGAAACGTAAGTGGTATTTAATAATAAAAAAGCCAATATTCTTTTCTCAATTGCGGTTATTATTTTCTTCTCGAGAGGTAAATAATCTGAGTGAGTCTACCTACACCTAACTGCAGTTTATATCTGTCCATCCCTCACCTGAAGCACATTTTACACCTCTGCCGTCTCCTTGAGTCAGAATTTGAATATATTCGCGACTGATAATTGGCTTACTGCAAACATATGTTGATTGATATGACCGAAAGGGTAAGATTAATAATTCTAACACGAATCTTCTCAATACTTCTTACGTTCTTCTTCCCTGTCGAGGGTAATTGATAAATTAACTCTCCAAAATTCATTCTTTATTTTTGGTCTGACGCCTGAACGCGTTTCGTAATGCTTATTACATTTTCAAAGACTTAGTTTACACATAAAAATATATCATACTTATGCTCGTTTTGGGTGAGGTGATATGGTACAAAAGTTTTGGGTGAGGTGATAGAACATATGGCAGAACACGAAACAATGGGTATAAATTGGGTATGAAAAACATAAGAATGGAAGTAACTGCAGAAGGCCTATTGGCTCATACTTCCTCTTGCTGCTTCTATGTTGGTTCAGGGTCTTGATGTGGGTAGAATATAATTGAGCATTAATTGGCTGTTGATTGCTAGTGTTGACTTTTTGATGTGTAGTGCCTCGCTGATGTCGAGTCTCCGATATCAGCAGAAACACAAACATCGACAAAGACCTCCGTACTCGCATCGACCAACACCTCGACATCCTTACAGGTCGACATCACCACAGCATCGAAACCAGGATCATCAAGAAACTGACAGCATTATTTGGAGAACCTATGGCGATTCCACGACCCAGAGATGGCTTCTTAAACCTTGCTGGAATCAACCTCACTGAGGACCAAATCACTCTCTTAAATCTGGGTATAAACTGTCACGTTATGTCCAGACCGAGTGAGATGGCCCGGAAAGTGGAGTTGGAGATCCTATTGGATGACATATCCGACCTCGAGACGCAAAAGAAGGTTACCACTAAAGACACCTTGCAAGCAGAACTTATTGCAGAAGGAGGAAAGACTCGAGGTAACTACAGAAGCACCATACTGTCCCCCGAGCTCAAAGCGCCAGCAAAGAGCCTTCGTGAGTATAAGGAGTCGTCAGGAGAGGTGACAAGTCGCCAATATACGTTATTCTTAAAAAAGACGAATATCTGGCAAAAATGAACCTCACACTCTCCGACCAAACTAAATTCCAAAGGGTAACGAAGGACACTACAGCCGAATTGAAAACGAAGGTAAACAGATTGATCAAAACTGTGAACGAGAAGAAATTCGGACTCCACCTACCAAAGGTTATTAGGGAATACAAACCTGGTTATAGTGATAATAGTGACTGCCCAGACAGGTACAAGAGGAGTGTTGTCAACGCTTACATCGACCGGGCTCTCAGCCACAGCTCAGGATGGAAGCAAGTCGATGAAGAGCTCTGTAGGGTAAGGCAAGT